ACACTGCCTGACTCTGCTTGACGGCGGAGAAGTAGTACATGCGTATACTGCTATTATAAAAAACGTACTAATACAAAGAAACTCATCTGATACTAGAAAAACGCATTCCATTCGTATAAGAATCTAGTAAAGAACCTGCTCCTATGCATGCGCCAGGGCCTCTGCAGAAGACCAATCCTCCCAAGCATCCAGCGCCAGAAAGCCTGAGGCCAACTCGAGCCGCGTTGGCACTTCGGGGTTTCGGGTCCCTAGGGGCTTTAGGGATCTTAGGGGTTTAGGGTTAGGGATTTAGGGCCCCTAGGGGTTTAGGTCTAACGAACTTACGGGGGTTTGGGGTACTTAGGGGTTTTTGGCACTTAGGGTACAAACGCTGCAAGGCTTTCAGGGGATGCTCTTTTGACAGCCTGCTCGTGACACAGCTTGGGGCCGTACGTGCTGGCCCACCACCGAGAGGCGTTGGTAGTGTGGCCAGTTGATACCTTGGCAGCAAGATGCTAACAGTTGCCGCCTCTCCAACCCCCCCCGCAACCAAAAAAAGGTTACAGGCATGCAGAACGTAGAATATAATGCGTGGAAAGATATAGGCCCTTATTTGGGGGGGATATCTTTAGGGTGAAGCAAGTGGCTGTTCCTTCAGCTGGAGCGAGGCCCAGCATAGGAGGCAATGATCGCAGCGATCCTCGGCAGCCAAAAACTAGCACCTTCGCCCGAACAGTGTGGGGAACAGCGAGACAAACCATCTCTTCATCCCAAGGCACGGGACACAGGAGCTCCATGTCGCCACCAAGTGGACAGCTGTGAGCCGATTGACAGTTTCCAGCTGTGGCCTGGAACAGCTGTCGGAAGCAATTTGGATTCAGAGCAATATACCTCGAATAAAATAAGAAACATGTAACAACAAATGAATGTGTGTGTATATATATGTGTGCAACCCATAGTGCGAGTCTACAAATAACGTAAAATACTCAAACTTCCAACATGCGTCTGGGCCTTGCTGCAACCAGGGCAAGTCTCTGCGGCATCACGGCAGGTGGCACAATGCTGTGAGGTGAGATCCTGCGGCGCTGGTTTGATCTGCTTTGATTCCGCTGCAGCTCTTCGCAAATTGCCAGATGGGCCTGAGAATGAGAAATGAATGCTTGGACCTCTCACAAGGAACGCGCCTCTTCTCCCGCGGATAGCGTCTTCAGCATCTTTCCGAAGATTTTGACACAAAGGACCTGCCAACATCTGCCAGCTGACTAACGACGAAGGTGAGCAACAGGACATCAAGTGAGCTCTCCAGAACTGCCAGACCGGCCGGGCACACACCGTTCCCATTTCTAGGCACTTCAACTCCCTCCCTGCCCTCTGTGCCATGCTCTGCAGAACATACTCAAAGCGTAGCGACATGAAATTGGATCTTTTCGGACACGAGCTTGCATGGGGGGGGTGCACTGGCATCTCCAGAATTCCCAACTACTCCACCTCACATTGTTTTGGCTCAAAGCGAGCAACGAGGCTCAGGCATGCCCCGCTCGATGTCGCTCGTCCAATTCTGCTGGCAGGACTCTGTAAGCTAGGTGTCTTAAGGTTGAGGGTTTAAGGGGACCCACTTCGCTGTAGTCCATGTCGCTGGTCAAGTACGTAACTCAAGCGATGAGGAGGTAGTGGAGTCTCCTGACCTCCGACGCCCACGAAGAAGTAGACGTCGGAAAGAGAAAAGAAGAGAGGAGAAGAAAAGAGAAACAAGAGAAGAGAAGAGAAGAGAAGAGAAGAGGACAGGAGGGCCCGACCTTGGACAAGGTATATGTTGCAGGAGCCCTTGAAACGTCACCTGCACGTTCCTGGCGCCCACGAAGAAGTAGACGTCGGAAAGAGAAGACAAGAGAGGCGAGGAGAAGAGAAGAGGAGAGGAGAGGAGAGGAGAGGAGAGAAGAGGAGAGAGAGAGGAGAGAGAGAGAGAGAGAGAGAGAGAGAGAGAGAGAGAGAGAGAGAGAGAGAGAGAGAGAGAGAGAGAGAGAGAGGAGAGAGAGGGAGAGAGAGAGAGAGCGAGAGAGAGAGAGAGAGAGAGAGAGAGAGAGAGAGAGAGAGAGAGCGAGAGAGAGAAGAGGAGAGAGAGAGAGAGAGAGAGAGAGAGAGAAGAGAGAAAGAGAGAGAGAGCGAGAGAGAAAGAGAGAGGAGAGAGAGAGAGAGAGAGAGAGAGATGAGAGAGAGAGAGAGAGAAGAAAGAGAGAGAGAGAGAGGAGAGAGGAGAGAGAGAGAGAGAGAGAGAGAGAGAGAGAAGAGAGAGAGAGAGAGAGAGAGAGAGAGAGAGAGAGAGAGAAAAGAAAGAGAAAGAAAGAGAGAGAGAGAGAGGAGAGAGAGAGAGAGAGAGAAGAGAGAGAGAGAGAGAGAGAGAGAGAGAGAGAGAGGGAGAGAGAGAGAGAGAGAGAGAGAGAGAGAGACAGAAAGGGAAAGAAAGGGAAAGAAGGAGAAAGGAAAGGGCAGGAGAGCCAAGTCGCAGGCACCCTCGAAACCCGCAGGGAAGAAGGGATGCCAAAGGCAACTCCTTAGCTGTGCGCATGAGAGCGCCAAAAGACCTTGGTGGTGCGCACAAGCCAGCGCACGCGGGAAGCAAAACAGGGCCAAAGCCAGGAAAGAACCTCACAGGTCCTTAAGGAAGCACAGTACGGGGGGAAGAGACCCTCAAACAGTGTGCCTTTCGCGCCACAGAAGCTCAACGCAGCTAGCGATGCGTTGGAGGTCTTGGGCGACGCGCCCATCCCATACGCGCTTCGAGCGGACACCTCGGTTTCCGCCGTAACAGCACACCTCCAAACGAGATGCCCCACAGAGAGTACACGCGGGGGAGTCCTTAGCACCCGATTTGTAGAGCCGGAAGTCGCTGACAACGCTACCCAACATGGCCGCCCGACGGGCAGGACCTAAAAGATGTGCTTATCAAAGTCTTGTCTATGAAAACTTCTCAAAGTGTCCTGAGGGCCAAAGCGCAACTGAAGCTCTTGTGAGCCTCATGCCTGGGGCCATTGAGCCACTCAGCAAATCTCTGCCGGCGCCAAGCATGCCGAACAAAGTGTGCAATCGCATCGAGGTCGAGGCGAGGATCGGCCAGATGAAACCTGCAAGGCGTTCGCCTGTAGCCCTCACTTTGCATGTCCATATGCTCCCATTGCCAGGGACCTCTCTCGCGCCAACTGTGCTTCTCAAGCCATCTGCGCAAGAGTCCGGCCTGGCTAGCGGCGTTGTTGGACCACGACACAGTGCCAGCATGGCCCGCTTTCTTTTAAAAAGCCGCATAACTACCACCAGATCAAGATGACATCTGGCTCCAGAAAGCACTTTACGAATCTTGTTGTTGGCCAGACGACAGGCACTGTGGGCCTTAGCGATGCCATCGAAAACATGATTTGCGTGCTCCCAGGTCGGGCGCCTGCCTACCCAACCATAGGCGGCGAGGCTGGTCACAACGCAGTGACAAGCGCGCGTAAGGATGTCAAACGGCAGCCCAACTTTGCCAAGGAGGTCAGCCCTCCGCCTTGCCTTGCGCACGCTGTCCACCTCACCAGGAAGGCAAGCCCTTGCTCCACGAGAGACGCTGTGGCATCCCAGCATTTTGACCTCCTCTTTGCGCCACGGCTCAGGACAAAGCTCAATGTCGGCCTCAGGTCCACGCGCAGTAACCTGAGTCTTCTGCGCGTTCTCACGCAGGTTGACCGAGTCGCTCCAGTCAGCCCACGCACTGATGCGCGAGTCTACGTCGCTCCACTGCTCACCTATGAAGGATCGGTCATCCATGTAGACAAGGCCTCCTTGAGCAAGACGGTTGTCTTTGGGCCCAAAACATCGTGCTGGCCCGCACGCACGTCATTGCCAGCCCACGGCCCTGCCAGTCCATACAGCGGCATGAGGAACCCCATGACTTTTTGTGATGACCACACCTGCCGTTGTCGGCTCGGCAGCGAGATGCTGCCCCGTCGCTTTCCACCTTCACGGGTGTCGCCGGTGGAGGTGGAGCGACATCCGGGAAAGCAAAGCCTGTCTGGAGCTGCCTAGTCCGGATATCGACCTGCCCTGGTAAGCAGGAGTCCGCTTCTCTGCCTCTGTCCTTTTCTGAACCTGGCCTTTTAGCTCCTCCGCTTGCTCTCTTTGGCTCGCAAACAACGTGGGAGCCTGCGAAATACGCAACTACTTTCCCAAGACGAGTTGCTTATATACCCTCGTGTTTTAGGGGGACGGGGGTCTGGGCCTGCGAAATGTGCAACTATTTTCCTGAAGCGAGTTGCTCATTTGGGGAAGGGCCGTCCTCTACACGTGCAGGCCAATGCCCAGCTGCTCCAGACGCCTGCGCTTGTCGTCTTGGGTCTCCTCTCCTGACTCCCGAAGTATAGGAGTGCCAGGTGCAGGTCTCTCCCAGGATCGTCACTGACATGTCTACTTGCAATGAAGGAGCCTTCGAAATACGCAATTACTGTCCCAAGAAGAGTTGCTTATTTACCCTCGTGTGTTTATGGGGAGGGGAGATGAGCTTCTAAAGAGAAAGGGGAGGGGGTCTGGGCTTGCGAAATGGGCAACTATTTTCCTGAGAAGAGTTACTCATGTCCGTGAAAGACGACATGCCGGAGAGGTTACTGACAGCATGCACACGGATAACAACGGGTCCTTCAAAAGAGAGCACGATTGCAAGCTCGGAGCCAGCCAATTTATGTCGCTATGCTGTTAGATATGTTCTGCAGAGCATGGCACAGAGGGCAGGGAGAGAGTTGAAGTGCTTAGAAAATGGTACCGATGGGCATGCGAACTTATGTCTTGATTTGACTCTTGACATTGTCGGACACGTCGAAGACTAGCCACAAACCCTGTGCACACCTTGGCATCACCAGCCCCGCGGGACCTGCCCACCAACGCAATCTTGAACGGTTCATTGGCATTTGTTTTTGACTTCAAAGTTCGAGGTCCAAGACTTCGATGTTCATGACATTTGCTACTAAGCACTGACTATCAGTTCGCCTCTAAGCTGCTCAGAGCACGCAGCATTGATTCCATGAGACGCCCATGAGCCTGAGAACCGCAGATGCTACGCCCTCGATGGCGCTGCGCAGCATCGGAGCGGAGGTAGCGGTGACCTCACGTATGGAGCTAAGCTGTAGGTACTTGTACATGACCGTAAGCTCTATGCTGTGTGATTAACAGAAAGGTTTTAAAAAAGCATCCAGCGCGAATGCCTGCAGTGACGAGGAAGAGATCTCAGCCACGACGTCTTCAACAAAAGTCCTGGAGCCAGCTTTCAAAGTCATTACACAGAATAGTGTGTTTGTTACACGGCAATTGCATTGTTGGGCAGATATGCCGATTGATGACACCGCATCAGTCGTAAACCCATGCACATGCAAACCCCCAACCCAAACAACCTGCCTCATCGCAACGTCTGCATTCTTGACGGCGACCTGGCAGGTGAATGCCCAGGTTTGCTGTTGCTTTTGATGCCGTATCGGGACGTGCTGGGACGTTCTTCATGACCTTGCGTTTCCCTTTCAGAACCCAGCATCCTGGCATCTTCTTTGCCCTTAACGACTCTTAGTGGGAACGCAGCAGAATCTAGCAATCGAGTCTCTTGCAAATTTTGGCTGCTCAGTATGTGCCACAGCAGTGTTTGCCTGCACTAAAGTCAGCGCCGCGAGGCGCGCGCCGGCGAAGGCCCCGGTGGTGCCGGCTGGGGGTGCAGCCAGGGCGGCCACCGCCTGGACCCCAAGATGCAAAAAGAACATGTCATGCTGACAGGAGCGTTGCAACCTTGGATCTGCACTCGGATCTTGTGGGAATAGGCCATGGTACCGCCATGCTGGGGAGGTGAGGGTCACTGGTTGGTTCCCATAGCTCTCCGCTACCTGCATGAGCGCTGAAGCAACAGCTGGTGCCAGCTTCTTTCGCTCTTCGGCCTGACATGCAGCACGAAACATACGGTTGCTTATGCGTTCGCCTGATACTTGACTGATTATGCATGTGGTCAGTTCATACGCACATCTAAAGACGCGCCCGGCTTGAAAAACACATCCCATGATACTCTACGAGGGCCCGCGGCCTGCTCTGCCAAAGGCTTGGCATGTTGCTTCAGCACGTCTACGAATAGTTGGAAGGTGTCCATCCTTCGTAGGGCATCGGCGTAATACCTTCTATAAATTTGAGGCGGATGCTGGCAGACAAAGCAAGTAATTGACACGGCTGTCCGGTGGGTCTCGAAGGTTGGAGCAACCTCTGCCAGCGCACGCTGCACGCCACAGGACTTGCTAGGGAAACTTCAGGTTTGGGCTCACACGGTTTCGGGCGACCCTTCGTCATCTGCAACTTAAATTGCTAGGCCAGCTAAGCGAGGCACGGCAACCGCAGTAGCCAGCAATCGTGACGACGCCTGCGCACATCCACGGAAGCTCATGCGTGACACTGCTAGCAGGTCTGGCCTGAGCTGGACAGCAAGTGCTGGCGTAAACTTTATGGCAAAGGCTTTTCCCTCGGAAGGGCCTCCGCCGTGATCGGAGCACTGTGCATCAAGCCTTGAACCTCGGCTCTGGATGCTGGATGCAAGTTTCAAAGACTCAGGTGACATGAGAGGCGAAAGCTGAAAAGGAGCTGAACAAAAGACTGCTGCAGAGGGTGAAAAAAAGGGGTGCCTCTGCTGCTTACGACAGACTTTTGCTTTTTTGGTTCTGTTGAAGTTCTGTTGCAGCAAGTGCGGCTTTCTCTCTCCAAGCCTTTCACGAATTCACACGCGCTTACCCCAAAACGAGTCACGTGTCGGGACTCGAAAGATTGCTCTTCAAAGCTGCTTGACGCTGCGGCTCAGGTAAAGTTTGCGGTTTCAGGTTTCCACTTTCTCTCACAAGCCAGCTAGAGCACTGGCAATACCCAAAGCAAACTCAGCTCCACATGGGACACCGTGGGACATTCACTTGGGCCACTCCACTGCTCTTGGTAGCAGCTGTGTTTCTTCGCGCGGAAGGACACAACTTGACACAACACCAATGAGACAAAACATGAAAGGCCACCAGAACACTACAAGGACAACATCTTCGCAGCATTCTGGGTCACGTACAAAGGCTTCGGATGCCATCGCAGCTACCCTCCTAGGAGCCGAGGACTGTTCTCTCATCTGCAAAATTTTCTTGCAGGCTTTAACGCCTCCTTTTGGCCGTCATCGCTAGCCGCTAGATTCTAGTTTGCTCAGCTCGCTCTCCTGAGCTTCTCCATGTCCAGCACACGGCTGGCCGTCAAGGTGCGAAGGGAGCAGAGTACCTGAGAAAAGTCGCAAAGCCTTGAGCTTGGCTTGGAAGGACACGGTCCCAACCTTCAGCGCTGCTGAGCTCATGCCGGGTTCCTTGCGCCCAGGTGAATTTTGGCACTAGAGTCACTAGATTCTACTTGGATGAGCCCCCTGTTAGCAGCTGTTAGCATGCTCCCTTCATGGTAGGCTCCCTGCCGTCCACTCTGCCTGGCGGCAATGGCAGAACGGGCACAGCGGCTTCAGGGTGCGACTCATGACATTGTCCGGACTACATACTGCATCGTGCTGCGCAGTTCTTGAATGCACCTGCCAGGATCCAAGTTACGTACTTCGGCTCATGACGCAGTGCCTGTCGCGAACGGAGGAAGCCCAGCACTTGCTCCACCTCTTCCTCCAAGCACTTGCGAGTCTGTGAGCTTCTTCTCCGCTTTGCGCTTTCTTGCCAGCTTCATGCGCCAATTTCGGCATTGAAGATGACACTTCTAGAAGGAGCCGCTCTAGCGCACATCATCGCGTGCGAAGTTGACGCGGGGGAGAGCGAAGCATCACACAGCGTACTCCCCAAATTACGCGCTCTGTCTAGCTCAACCAAGCAGTGTTTTGCTTGAAGGTGCCAGGGAATCGTGGAAACTCTGCGATGCCATGTGCACGCACTTTCAAGCCAGAGAGTGCCCCTAAACTTGTGGGGTGTTGAGGAGTGTTGGGCTGCCTTTCTTCAGGTCTTAGCGAAGTCCTTGTTTTCGCGGAGCAGTTTGGAGTGTCCGAACTAATGCGGAGGCTGACGCGAGGTGAAAGCTGAGGCCTAGAAGCTGGATTCGCGTTGCGCACGTGAGGTGAAGCACCAAGCAGCCAAGCAGCTCTACACCGTAAGAACCAAAGTGCACAGCACTGCATGCAAGAATATCGACAGTCCCCATGCGTCTGGCATAACATGCAACTTCAGGTAGCCACCACCCAGTTCCCCTTGGGTTCCCCTGGGTTCCCATGTCCCACCTGCTCACCGCGGCTCAGTGTTGCAGCAGCATCACACAAAGCATTGCAAAGCTCGTTCGCCTCACCAAGCGCAGAGTTTTTTTACACCAGATGTGACCAGACCTTTTGAAATTGCTATGGCCTTAACATCTGGTCTACCGCGGCGAGCTGCTCAGAATCATGAACGACTGGGGCTTCTCAGCAACAACAAGCTGCACGTCTGAGGCAGTGGCCATTGCGTATATGGCCGCCGACTGCCAAGTATGTGACTTTTCTTGCACACGATGGCTTGAACCAACACGCGGGTATTTATGCTTCGGCTCTTGACCAGAACACTATAATTTCACCCGGGATGCTGCTAGAACTGGTGCTGCACAAACTATGCTATCAGCACATTGACTGTAGTGAACCTTCCGCTTCTGCCGTGCATGTTCAATCTGGAACCCCCAGCAACCAACTGCGAACTCTCTCAATCAGACCCACTGCATGTCACAGGCTGCTCACAGGCTTACCTAGATTCAGATCTCAACGGCCAAACTGTAACAGCACAGAAACAGGCGTGCAAGATAGCCCTTGGCCCCTTTTCGTTGCCGAGTCCACACAAGCGATGCAACGAAGTAGGAAGCTCTGCATGGAAGAAGCATGTCTGCGCTGGCCAAACGTGGCCAGCAAAGTCATGGCTCGCTCGGGCCAGGAAGCACATCCGAGGATCAGGGTGTCCGGCAAGTAGATTCTCAGAATGCCACAAGTAGGCTAACCTTGGTCCTGCAAAGACTTCGCATTTGTGGGCTTGGCTTGGCGAAGTTAAGCTTGTTGAAGAAAGGGCGTCCTCGAGGGCCTGCACAATCTTTTCCGTCAGCGCTGTGATGGTTGGGTAGTCGAACCTACAATGGAAGCAGCACCCGAAGAGCCGAAGACAGGAAGACGACGCACAAAAGAGCATGAAACACCCACCGCCCAAAGATGTCTGGGTGCTGCACATCAACGAAGCTGGCCTTGGTGCTATGAGGTGCTATGTGACATTGCAACATTAGTACAACTCGGGATTCCTCTTGTAGATCTCCGTAGATCCTCGCCATCTCAGGTCACCAAGATTCGCGCAGTTTGACATTGAAATCCCTCGTCAGGTCGTTGCGGAACTGCACGCTGGACAAGCTGTCCTAGCACGTCACCACGGCTTTTCGACATCCCTCCTCTTTCCCACAGGTCGGCCTTTCACCCTCTGAACCCTGAACCCAAAACCCTATACTCCCTACTCTCAGCCCGCTTTTTGAGGGCGGTCCAGACCGGTATCCATGAGAGGCGTGTCATCTGCCACTTCGTCGGAGCCTCACCCAAAGGTGCTCGCGGATCTGCCAGCTATTTAGATTCCGGTGGACTACTTGGAGGCTCATGGGGTACTTATAAGTAGTACAGAACCATTTTTACCCCACTAATAAGTAGGACCTCCCAGTATTGAGGGCTGAGAATGCCGCTTCCAAGGATGCTCTCGACTTCCTTCCTGATCATCTCCTTCACTTGTGCGGGCTCTGGCCTGGGCACTCGGTGCTTTTGAGACTTTCTGAGTGGACACTATGTCATTCTGCGCGGGCTTCAGTCTGAATGGAAAGCTCAGGGAGAAGCCCCTTCTGCTGCACTGCCACAGCCCTGGGAAGTGAAAACAGCGACGACAGTTGAAAGTTCACAGCGATGTCAGACGCTTGCTCTCACGAGCTCCGCATCGCTCCACTGTCATCTTGGGGCCATCACGATGCTGCGGCAGTGGCCTCCGGTGCCGCAGTAATCGCCTTGTCCAAGGTATCACGGCAGCCGCTCCAACCCAGCATCCCCCGGCATTCCGCAGCCTCCACATCATAGGCTCCTCCTCCGAGCGCCACTCCGCTCCTGCATAACATTAAAAAGAGGCAGGTCATGTCGAGAATTGCAGTTCTCAAGTTCTGAGTCGCTGTCGGCCCAATCTCATTCAGCAGCTCGTTGGCTGCTGCCTTGAATATGTACTTCGTCACATGTCCCAAAACGGCTTTCAGAATTGAGATTCGTGCCACACCCTCATCATCATTGATTCTGTGGAAAATGTCAAGCGCCTGCACGGGCAACAGCTGAGAACTCTCTTCTCAAAGTATCTCATAGGTCTCAGACTCATGCTGCCCAGCCGGCCTCCTCAGCAGACTTCTCTGCCAGTCCTGCAGTCCTTGTCAGCTGAAGGATCACACACGATACCCGCACAGCCACACGGCTTTCCAAGGAGCTGGCCCCAGTTCGAGGAAGCCTCTAGCACACAACATCAGGGCCTCGGCTTCACCGTTTCGCCATGGCCACTGAAAGGTGCTCAGCTGCAGTTTGTACATGCGACCTCCACCTACACCTTCGCTTGATTGTAGGCAGCCAGCCACCGCCAAGGGTTGCTGCTCACCTGATGCAGATTCGGCTGCAGCTGACTCCACAGGTTGTCACTGAAAGGCCTGTCCGGCGATATGCCTCGCAGGCTCGTCCTTAGCACAGTGAGTACAGTGATGCACGCTGCACGGTAGGAGACGGCGCTGTCTGAGCAAAGAACTCCCTGCTGAAACTGACTCACGCGTCTCCCCAAACAGTGACAGAACCTGCTGGGACCAAGTTTCGAAAGTGTTCAGGAAGACACGAACAACAAATCTGATGAGCCTCGGCTCTTGAAAAGTTTGCCGTGGCCTGGGTCCGAGCATTTTAAACATCTAAACTTGCTGCTCGGAATGGACTTGGGAGAGAAGGCCCAGTGCCCGGCAAGGGCCCCATCGTCTTTACAGTCCTTGATGGCTGCCATTGCTTCGTCTGTTGCCTGAACAGTGCCACATAGTGCAACCCTTCTGTCTCGCCTGCGCACCTTGTGGCACCGCGGAATTGAGGCTCAGGCGACATATGCTTTGGAGCCCGCAATGTTGAGTCGATTTTCCTTGACGGGTCCCTCCTGCCTCGGCCAATCTCAAGCTCTTGCATTGTAGCAACTTGTACCAGAGCGTCCGATTCTTAAAACTTTTTATTTTCATATGCTTTTTTTCTCCGGCAGCGTCGGTCCACAAAGTGTCACGCCCTTTATGGCTTCATCGCTTTGGAAACCAGCGCAACTTCTGCAGAGGCATGTCGTAGACAATGCAACCAATGTAGCCCGTAGCCCTGGTCAGAAAGCTACAGCATGCTGCAGTCCTTCCTGGATTTCCAATCGAAATTCGTGCTCCGTGCCTTCAGCCGGTTCGGGCCTTTTTGGCGCTTTGCAGTGACTGGAGGCAGCTACCCAGCCTGAGCTGCCAAAAGCCAAGAGATTGCTGCACGCATGTCATGCAAGGAACCACACCTCAAGCTGATCCAAGAAGCTTGGTAATGGCATCCTTAGCTCCGAAATGCTTCGAAGATCCTACAGCGAACCCAGATCCAGCCGCAGTCATTCAGTCACCAAACAACACACACACACAATCTCAAATCGGGTGTCAGTGATGTTCTCCACCGTAGCTGCGTAAGACAGTCGCAAGCACTTGCCGTCTCCGAAAGCATCACCAGGCACAAGTGCGACTCGATACCTAGTCAGCATTTCTTCATGGCACTTGATATCAGTCTCGTCGACTTGCTGGAAAGTTGCAGTATCTCTGGGCTCCTTAAATCTTGAGCTCTTGCTGTCCCGATGCTCATCCAGCAAGTGGAGGCACAGCTGCGTTGCATCCTCCAGGAAGCTGTCATTAACATGATGTTGCTGTCACACTCTTGGAGTGAGTGTTATGGAGTTTTGGGAGTCTGCACTCCGCCGCTTTGTGATGGAGCCGGAGTCTTATCCAGTTAGAGGCAAGGGAAGCAGCCTTTCCAGCCCATATTACAGTCCCAAGGCTCATGGCCCTGCTTTCTATCAGTGTCCTCAATGACCTTTCCATCGGCCGTGGTGCGCCCGAAGTAAGCAGAAATGTCAGGAAACCTCTGATGCGCTTTCGCTATCGACATCCTCAAACCCCAAAAGCCTCAAGGGCGCCAAAACCCCTGAAGATCCCTGAAGCCCTCAACTTTGCAAAGTCTTAGCCCGAAGCAAGTAGAAGGCGCCGCCAGGCTTGGGGCAGTTGAGCTCCTCAGCATCAATCCAAGAAGGACCGGCATGGCTCGGCTCGAGCAAGGCCTCAAAGCATGGTCAAGCTGCGGGAATCTTGGCGAGGAGATCCAACGCCAGATCTCGCTTCTTCTCGAGCTCGACGACTTTTTCAGATATGTAACCTACAGGCATCTGGAAATCATGGGGGCCATGAAAACAGCTGCTCTGCAGCACAGACTTGAATCTAAGCAGCTCATATCGCATTGCAGCGCTGCAATGCCGGCATGCTGAGCCACACTCGAGGCACACGAGGTGATCCTCAGTCACATAGCCGATGGCAGCCTGCCCTGACACAGCACCATCAGCGAGATCGGCAGCTTACGCTAGCCCTTGTGGTTGGTAGCCAAGCTTCTGCGATTGCAGCTTGGAGGCCGCTTTGACAATCTCTTTCGGCGCGGCAAGATATCCCAACCGGTAGCCTGCCAAAGCTTGACTCTGACTCTGCTTGGAGACCCTGTCACTACAAGTCGCTGCAAGACCGCCTGTCATCGAAAATGCCTTGGAGAACCCGTTGATCGTGAGCGTGCGCTCCCACATGTCCTGAAAGCAAAGAGCGTTGGCAGAGCCTTAGAAATTGGTGACAATGGGAGCACGCCTTCAAGGCAGCAAACGACACATGTTCCGTGCCGTCATAGCCTCGGGATCTGGGGGCTCTTCTGGCGTTGCAAGCAACATTGGGTGCTTGAAGCATGGCAGGCGTAAGCTGCGAACATATGCGCTCATAGATCTCATCTGAGAGTACCTTGAGTCGCAGGTTGCTGGGCCATTGATGACCGGCCTTTTTGCACAGTAAGTATCTGCCGCTCCATGCTGGCGAGTCTCAAGCACGTGCTGATGTTGCGGCTGCCGTAGCACTTCAGCGACCGCTTCAACTTGATCGTTGGACATTGCGCAGCCTGCTGACGAGATGCGCAGATGCTCGGCATGCGAAGAAACACCCGCAGCATATGCTGTGAGGGCCTGTGGGATTCGATGGATTGCATACCTTGCTGCGACTCCCGGAAGGCGAGGATAACGCTGACACGTACCACATGTGCCGTTGTGAACATGTCACGATATCTCACGCCAAGTCTTCAAGACAAGCTTCAATCAGCAAGCGTGTCTGGGGCGTGATCGCGGCAGCCAACCTCTTCGCATCAATGGCGTAGCCCTGCGACGCGGTGGTCTCCAAAATTACCGGAGTCGCTCCCGACAGCTTGACAATGTCCTGAGAGGCGATGCCATCATCATGCCGGGTAACAGTCTTTATCTAGGGGGCATGGCAAGTCAGTGATGGCTCAAGACGCCAAGCTGCAGGGTAGGAAGTCCAGTAAGGAGCCGGAACAATGACTTCGTCACCTTTCTGGCAGAGCGCCATGACAACCTGGTAGATGGCCTGCTTCCCTGCCAGGATCTCAGGCTCTCGACACCCACAGACAAAAAGGTCTGTCCTGCCTCCGCATGCAACCAACACCTCGTCAGCGCTATACTTGACCTGCATTCACTGATCCACGGGGTTTTGGTCTTGAGAAGGCGTTGAAGCCTTGAGCTACGTGGTGCCGGGAAGACATTTTGACTCCCCCTAGCCAGCCCTCGTGACATCGACAGCCTTCTTGTGCTTCTCGAGGTACTCAGCAATGGCCTTCATGCAGTAGCAAGGCCATGTCAGCTGCAATGTGCCGCAACGCACTTGCATTGCACTTGCAACCTTGAAGTACAATATAATACAAGATAATACAAGAAAAACAAGCCTATCATAGCATATGCAGAGCGGAGGACAGCATCGTGGGCAGCTCCAGGCCTTGCGCAGCTCCAAGGTTCCTTTCGTTGCGCTGCCGTGCTACACTCTCAATTTTCGCGGGGCAATGTCTGTAAAGTCTTTAAAGCGCAGAGAGAACTGGAGAACACAGGCAAAGGTCCTGTAACTGCCGTGTAGCTTGTCAGGCCTTTGACGGCCGCTTCCTGGGTCGCTTGGATTGCTTCAGGTGGAGGTGCAAAGTCGGGCTGGCCCACCTGCGAGCACTTCGATGCACGCCGCTTCGGCATTGCAGAATAGGGTCCCAGACATGGAAAGAGACCACGAGATGCCGCTGAGGCGCGCATAGGGCACCATTCACTTTTTCGCCACGACTCTTCATGTTGGAGACCTTTCCAAGCCAAGAAACAGGTTAACTGGGCTACGGTTGCTCATGGGGCATGTTGCCATATGCCTTGCCTTGCTGAAAATTGCTACCGTAGTGGACCTCGGGCACTATGTCACTATGTCACTAAGTCATGGCGCAGCTCAACTTGATTGGGTCCCAGATGTGCAGCTGAGTCGGCCGCTCCTCCATCTCACTGATGATTGGATTCAGCTTTAACGGCGCCATGGCTGGGAAAAATTAGGAAAACTGTGTGCTGTTCTTAGGTCTACAGCAAGACATTACAGATCTTCGCTAGTATCAACTTCAGCTAGGGTCTTTTAACTTTGAAAAAGACAGTTCTATGCTGCAGGTATTGAGCAAGCTCCGCTGAGAAAAGCGCCGCGCCTGTCGCATCTCCACATTGCCCACGTTAGCAATGCACAGCCAACGGCTCTTCTCAGGCACATGCTCTTCAGTGGCATCCAACTTGCTAACCTCAGGGAGCACCGAAGCCATCGCTGCGCGACAAAACAAGTAGTATGGCTCAGCCTCTTGCCATGAACATGTGCGCTTGAGCAACAAGTGAAAGTGACTCAACCTCACAGACAGCGTAGTTCATTGTAGTGCAAAAGTTGGTTGGATCCTTCGAAGATACATGACGGCCTGCCCGACGACATCCTTCTCCTGCGGCCGCTGCGGAGTGCTCTTCAATCCAGAGAGCGGAGTAGCTGCAGGAGGGCTCAGGCATGTCCAGTGGCCTTCTTGTAGATGGTCTTTGCTGCTTCCGCCGCACGAGCTGCCTCCTGCGGAGGAGTTACTCTTCACCAAATCTTCACATCATGTCAATGGGGAAAAAGGGAATGACCGGCTGAAGCTTGCTCCTTTGGTTCTTCCCGGCCTGAACGCTGCAAACCGAAGCGAATCAAGCACCCAGTCACCACACATGCGATCGCGAACGTATGCGAATGTTGCTCCTGCCCGCAGGCCCCCGCTGCAAAGGTCTGCGTTCACAATCATGTACACAGGTACATAAGAGCACGCAGCCGCCCGAAGTTGCGAGCACAAGTCTCGTGGGAACACCATGTCGTGCACTAATGCGCCAGTTGCTTGCAACTCCATGCCGAGCGAGGCTATGGAACAAACCGGATACGTAGATCGGCACTGCATGACCGCCCAGGTTTGCTGGACATCTTGCAGAATCACCCCGACAAAGAGTAACTAGATGGCATGCTCAACAGGGAGAGAATCGTGTGACCCAAGTGACAAAACGGACTGCTGCTGAGTCGTGTATATTGTTGATTCTCAATCCCGTGCGCATGCATCACGGATAAGGATCCAGTGCACCTGGTCCATCAGCATTGTCCTGGCCACGCTGCTCTAGTGGCTGGTCAGCTGAGTCGCAAAGTGCAATATGCACACGCTACATTGCCCCAAGGCAATGAAGGTCAACCTGGCCACTTATGAGCCAAGAAGTCACTTCTGCACGCCCCAGTGACTCGGCTCCGCAGGCCAACACCCCTTCGGCGCTCAGAGCTCAGATCATGAAGGGGGTCCAGTGCGAATTTGGACCTTCCTTTCCTGAAGCGGGCGAAAGGAAAGATCAAAAACAGGTCCGTATGTTTGTTTTCCCGGATCTTCCGGGCACCCGACGCCGACTCTCCAGCATCTCGTCAACCTGCAGGTGTCGCACAGAATCGCACAATCACGGGGGCTTCGGTGACCACGGTTCCGCTCAGCTGAGCCACGCTCTCTTGGCCAAAACTTAAAAGTATAAAGCGAGCTGCCCGGAAACACTAGTGTATCCGACAAGTAGCCAAGTAATTAGCTTACAGAGGGTGCTGAAACCTTGCAACGAGAAGGGAAAGAAAACCAAACTACGAAGTTCACACCACAAGCTCGGGTCCCGCGTTCTACACAAGGAAGGCTACCTCAGCTCCTCAAGCCGAGCAGTCCCAAAAGCAAGCGACCGTCGCGAGGGGCAGATGGCCACTTGTTCCCACTTCTTCGAAGGTTCCGAAATCTGATCGAATCCTGGTAACCTGGCCTTTCCCCTCAAGGTGACCCGAAAGTTGGCCTTACTAGGACTGGCAGGAAAATTGCTTGGAACGTATGCCACATCATGCCACCCATGCTAGCCCAACTGTAGAGTTGTTCGATTTGTTTCCCGCAGGCCAGCCTTTCCCGGCTCGCTGGCAGCCGCCACAAAGCCGTAGAATGGAGGCGATGGCCTCAGCAAAAGAGGGCCGTCTGAAAGCATGACTCCTGCAATTTGATGCTTCAGTTTCTGGACTTCTGCTTGCAACTGCGCAGTACTACACAACACTACAGTAAGGATCCGACTGGCCTGGACGTGACTTGTACTCTGGGTGGTATTGCACACCCATGTAGAATGGGTGGTCCTGGAGACAAGCGCAGGCTGCCACATCCTGCGTGCACGCAAGATGCTGACCTTGGTCGCCATCTCAATGATGTCCATGCGCTCCTTGGAATGTTTTTGAAGCAGCGGGATTGCACAAGCAGAGAATAGCAGAGACTTTTCTGCTGAATCCGTCCTTGCTCTCATCCTGACCAGAGAAAATCAGGCCCTTCTTCTCCATTCTCTCCTTGAAGGCAACGTTGAACTCATAGCCTGTGCTGCACGTTGAAGGTGATCGTACAAGTCTCATCATACGACTGTTGTCGAGCTGCGGTGTCTGTGTCGCTCGTGGACGCGAGTAGCACCACCTGGATTCGAATCTTCACTTGACTCGAGATGCTCGACCCACCACAAACAGAAAGTGTGCATACTTCTTGGTGTTTTGGGTGGTCGCAAGACTGGTACCTACTGCCGGCTACTACCACTACTACGCTTTTTCGTCTGGAAGGGCAGGCCCCTGCCCCTGGCACCCCTACCACTTCTTTTCCGTCTGGAAGGACAAGGCCAGAGTGGCATTTACCAAAGCTTACAGTGCTAGAGGTTCCGCCAGGATACCGTACAAGGAGGCGGCCAAAGACTCCTCGGGCTTGGTGAACTCCACCCATCTGGCTCCCAGTCGCATGTTTGCACCCATGGTCTCCTCACGGCACATGCCACATCTGCTCGATCTCGAGTCATGACTATGCCATGTTCTGCAAGACTATTGCAAGGCTGCCCCCAAGTGTAACTCGGTGCAAGGTGGTTCCTTCGAGATCTCAGGCATGAAGATGACAACATGGTTCTTCGACCTCAGGGTACGTTGACAACGACCTTCGGCTCAGCGCATCTGAGTGCATGTCAGTGCTAGCGAAAGGCTTCGCAGTGGTGTCAAACTCTTCGCTGGTCGCGTCCGCGATGCCGAGCACATCCTTTGCGAAGTTGATCAGGGCGACCTTCCGCAAATGGTCATGGTGCTGTCGCAGCAACCCTTTCAGCATTGTTCGATAGTCTTCGACTGGCCCTGACTCTGCCTGCATGCCCAGGCAAACGCCCAGGTACGGCTTCTTCCACTCGCGACTCAGGAAGCGCGGCCAAAGCAGAACCAGAATGCTTGTGACGGAAGCAAGCGCTCTCTCCACAATGTCTGACAGGGGGTTTCTCTTTGCAGCTAGAGTGCGCCAGTCCAGCTGCGCGGGTTTTGCCTGCGACGCCTTCATGCTGTGATCATGTGCCGTGTGTAACATGCACGGCAGTGCAGGGTAAGAATGCCCTGGGAAGATCGCTATCAGGATGATGTTGGCATCTGGCCTCGATCGCCAAAGCCTCCAGGAACAAAGATGCCATCGGCTTCTTTCAGCTGTGCCTCGCTTGCGCACTGCGGCGCTACTTGGGGCTTGCTCCCATGTGTGCTCCCATGTTCTCCCAACTCCATACGCTGCCCTGCTACTTGGAGGTTCGTGGTACTTATCAACCGATTATAACTGTACTTACAACTGTACTTAGAAACCATATTCGGGCACTGAAGGGGCTTATAAGTGGGTTAGAAGTACAGATATACCTGGGCAAGAAGTCCCATGAACCTCCAAGTAGTGCATGTGCCGGCACTCTGTAGCAGCACCTCTGCAGCTGCCACACGCTTCAGCTCCTCCTCGTAATTTGGGCTGTCTGAGCTCGGAGTCTCCAACTCAGTTGCATCGATCCATTCCTTACAGAGAACGGGGCTGATCAACAGTGGCTTCTGCATGCTCAAGCGCCACTTGTAGAACTGCTCCGGATTCACTGAGAACCTGACAATCCTGAGCTTTCCTGAGGGAGTCTGGGAAAATGAAAACTCCGCTCGTGACTGTCCAGAACTCAGAACGCGCCTATCTGCATTCAAAGTGCTCGTGACAGCTACAGCGGCGTGATGAAGCGCAGCGATAACGGACTGATAGGCATCCCCACCTCAGCATGGATTTGGAGGTTTGCATTGACATCTTTGAAACAAAGGCTGGCTTTCGCATGTCGGGCATACTGTTAGCCGAGGCAGCCGGCCTCCTTTATTGTACTTGCCCACAAAAGCGATCGTCACGGGCTTGGCAACTTCAGCCTTTAAGACGATCACGCAACGAGGCAAAAATGTGCCAATTTAAGTTGATCAAACAAAAATGCTAAGGAGAGCGAAGTTCAACTTATCGAGATCAGTTCGCCCTCTCGCCCTGCCTGATCCACTTGCTTTGCGAATCTGTCCCAGTCGTTGAGAGTCCGCATAAACTTCTGACGACCTCGTGCCACTTGCTTCATGGCTTCAGCACTCACTTCCTTGATAACACTTTCTGGAATTCTGGAAGCATCATCGTCTCTGATGTTTCGGGCTGTATGCTATTGCAGAACCGCAAGGAGCTGCTATGCCAAGTGCGTAGGAAAACTAGCACAGCAAAGACAAGCTTCCTTGCAGGATGGGGGAATATGACATTTGGGAGTAATTAACGGCAATTGTGGGCTTCTCCCAGCAGCGCACTCCGCCGCCTCGGTCTATTCTGGGGGCATCCTCTTCTGTCAGGCTCACTATTGGAGTTACAGTTTTTAAGTGGAGTCTTGTGGGATGCCCTGGGGTGAATTAAGGTGTGCGAAGACGCGTTGCGCAGAGTGCAGGAGGGACGCAGACTGCTGCTCAGTGGCCCGGTGCTGGTGCCTTCGCGACCTTAGGCCATCTTTGCAATTCGTGAGCTTGTCAGGCTTACATGCTCCCCAACCTACGCAATGGCAGCGGGATCCGACTCGTTACCTAGTTTGCCTGATATGGCCTCTTGGTCTGTTGCCCGATTCGCAGTCAGGCTTTCTCAGCCAGGCAACGTCCAAGCCATCGAGCTTGAGCAGGCCGTTCATCACACCAATGAGATGCTGCTGCGCGAAGATGCCTGCGCGGCGCCCCCCACCAAGCAACGGGCATCTTAGGTGGTCAGCTGCACTGCCTGGAACATGAAAGAGATTTGTTACATCATGGGCGCTGATGATTCGATTCGCCGGAATGTTGCACCTGGACAGCCAGCTCACTTCGAAGCCAAATCCCGCGTGGAGACTCTGCACTGCTTGGACTTGGGCTGGTTTGCAATCTTCTTTCGTGTGTCCTCGAGCACGGGGTCTGGGCCTCAAAGCTCGAAGGCTCGAAAATTGTATGGCTCGTGGCTTACAGGGCTTCAAGCTTCTTTGGTTGAACGACTCCGACTGGATTCCAGTGGCAAGCAACCAAAGCAAGAAACACGCGTGGCAGAAAGTCAGGAAGAAGCAGAAGAGAACAGAACAAACTACAGAACCAGTCAACGACATGGAATAAACAAACAAAACATGCAAAAACGCTCGCTCAGCTCAAGTCGGCCTCTTGCCTGGACATGACGTTTCCCTGTTTGCTTCTCGGGTCCACACATCTGCAGATGATCAGGTCCGGCTGGACACCTGCAATCACCACAGCGCTCACAACGGTCACAGTCTGTCAGAGTGCCAGACTGCACTTGCTTGCACTTCGCTTGCCTAGGCCCAGAAGCGCCTTGACCTGAGATTTTGAGATGCTCTACAATCTGCCTTTGCAGCCTTTGCACTACATGGGGTTGCACGGGGTTCGGCGCAGTGCTGCTCAGCCTGCTTCGACACCAGGGTGCGGAGTGTTGCGTCGGCTTGGTCTTCTGGCCGCTCATGTTCCTGAGCTTCTTCAGGGCTTTGTTCATGCCCTTCCCCTCCAAGGCTTGGAGTTCACAAAGCCTGGTGGCAAGCTGTGAACAGCAGTTTCACGGCAAGTCATGTGCAACCCAACACATAGGACAAATCCGGAAATTCAAGAGTCGGTATGTAAGAGCAGTGGCACCAGACAAGCGAGTTCCTCAGCTGCGAGTTAAGTAGGGCTGGGCTTATGGAGCCACCGACATGAACTACAAGAAAAGAAGGCTGATGTTCAGTGAAGTATCTCGGGCAAGTTGAACTTCAGTTGACGCAAGGCCTCGACGAATGGCGTTGACTCGATGTCGCCGATCGTCCCACCGAGCTCGATCATACCTGCTTCGAACACGGCTGCTGCGTAGAAACCCGATATGGGCCCTGTGTAACATGGTTCACCTCATGTTTCTCCCCAACATCTCCCTTGTCAGCATCGTTTGGTCTGCTGCTTGTCGCCTGACGAGAAAAGAACCTCATCAATAAGCTTATGCAACCCCATATTTGGGACCCGAAGTTGACTTCCTCCATGTCACGGACCCCCACAATAACACAAGATGCTGTAGCGTAGGCCCATGCAACCGCAAGACTTTTGCTGCGACGGGACCTAAACCGTTCGATCTCTCGGCCGGGAGGCAAATCTGGGGCCGCAATCCTGTGCCATCTACAGGCTTCTTGGCAACACCTTGCATGTACCCAGGAAAAGCAAAGACACTTTAACGATCCTGAGTCGCATCATGCAGTGCACATGCTCGTTTGCAAGTTTTGCAACTGTGCAGCTGTCAATCCAGGAGATCATCTCCCCGGTGATGTGGGGGACGACTTGCACAGTCTTGCCCAAATATTTTCCTTCTCTCTCCTGGAAAGCGGCCAAGAGTCTTGGTTTCTTAACGTTTTAGAGAACATTACAGCACTCTCCTTCTTGATGACAGACTCGTAGACTTTCCCCGTCGTCAGGTTGTTTTCCCTGGACTGGGGCAGACTCGTGCACAGGGGTGCGGTTGGTCAGCTGATCTGTCGATGAGTACCCCTGCAATGTTGCAGTGGCGCCGAATGATGGACTATGAAGTGGCCTTTAATGGATCTTACTGGGGGCTCCTTCGATGGCCTCATGGGCCACGAGTCAGTGCCCAGCATCGATGTCGCAAGCAAGGCGCCTTGCAAGTGAGAGGTACATCATGCGCTCGTAGTTTCCCAGGTCGAGGTCTGTTTCTCCTCCATCATCCAGCCTCGGCTTGCAGCTGACAAGCTTCGCTGACCCTCGTGCCATGCTGGAACAGTGCAGCAAGGTGGCACGTAAACCTGCAGGGCCGAGGTTGGTGCGACTTCTGCAAAACAAAACTGCTGCTACACAGGCCACCAGCGTAAGGCTCAATACAACAAACCGCCCAACACTCTACCCATAAGCTGTATGCAAGGAAGAGCCTCGCCATGTTCGTACCTCAGCTATTTTTTGAAAGCGGACTCTCGTGACCTGTGTGAATTAATCAACTGAGATGTACCCACCACTGCCTGCTATCAAGAGACGGACTCATCAAGCCAGCATCAATGTTGATGTAAGGATCCATCTTGATAGCAGTGACCTGTACCCATACGCAAGAGCTGCAGTATATCCTACTTTGTAAACTTGTGATGGTATCGATGCTTTGCTTAGGGTAGCTGCGCGGAAGCCATGGCCGCGGAGCAGCGCGCCAATTGAAGACGTGGCAACACCCTGCAGGAGAGTGCAAGTCTATTGCATCCGCTGCGAACGCATTGCAGGTTCCAAAAACTTCGCCTTGCCAAGCGAACTGCATACTCCGCCGGAGACGACAACATACTTCACCGCCTGCCCGACAAGCCCGGAGCTAACGGGGGACCATTGTGCTATTGAAAAGAGGGAAAGGGAGCTGGGGGTCGCTTGGGCTCAACCGGTCCGAGCAGGCTCAGGGCTGCGAGAATGTGATCCCGTCCCTCTCGCCCCTGTCTACGTAGGAACATGATTGGCAAGAGTTACCTAAAGCATCGCCAAAGCCTGATCAACTTGAGGCCGGAAAGCTGCTGTTGCTGGTGAGGGTGGGGGCAGCAGATGTACCTCTCCGAAGTCGTCCTTAGCGAAAGCTTGGTGGTGGAGCACCAAATCAGAGGCAGCTCCTTGAGACAAGACTCTGCGGGTGCAGGCGACGGTGGTGGAAAGAGGTGGTAGTCAGAGGCTGCTGAGTCCGTCTTCCTGCACAAGGGCTTTGCTCAAAGGAAGCGCCACCAAAACCCCCCCACCCATCAAGCCCTATACATAAACGGCTTCGCATGTTTCGCCCAAAGGCTTTTCCGCACCTGAGCTTGACCATCCTCATGGGCTCGCGAACTTCATCCCTCTGTCTGGTCCGAGAGTCTGCCCTTGGTCATCGCGCGCTTGGGTTTTTACAGTTCTTATATATGACTTTCCAGGACTTTGCGCTCTGAGCGAAACATGGGCCAAGGACCACGGAAAGAGCAGCTGAGATCAAGGCTCGGCCATGCTGCGCAAAACAAGACGACCCACCCCCGAATCTGAAAAGCAGCGGCTGCGGCTGGTTAGATGCACTACTCGAGTTCTTGTAGTGCAGACTCCTGCGGAACCCCATAGCACTCAAAGAACAACCCAAAGGCCCCAAAAAGAAACTCTGGCTTTGGCAGGCCCTGAGCCGCAGAGTTCCTGGGCTCCCGTGCTCATGTGGAGCGTTGCGATGCTATGCAAGGCTTGAGCCTTACGTGGCCCAGATGTGCACACGTCTTATGAAGTCGCCAGGTGCTCTACAAACGAGGCTATCAATGTCTTCAATACGAAGTTGAATCCCTGGAGGGGTGCCGCTGCCCAGCCATTGTGCCAGTTGGGCCCCGTTTTCGGCCCGAGGCCAAGGTTTGTTTGGTGAGCAGGCGCAGCCGGTGGAGAGCCCAGTGCAGCAAACCATCCAACCGCTCACCCTCCAATGCCAGAATGTTGCTCATTGCGAATCACGGTCCTTCTTTACTAGGGGTGGCCTCTGTGCACAGACAAGCTTTGCCAAGCTTGCCGGCTTGACAAGGGGTCCTAAGACATGTTGGGGAAGGGGGTGAGGCCCTCTCAAGAAAAGTTTTCCGTGCCGATCTGGGTCCCACAGGGACCTGAGGGCGGATTCCCTTTTCAACAAAAATTTGCTTGAAACTCTGCTTCCCAAACGAAACCCGGCAAGGGTGTGGCAGACCAGGCAAGATCCGGTTTCATGCGATTCTTGCGAGGCCACGCTCCCAGCCCCCCCGGCGGTGGATTTGGAGGCCCTGGCCTCCGCTTGTTAGACGGGCCTTCAAACATTAAATGCCCAGGAAAAGCGGGGGTTGGAGGGGACAAAAATCTCGGATGCGGGCTGCGCCCTTCTTGTCTCTGGCCTGGCACTTTGAGCATCGATAACAGGACACACACACACACACCCACGCACGCACGTACACGCACGCACGCACACGCACGCACGCACACGCACGCACGCACACGCACGCACACGCACGCACCGCACGCACGCACCCGCACGCACGCACCCGCACGCACGCACCCGCACGCACGCACCCGCACGACGCACCCGCACGCACGCACCCGCACTCACGCACCCGCACGCGCGCACCCGCACCCGCGCGCACGCGCACGCGCGCACGCGCACGCGCACGCGCACACGCACAACCAGGCACTATCCTCATCCAGCCTTCTCCCTCACGAGGCGCTCCTTCCGTGCTGCCTCAGTCGGTTTCTTCAGGCTGGACCCCCCCTTTTTCTATCATGCTTCTGGGGAGGCGGCATCCAACGCCAGGTCGAGATCACCCATCTCCTGAAGGTCTCAACCCCCTCTGCCTAGCTCTCAGTATGTGGCTCAGCTTATCATGACGCGCTCAACCAAAGGCTGCCCCATTGTCGGCTTAACCGATGTGAGTGGTACGACTACGGTGACTTGCCCCGAGCTGCACAGCACAATCTGCTGAGCAGCGCGGTTGGCGGTTCCTCGCTTGCTCTGGCCAGCACACTAGCCGGGAACTGTGGAAACAGAATATGTGGCCTACCAAAGGCCGCAAACAAGGTGCGGCGTCTGTTGTTCGGAAGAGCTGTCAAACTGCAGCACTGAAACCCGAACCAGGCAAGACTTTGCAAGCCTCAGCCGAAGAGTCCACCTGAACCAATTTCAAGTCTGCAAGGCCCTCGCTCAGGGAGACCATGACTGGCCGTTGGCTCTCCAACAGCTTAACAGGCTGTTGCAGTGCAGAAATGTTACGTGCATAGGGTCTGAGTCGAAGTCCAAACCAGTCGTCCACGGCCTTACCATGAAAACGGATGCATTGACATCAATATTCGCCTCGGCTTCCTGCCGAGAAGCGTTTGGAACAAGCAGACACGGATCCGATCTCCTTCCCGATTCTGTGCGGGGTCCTGCTATAGAGGGGCGCCACCCCTTTCTGGAACCCCCCCTTGAGACCCCTGGGACCCTTCTTGGGCCGCCCCTTGCCCTCTTTCCTCCTTTCCTGTGGGCCGGCCCGGCCGAGGCGGCGCGCAAGCGTTTACAATAATATGCTAAGAGATGTACGAGGGTTTATGAGAGTGTGGTGTGCCCCGGGGCTGCAAGGGTAAGGGGCCATGCGGGACTTCCTCCAAAAGGGTTTCCAGGAGCTTCCTCCAGAACACCTTAAGCAGATCTAAACAAGAGCATTCCGCGCTCACTCCAAGAGCACTCACTCCATTGACCCAAATATGGAGGTTCATATGGGTAGTCAAAAGTAGGGTTGTTAGCTAAACTTTCTCCCCCCAAACCCCGGAGCCCAACACCCTTAGCCCCGAGGCCGGAACCCTGTAGACACCAACCCCTCCACTGTCCAACGGTTTAGTCTTGGGCTGGGTTTGGGGGGAGTCTGCGAAAATAAGTGTCTGACATTTGGAGGGTAGTACGGTGGAACTTTGTGTTTAGCAAGCTTATGAAACACATCAGACTCTATATTTGAAAAAGTAATCACGTTGGGGCTCTCGATCGCCTCCAAAACATGCTTGTGTCCTACTAGTGGTTGCCGCTGATTTGTGAGGTGAGGGTGCATCTGGAGTGTGCGCTCTGCATCAGAAACCTAAACGACAGGGGTCTGCAGATGATGATCTGCTGAGTCGTTGCTGAGAGACCAGCCGTCACCACTTCACGCCGTGGCACTTCTCGAGCCTCAGCAGCAAGCTTGCCTGCCTTTACTTTCGAACATGGACGGTGAACATCCAATGTCTAGTTGCACCGAAACAGCAAGATCATGTGCTGAGACCACTGCTGGTGCTGCTTCAGACTGTGTCTCTTGTGGGGTCTGCCTCAAAGCTACCTTGGCAGGAGCAAAAAGCTCTTCCAATTGGAAAGCATCATCAGGTCGTGCATGTTTTTGTACAGGCACAGGGGACAATGGACCAGAAGAGGCCAGTCAGCTGCTGGAAAAGTGCTTCAGTATGTTGTTGAGGCTCCCTGGATCTCTTCTGGGCTCGCAGCCCGTTCGGACTCCCACATAGGTGGGGGGCCTGCTGTGACATCGCCATCCTGCACTGGATCATCAGGAATACAGAGCAGCTTCACATGGCAGCTTGCAAGGACAACTATGCGGCCAATCTCCTTCGCTGCAACTTCTGGCTCTTGCGACATCTGCTCTGGCTGACTGCTTGACTCTTCCGACAGTGTTGTTGGTGGCTCCACAGCCTCGATGAGCAGGCAATGTGGTACATGATGGTAAAAATTGGTAAAGGGATAACTCAGAGTGCCAGAGCACCTTCGTTGCAGACGAGTCAAGGGAAGCTTTATCTCGAACCTCGCAGGCGCATCTCCAAACCCACTGTGGGGCGATCCCTGCTCTGTTTCACCCGGCCTCATGAGCTCGTAGGCTTGCCAGCATTGGCGCCAGATAATCTCCACGGCTGGAAGTCTTGTCGCGGGACCTTCGCAAAAATCACTCGAACGGCCACTCACTTACTGTATCTTACCTTTTCAAAGTAATCGATTCGTCGTCCAAGCCAGGTGCATCGGCAGCACTTCAAGGCTTAACATGCGGCTCTGTTCCGTTTGGTAACATCTTTTTTACACGAGCAGCTTTGATCCATGCAGAATGTACTGTAATTGCCGGCCGAGCAGCTCTGGAAGAGAAATTCTGAGAGCAGCCTCCTTGGCCTCGTCTTTCGGAGCACCAAGCCGTGACAAAGCCATGACAGATGCACCCAAACGTTCGAAATTCCATGAAGCACAGCAGTTCTCATGTTAGCCTGAGTCAATGATATCAGAAACTGGCTGATGACCCAGACCATCATATCCGGGACATAGGGTCCACGTGCTCCAAGCCCAGTGCGGCCAGGGAGGTAGGCGAAACGGACCCTGCGTAGGAGTAGTCCTCCCTGAGGCAGCTTTGCCACTTTGTCACAGCTGCGTTCTCGACTATCTTCCAAGAACCGCATTGATGATACATCCAAGCCAAGGTGCTGCATCTTGAAGTCAGGCAGCGTCTGCATCATAAGGCACAAGCTGGAGTGGCGCTTGCATCATTAAGACAGTATCTTGAGCCAGGCTCTGCGATCGTACATGTCGTACACGCATACGCTCAGAACAAGCCAAGACAGCCCAGGACCGCAAGCTGAACTGCAACTGCGCCGCCGTGCCACAAATTAATGTTGCAAATGTTGCTGGCCAGGGTTGGCAGTCGCCTGGTGAAAGATGCTCAGGACTCGAAGGCACTCAGCCTGCAGAAAGCATTGCAGTTCAGTTCTTGTAGCCGAAACTATGATAAGCTTGAAGCTCAAGGCCAGCCGGCAAGATGCTTTCGCGCATGCGCAGAAGCGGTCAGGCCTCTGCGTCCCTGTTGTTCTCGTTCTGCGATGAAGTCATGCCCTGATCCACCCCAAGGCGTTTTTTTCAGCGTTTCCTAAACCCACAAGTTGACAACCAGCTGCTTGGAAACAGAAGGGCGAGCTGGCATTTTCTCAGCGAAGCTTGCCAACCTCAACGGAAGCAGGTTCTTTGGCTCCTTAAACAGTTCTGAGCCTGCAAGGCTTCAGCAAATGGCGCTTCGCCGGCTCCTTCTTCATCCATCGTTCTGGAGCTGAGTCCCAGCCTCCATTCTCATCGACCTGAAGGTGACATTGCAGGGCTACTCCTGACTGGAGCTGCCACAGCCAAGGCATGGTGTCTTGTGGCCGCTTTTGGCTTATGTGTCAACATCTTCAGCTGTGTGGCTCCTCCATAGCTGCACCTGTGAGCACGCTGGAAAAGCAGTGGCACTCTCTCACTGCCCCTCTGCTTGATTGCCGTGTGCAACATCGGCACTCAGCCAAGAAACCAAAGTTGCGCAACTTCGTGGCTTCCTCCGGATTCCGAGGGATCCCCAGCAAGCCTTCCACCACGAACTCTATAGGTATTGTGAGCCATGTAACAAGTCATAACATCATAACATGTTCTGTGCGAGATGGCAAACCTGCCTTGCTCGAACACGTCTGCCATATATGCAAACGCTTTCCTCAGGCTGTGTGATTCTCCAGCGATGACTTCACCATCAATCCGCGGACTCACAGTCAGTGAGAATGCCATGTCAAGGCCCAGTGCATCCCTGAAAGACGTCGAAGGCATTCCTGTCTGCCTCTTCCTAGCGCCTGAAAGTAGTTCCTAGACAAGCGTCACGTTCTTCTTCAAGGCTGCTTTGCGGAAGTACTCCACAGCACCAGGGTCGCCTTTTTCTTGCAGGTGGATACCAAAGTCCAGCATCGCCTGCCACTCTTTGAGGCTGGAGGGTGACTGAGAGCACCCCTTGTTTGACTGGGCAGAGTCTTACCAACTTGGAGCCGGGCGGAGCTGTCTCCGCGCAGAGAGCGGAGGAGCAACTCCTGGACGAAGTGCTGAAAGCTGTATTCCTTCACTTTAAGCGAGCCTTCCACCACCTCTTGCCTTGCGGACCGGGTCTGGAGAGTGCACCAAGCCGGGCCCGGAGTCAAAGTCTGAGAGGAAGTACTCCTTCCACGGCGAACGGACAAGAAATCACTGGCATTCAGAGATCCTGCACGAGCCCCAACGGCCTCCAGCAACTCCTCGCGCAAAGAGAAAGACGACCTCGCCGCACTTTGCAGACTTCACGCCACGGTGTAAATGACCATGACCATGACTCATGTCAGTACATGTTGAGGTTGACTTGATGTCCTGAAGGCTTCGGGCAGAAGTTTGGATTCAAGTTTGTTCTCCAGAGACCGTCTCAATTGGCATTGTACGGGCAGGTTTCCAAAAATGCTTTTGGCCAAGGGTCCTGTCGGGTGTGTTGTCGGGTGTCTGAAAAGTCACCTGGGACTTCGCGGCGAATTCAGCATCGCTAAACAGGCATCTATATCTATAGCTATGGATGAAGATATGTGTGCGTGTGGCCGAGTCACGTAAAACAACCTCCGTCTGCTGCCGCCCATAGCTTCCGGCAGATTGGCCCCGCCGCAGTGCAGCAGGTTCGAGTTCATGACGATGGCCGTGCCCGCTGGAGACATTGTTGGCAATCCTCACGACATAGGTGCCGAGCGTATTGCGCAATACTACGCACCTGTTAGAATCCTGTTAAACCGGCCGAGCTTGTCACAAAATCTAGCTCGTTGCCAAGCAGCCTCCATGCTTCTTGACAACCACATCCTGCGGCATGAAAACCTGCTCGCATTTGAAGAGGGACAAGTGCGACTCCAGATTGTGAGTGCCTTAGATCCACTCAGCTTGTCACAATGAAGCATGTCACATTCCGTCACACTTCTCTTCATCTGGGTGCATGTCTTTGCAGCAGGAGGGCCTTGGCAAAGGATGGTGGGGCCCATTGCCGCCCGCGTCTCTTGCAAAGGCACGAACACGGTGACAGCTGGTGCACAGGCGCTACCTGAACAAGGTTGAAACAAGACTGCCGCACAAGACACAATGATACTACATGAGCTGTGTGCGCAGAAGCCGGCGCATGCAGGACGCACAAACATTCAGGATGCTCTATTGACATCTAATGCCTATGCGGAGGGTGTCGGCATGTAGCGGCTGCTGCTTGGCACCTCACAGCCAGACACGTCTGATTTGGTGTCTGCCAGGGTCAACATTCAGACTTTCCGCTGAACTTGGGGTGAACTTGCAGCTAAGTCGAGAGATGCCGCCTGGATCACTGACCACACACGCCAACTCTGCCAAAACGGCATCTCGGGAGACCAAATCTTCCAGTAGGCTGCCCAAAGATGAGACCTTTCATTCAGAGAGGCTGAGAAAAAAAAAGGGCTGAAGCTCCATGGGGTCTGCCGGGCACCAACTATAGAACAACTCTGAAAGCCGCTCTCTTGCTTGAGATGCTGAGTCTGCCGAGCCACCAGCAGCTCCACAGCGCAACGGACCTCCGAACACAGTGGCAGTTTGACGTCCCAGCGGTGGTCCTCCGCATGCACCTGTCGCGCAGTGTGCGTGCACGAGGCCGTGAATCCAACAGCCCTGACCGCCCTTTGCATCCGGGCCAGGCACGGAACCCAGTTCCTGAGACAGCAGCTATGCCACGTTGCATCTTGACATACTGTGAGCACAATACAGCCAGTGCAGGCTGAGTGCAGGCTGCGTGCAGGCAAGCATCTGCGAGTTTTACTTGATCACGAGCAGCATCGTCGGGTGCGTCGCGTAGCTTCTGCTGCACCTCCTCGAGCACAGCGTCAATCAATCCCTTGGCAGTGGCAAAGCTCAAAGCATTCGGAGTGAGATATATAGAGGCATCAAGGGTTGCGATGGAAGTGCAGACTGGGTACAGCAAGCTGAGTGCATGAATGGCTTGGCAGTGCATCTGGAACCATACAACATCCTGACAATCATTGATGCTTTAAGAGATTGTGTGCCACATCGCCATACCGTGGCATCAATTGCAAGCCATTTCATTGCCGGCCTCGCTCCACAACGAGAGAAGTGCATGCAAAGGTGCCTTGTTTCAGCTCCTGCATCGGCAAACAATGGGGTCTGCCACATGTCCTCAACATGCGCCACACACGTCTTCAACAAGCGGTCTGATGTTCTGTTTTTCCGGGTCCTCAGGCTCAAAGTACCCAAAGTCTGGAACCTTATCATGTAACAGGCGGAAGACTGCACTAATCGAAGCGGTTCCATGTCTTGGCCTTTGAGTGTCTTTTGGAGAGTCTCAGGAAGCGGCAGGGTTCTCTTCAACCCCAAAGCGGCCGACTGCCAAAGTGCCTCCCCGGGCTGGTGCCCGCGGATCCGGTTCATCGTTTCTTTGGCCACGCCCTTTGCATCCTTTGCCTTTCTGCCCGGTGAAGCCTGCAGCTCGACAGGAGAAGAGCTTTTAAAAGGCTTTTTCTGAAAAAGGAACTGTTTTTCGGCACTGACGGCAAGAGACTACTGATTACAGTATCTTGGAGCACAAAGGAACATGCTCTGCTGCGTGCAGGGTGAGCACTCGAGCGATCACGGAGCTGCTGCCAAAGCACTTGCGATCCAGTTGCTCCTGCCCTGACCCTTGAGACCCGGAGGGCTCTGCTGTCCTTTGCCTTTGCCCTTCCCTTTCTTCAGATAACCTGTGGTGTCGAGGCACACTGACATTAGGGAAAGCACTTGCCACCACTAATGCAAGCAACCAACAAGGACCCTTCAGCTCTTTTTGTAAGCCTGGTGGAGGAGGAAGGTCTGGAAGGGTTTCTGGATCTTCCAGCAGTTTCCACCTAAACGCATGAAGAAATATGAGCCGTCCACTAGTCATGCTCAGCGCGTTGGACCATCAGTTGATCGCCAACTTGCTGCTCCGGCTGTTGTCATAAATTGTTGAACGTAGATGCATCTGCTCCGCTGTACAGAAACATCTCGCAGTGCTCGCCGCGGCTGTGGCTGCTTCTGAATCACTATAGCCAAGGAGCGGTGCAAGAGGCTTCCCGCCATCTAGGCCGGCAAGTCCTAAGAGGGGTCTCATGTGTAGGTGAATGGACCAAGAAGCAGACTCTTACGTCTTGTTCTCTTGCTCCCTTCCTCTCTTCAGTTGCAACTTTCTGTCCTATTTCAGAGCCATGTCGCGTGATGGCACCAGGACATCACAGGCCCCTGGCGGCAGCTCCAGGAACTGAAGGCCCAGGTCTGGCCCCTGCGAGACAAACGCACCCACGTGCCCCCGGTCTTCAAAGCCTTCCTGGAAGGCCGTGGACCTCCGTGCACCGATCAAGGACAGCCTTTGACACTTGAGGGACCCTCGCATCCAGCCTCCGTCACGCGCTTTCGGAAGAGGCAACTAACCACTCGCGCCAGCCTCAAATTTGGCAGGCTCTTGCTGCATTTCCTCTCTGCCGCTACGTGGGAGGACGGGCGAAACAGGGGAAAGCGTATCAGGGAGAAGCCTGACCCGTAGCGGCAACCACACCCCTGGCAAAATCAACCACACATACAGCTACAGCTGCAACCACCCAGGCTCAAACCGGGAAGAAGGCGGTTGCGAGGGGGCTCCAGAGAGGTTCCGAGCTGAGGCTTGGTTCCAGACCCCCCTGGCAGGGCTTCCCCGTTCTGTGGCCGTTTCCTCTCCCACTTTCCTCTGTTTCGTGCTTCCCCTTCCCTATTTTCTTCGTGGTTTATTCATGGCAGGACCTGTTGCAGCAAGAGTCGCAGAGTCGAGTTGTCAATAATGTCGGCAGTCATGACGTGCGGTCCGCTCCACACTGCGCCATGTGCTCCTAATGCTCCTAAGGCCCACAGCTACGAGCCCCTCATTCAACTTGCGGTCCACGACCTACACATCAGCCCTTTGCATAGTTGATGGCTCTGTGCATACGAATCTTGCCTCCTTTGAGCCAGTGCAAGGTCATAGACTGCTTGGCACTTAGCACATCACTTCCATCAGTCAGAGGAGCCAGGCATGGCCTCGGTGGCCATTTGGATGGCCTCGTCTATCTGACCTTTCGGAGTTGATTTCTGTTAAGATGTTGGGATGCTCTTGTTTGGGCAACTTGTTGGGATGGTGCTCCATGGTGTTCCATGGTGTTGCTGGGTCGACAGCCTTTCATGGCAACCAGCTCGGCAAGGCGCCTCCCAGAACGTGTTTGGGCTGCTGAGTTCATGGCTTACGCGAGCTTCTGTGCTGAAATCTTTTGCAGCGCGCAGAACTTGCAGAAGAGCTAAGGTCTGGGCAGCTTGGCCTGCGCAATACGGGAGCGCGCTTGTGCGCAAGTGCCCCACACATTTCTGGGCAGTCGGACCTTGATCTCCTCTTTCTTGTCTGCTTCATTTTGCCAGAGCCCCTGGGCCTTTGACATCGGGGAATGCGCGCCGACCCTTGACAAGATTCTGAAAAGATGGCTCATGCATCAACGCGTTCTTGAGGTACCTGCGAGCTTGAAACTAACTTTCACTGTTTTCTCTCGCCTTGTCAGCAGCTTGATGGCCCTCGTTGAGGTTGCCATATTCCATGCAGACGCCTGCAAGCCTCGGTAAATCTCGGTAACACGGGCCACCATGCTTCTTGCCGCTTCTCATGGTCACATGATGTCACGTGCTGTCACATGGCTAGCAGAGCCAACGACTCGTAGAATGCTGCTGCCTCCTTCCGGCCCTCTCCCGTCTGCTGATAGATGGCGATGGCCTTCAAAAGCAAAACCACAGCTTGGCCGTGCCCTTTCCTCCTCAATCCCGAGGTCATTCTACCGTGCCTCTCGCACCTCCTGGCGACGGGTGTCTGCTATGCAGCTACTTCGGAAAAACTTGCTGAACATTGCACAGGTTTCGGACCTGAACTGCAGACTCGAAGTCGTGGATTCGGAGGTTGATCCGGGAGACCTGCAACAGCTGGAGGATTCTGGGATAATTCTGGAGAGCACAGGTTTGGCAAAGCACGGGAGCGGGCCGTCAAATGAACCTTGGCTTCCAAGGCCTTGTCCTCTGCAAAAAACACAAGATCTCAATTTCAAGCAGCCTCATTTTATCTACTTACAGTAAAGCCAGATGCCTTCGGTCTTCTCTTGAGACTTCTGAGAGAGCCCCGTCCTGCTGCTCCTCGCAGATTGCCATTGCAGCCTCTGCAGCATCCCTCGCCGCATCCTTGGCCACTCAGAGACACACAGGCACAAGGACGGATCTCACACCTCCCGATCTGCAACAGGACGAGTCTTCTTTCTGGGTGCGCATATGCTGCATATGCTGATGCGTGTCTCATGGGCTTTGGACGGGTTGCAAGCCCGCCAGCTGGGGCTACAAAGGAAAGTACACGGACGAGGGCTGACACTGCAACTACAGCCGAGAGCGCAATGCTCGAATAATCCCCGCAGCCATTACGGCCAAGAGAATGTACTTTCCAGGGCGGACCGGCCGGCCAGGGGATGGCGCGTTCTTCTTGCAATGATGAAAGTCCAGCGTTTTGCAGAAAAAGCGTTCGATGTCAGCTGCCATGATCTGCGGCTGCTCAAAAGCAAAGAAGTGTCCTCCCTTGGAAGGCGTGCTCCACTGACGGATGTTATAGCAAAGCGCTACGATGTTGCGAGGCAGTTTATACAGATCGGTGTGGGCCCACAAGACTCCGGTGGGCACAGCCACATTGACACCTTTGAAGCGGCTCCGCCCCTTATCGCTTGCATCGCTTTGGGGGGGCGGGTGGATAGACAAGGTCTCATAGTAGAGCCTCAGGCTGGAGGTGATGCTTTGGGTTGTCCAATATACCATAACATTTGTTAAAATCTCGTCCATGGTCAGGCCACTCGCCTCCGGGCGACCTCCACGACTGTCACTCCAGCTCTGGAACTTTTCCAGGATCCAGGCCAAAAGCCCAACTGGACTGTCGTTGAGCCCGTATCCGAGGCTTTGTGGCTTTGTGCCATGGAGCTTCTGATAGGCTGTCTCATACTTCTGGAAATACATTGTGGTTTTGAGCCCTGCCCACTCCTCTCGAGTCCAGAACGGCAATCCAAGCAACGCCTTGACGACGTCGTACCAATCACTGGGAATCGCAACGCACATATTTATGTGAAGTGCCACACAGTTCTGCGGGAAGCGCTGCGCAACGAGCGAGGTGATGATGGCACCCCAGTCGCCGCCTTGCGCAACATAAGTGTCGTAGCCTAGCTTTCGCATCAGCTCGGCCATGTGGTCTGCCATGAACTGTGCACCCGCACCTCTGCGCTTGGGGGCCTCGCTCCAACCGTAGCCAGGGATGCTTGGGGCGACCACATGGAACTTCTCGGCAAGCAAGGGTAAGAGCTTCAGGAACTCCACGATGGAACCAGGCCAACCGTGCACGAGAAGCAGCGGAATGGCGTCACGGTTTTCAGACCGCTGATGGATAAAATGAGTCTGCAGGCCCTGCACTTCCATTCGGAAATGTGGCAGCGAGTTCAGCTCTGCCTCCTTCTTTCGCCAGTCATACTTGTGGAGCCAATGTGACACATACTCTTGCAGCACCGTCCTGTCCGTGCCATATGCCCAGGCACCAGATGCGTCAGCATCTCGATCTAGAATCTCATCTGGCACAATCCTGGTTCTCGCAAGCCGAGCTTTCAGATCTGCCAGATCGTCGTCAGGAACATGAATCTTAAACGGCGTTGGCAGCGTTGGTGATGGCGACTTCTCTTCCACCATGAGAAAGGATGCTATAGCTTGACACTCAACCGAGGCCTTGAGCTGCAGTACAGCCGAAGCTGAGAAAACAACAATCTTGCACTCCTTGACTCCTTGTGAACGGAAACCCTTCCCCACGCGTGCGCACATCTTCCACTATGAGCGAGCTAATGAACCAGCTTATGTGCCAGGCAGCTATCCACCAGTAGTCATGTGCACTAGGCAATATGCATGTTAGATGACGACCGTCCAATCAAATTCCTGCACGAGGAAATCGACGTTCTTCGTCGAAAGTGTAAAGTCTTTCGCAGATACTTTCGCGAACCTCCGCGAGGCCTATGTCCATCCTCATAACTTTCGCTTGCGAACGTCCTTGGCGGATCTTTCGCCAATCTCTCGCGACCACTAAACTTGCTATGACTTGCCGCTTCATTCCAAAGAAGCTCGAACACAAGGACCCTTGGCACAACGCGCAGATAGATAGATCGATGGAAGTATGCCAAGGTGCCCCTGGACGGCTAAAGTCTGTGTGTGCGGGTGGTGTGCGATAGTATGACGGGGACACGCGTCTGCCCTCAAAGCCATTTGCTTATGCATTTCCTTGTTAATTGCTTGCGAAAGCCAGCAAAAACTTGCGCATACTTCGGTTGAAGATTTGTTTTCCAGCTCGTGACGAACAGGAGCCATCACGCACTGCACGAGCTGCTTGGGAATGGGGCCGCGGCAGTGTTCCCTTTTATGAGGTGGCCCCGTGCAAGAAGGTTCTGCAGTTGGCCTTCTGTGTGCACGTCTTGGCCTCGGCAATGGGATGCAACACAAAAAATGGGCTTGCGAGATAGCATGGATCAGCCCCTCCTGAGTTCGTAAGCTCATGTGAGCTGAGTCCCACACTCGCACGGGCTGCTTCTATCGCAGCCTGCAAAACATGCAAACATATGCAATCCAAAGACTCCCTAAGAGTCAGCGCCCTGTGCGGCCGCCTTCAGCTCTGCCACCGCCTTTGCAACATCACTTTTCCGGGCTTTGACCTGATCACATCAGAAAACTCGGCGAACAACAACATAGGCCATAGATGGCCATAGGACTCTTACTCTCACACCCTATGAAAAAGAGGTTGGGGTCTCACCTCAGAAGAAGCATCCTCGAGGTAGCCATAGCTCCCCAACCTCCCAAGGTCGGCACAGACATCCACTTGTCATAGCACATCCCTCTTGACTCCGGGGGCCCGGCAAATCCTGCACAGGGGTGATGATACCATTGGCCTGGGCAAGAGACCGTGGTAAGAGGGCCAAGACCCCCAATGCGCATGCGCAAACGTGACGAACATGTAGGTCGTACACTTGACCGGAGACCATCACGCCCAGTGACCTGGAAACAGCGTTTTGTTCGGGCGTCAGTGTCTTGCTGGCGTGTTGCACACCGTCTCCCAAGCAGCCTGCTGTTGTCTGGCAACGTCACAGAGCCCACCAATTCTTGACAAGGTGTACCAGATTCCGAATTTCAAGGATCTGAGTGATGCTGTGCCGCCTACAGGACCCGGCGGATCTAAGTAGACCTACAATATTCAAGGCCTTCAAGGCGTCAAGGCCGTGAAGACTTAGTCTTGCGTTGCTGCGTGATGATATGCCCACAGTACATCAATGCTGCGTGTGAAACCTGTGAACCTTGGCATCGCAGGGTGCTGGAGATCAGGCCACAGCTAAGCCACGCCAAGCTTAGATGGCTTAGATGACAGCTTCGAGGTTGAAGCTCGAAGAAGCTCGAAGCCCCTCTGATTCGCTTTTTCTATGTAGCGAGAAGAGGAGGCAACGGACGGTTGTTGTGGCAGTGCACGGTTGCTGCTTCCGACCTTGCTCGTAGCCTGTAGCATCAGACTTTGCATAGTCTCGAAATTCGCACCTCGTCTCGCAGCAACCCATCACGAAAACATCTCCGACATTTCCTACATGAGCGCAGAGGCTCTGGAGCATTAAGGTGAAACTACTGAACTGCTGTACGCGCATTGACCGTGCAATATGCGAAGCCCTACCAGTATATACCAGCACTACACGGAGGCAGTACCCCAAATGCACTGGCCTTCCACCAGTACATTTACCTGATCTCGACCCACAAGAAGCGAACTCCTGAGTCCTCGCCATCTTTATCGGCCGGAGCCAGCAAATGACTTTCAGAATCCTTAAGACAGATACTGGTGCCAACATCCGCCAGCTTCTCCCGCTTGTCTGTCTCTTTCGCAAACCGCAGTGATCCGTCCAAGACGTGAATCAGCCCTGGGCCACAAAGCTCAATCGTGCAGGGCCCTGCCCTGGCCGTGCAAGGCAATGCGTAGATCTTGCTGCCCATTCTTTGTGTGGATATGCCAGCAAACTCCGAGGCCTCGATGTCCGGCAGCGGGAGTTGCAAGGCAGGTAGCTGGACATCGGGAGCCCGGGCCATGTCGAGCTCGACTGCGACAACGGAGGGCCCGGCAGAGCGGGCCGTCCGTTTGTAAATCACCCGCTCGTTCCGCCAACTTTGTAGTGGAGGCATCCTGCGCCTCTGTGGACGTCCGTGCTTTCCGTTCTCCTGCGGCTCTGGCTTCACGTGCACTTCGGCAAAGACATCAACCGGAACACGCGTCAAAGCCCCCGTGGCTTGCAGCTTGGTGATTTGACGCTGGGTTGACTTCTGCAATGTGTTTGGCTTTTCAATAGCCTTCTTGGGTTTCTGATTCTTCGGGGAGGGCTTTTTGAGGATGGACTTTGGCATCTCTGGTGACTTCACTGTGTGCCTCCGCGAGGCAACTGGAGAGGTCTCTGAGCTGGCAGAGCCAGCCTTCGCCACCTTTGCCTTCGTCGGCGGCTGCGCCTCGCTCTTACGCTTGCGATCCACGGGAGGGGCGGCACTCAGTTTGCCCTCTTTCCCTTGGTTGGGTCGCCCTGGCCGGGGCAAAGGGGGAGGGGTCTCTGCTGCCGGTGGCCGACCGCGTCTTGGTGGAGTTCTCACTGGTGACGGTGGTGCAGCACTGCTTGAGGGTGCAAGATCAGCTGCCCGGTCAAGCACCTGTTCACGAAAGGACTTCTGTTCTGGCCGCCACAGCTCAGCACGAAAGAAGTCATCAACATCTTTCTCTGAAAGCTTTTGTCTGGGGACATCCGACGTGACTTTTGCCAGTAGCTCAGACATGCTCTTCTTGGGTCTGGAGGGTCCGGAAGTTGCAGAAGTCGCCGGCGTTGCCGACTGCGACCCGGAGGCTGTCTCGGACAGAGCCGACATCCCAAGTCCGCAAGGGGGCGCAAGGGGGGCGCAAGGGGCGCTGCACTCGTTGGACCTATAGCTCTCCGCTTCTGTGACCCATAGAGCATAGAGCCCAAAATGCCCCAAGCATCACAAGTCCCAAGAGCGACAAGGCAGACGCCGCAATCTCCACACTCTGGTCCTGCAGCCCTGCAATTGACAGTTTTGAAAGCCGAGTGTGATTCTGGCGTAAGAGTGCACACTTCGAGGCCAAGAGTGCACAATCAAAGGGCAATCATTCCACTGGTTGCAATGTGCGGAACTGGTGTTTACAGGTCTTTAATCTTCCTGAAAGCTTCAGTGACAATGTTTTCGACTTTCTGGCACTCTCTAAGGTGCATGGGCAAGCGCTCGCCACAAGTCTCACCAGAAAGCAGCCAATGTGACCAGAAGCGCACACCATGAAAGCACCTAAATCAAGCAGGACTGCTCGAAAAAGGATCGTTTTGGGAAGGCAGCGCTTCAAGAAAAGTATGGGCTCGTGACCAATGAGCAGGCTCCAGCCTCGGCTGCTTTGAAACCAACCGAGCGCATCTCAGACTGGGTTCAGTGGACCACTGGCCTTTTCAGTGGGCTCCTCATTCTCCTCCCAGAGTTTAAACGCTTCTTCCGGGCCTATGATTCATGAGCAGTGGGCCTGCTCACCGGGGTAGATGATCAGCTCCTGCAAGAGGGCGGAAGAGCGGATGAGCTCCAGTTGCCTATGCTTACATTCCGTTCTTGCGACTCTTTTCGGAGTTGCTCTGGCACTTCTGCCTCCTGCCGTTCCAGCACTTCACTGGCACGGCCAATCTTTGCCTTCTGTGCTGGAAAAGAGTTTTCTGCCTTGGAATTCCCAATGGCTTGCGGGTGAGACTGAGACATCAGTTTTCGAACCTAGCTGCCTAGCTCCAATATTTTCAGGAGATTTGCCAACTCAGCATGACCCATAGAACTCGGCGTCGCGCCCCAGGAACTTCTGTGATGACGGCCGTAGCATGTCGGAGCCGTCTTTCAGAGGCCTTCTGTGTCTGGTTGAGTGTCCTGCTCCCACTTCTCCACAGGTCGTGCGTTGCACTGTGGTGACGTGCTTTCGCACAGACGCATACTGCTCGGCAAGTACCTCGATTCTTCTTTCTGTCTCAAGGCGCGTGATCTGCAGGTGTTGCAGAGCTCTGTGCAACTTGTCATGGACTGCGCAGTTCATGCACAACTGCTCGGGTCGCTCGTCAGGCAGCCGCAGGGCATGGAAGATGTCCTTTGAAAGGGCATGCGGCACCCTGCTACAACCGAGAATTTCCTGCAGCCATCTCGTGCCGAGGACTTGAAGGACCGCTTGAAGCAATGGAAGCAATGGACCTGATGCACCTCCTGGTTGAAGCTGGGAGCTTTTCATGTTGCCGCTTTGGCGCCGGCCAGGCCGGCCACAAAATCTCAGCTTCTGCCGCTGGGCATCGGTGCCATAGAGACACAGCCGAGACTTTGGTGGTCCATGAGGTCCATGGCTGGACATTGGCAACGGCCAACCTGAACGGCAACCTGTCAAACTCAGCCAAACTCCTTCGAAGGCTGAGAGTAAGTGACTTTAGTAGTCATTAGTAGTCCCCATGCTCAATGCTGTCATTGCTAAAGACTCAACATGTCGATATACACATCTTTTGCGAAGGCTTGGGCACGCAGAGGACAGTGATGCGTTCGAGCAAGAATCGCGTTGCAGCTTGCACTAGCAAGAATCGGAGGCTGGTTTCCACCACCAACCTAGACAATCAAGACGGCAGCGACAGATTGCCGGCTCCTCCTTGAAGTTCTCCATGAAATCAGAATTCACACCTTCGGTAGCTTTTTAAGATTGCAGGAGCTCGGAGACAATCTTGTGTGACAGCGCTTGAAACTGCAAGAGCTCCCGAAACTGCTGCCAGAGCATTGAGTGCTTCGCCACATCGAATCATGACATAGGCCTCGTTAGACCTTCCCAGCTGCCGAAGCTTGCGGGAGTTGACAAAGAAGGGCCCAGCCACATCCGCCGCTTGGGGCCCAGCTGCGCGCTGAACTCGTACTGCGCATCATTGCAAAACAGCTTGGAAGAGGCTTGGAAGAAGCTTGGAAGTGCTTGGAATGGGTATGCTATGCTATGCTATTTTGGGTACAATGTTTTTACTACCGGCGTAAGCCCTTCGACAGCTCATTGCCTCACGCTTCTTCTTGCCCTGGTGGAGGACCACCTTTTTGTCATGCGGCAGCAACGACAAGCAAAAAAAGTGTCGTGTTAGTGTCACCTCGTAGTCACCTTCCTCCAAAGACATGACGGAGTTGTACCTGTAAGCGTAGTTCACAGCCGAAACTCTCCAAGACGTGGGAAGTCCGCAGCGCACCTCAGCGTGTCAGCGTTGTCATCGCCACCCTGCGGAGCGGGCTGTGCCGTAAGCGACGGTGAGTGGGAGCAACGCCACACCTCCGGCCGTATTTCGACCAGTGAGGACGATGGCCCCTGCCAATGGCAAGCGATGAGCCAACAGCCTGAAAATCCAAACAGCCCCCTTCGCCTGAAAGGCATCCAGCAAGGCAACCTGCGGCCCAGACAGTCCTGCAAAGACATGGGACCTGACAGAATCATCCAGCAGGCCCTCTTTTTTGCTTTGCTGAAGATTTTTAAGACAGTACTGAAACGGTGTGGTGACTAAGCAGTCCAAGCAACGCAAAGGACACTGCCATACTGGCGCGGTCGTGTCGCTGAATCACCTCAGGGATGCTAACCCAACTTCACTAAAGCGATATGAGGCGCCTGCTTTACTGCACACCACAAATGCTGTGTGATGGGCATGACGCAACGACGGTGTATCACCATGTCCCACCATGAAGCTATTCGCCGGCCAGGGGCGAGGGCCAGCAAAGATGCGCCCAATTTTGTTCTAGATGTTGATACCCCCCCTGACCTGCTGCACAAACCCCCGTCGCCGCAAACCCGACGAAACCGCCCCCCCCCCTCCAGAAGCTGCACGTGCATTTCCTACCCCCGCACCCGACCCCCCGAGAGTCTTTCTTTTCTCAGGATTTAGAAACATCGTGCGCTGCCATGCCCTCATCGCTGTGCTGCCGAGGCATTTTGGCTGCCTGTCGTTCGTTGCTCCCACCTCTTGCCGGCGCTTGCTGAAAAAACGGCTTTTTCGGGGTCGGCGGAAACGGCGGAAGCGGCAGAAGCGGCGGAAGCGGCGGTAGCCCTTGGATCTCATCTGCTCTCTCATATTACGTGGGGGCCAAGTACACCAACCTTGCCAACCTTACCAACCTTACTGCATCTGTGGGCTCATCATGGTTCATCCTCAAGCGCCACTATGGCTTTGGGAAACTCCAAGGCACCAGGATGAGTGTGGCATCCTCTCTGGGGAGCGTGTCAATGGTGAAAGCGCCAGTGTCAAGTCCGGCAACCTGTCTTAAAGGCTTGCTGTGCGTTGTAAGGGGACCATCTCACTGTTGTGGCCTTCAGGTTCACATTGTCACCCGAACGCAGGTCACCAGTGTACTCGAAGCACTTCTTGTACCTTAGCTTGCGAGGTGGGACGGCCGGATGTTGCTAATGAAAGAAGCATCACCAACCATGATTGAGGTGCAAGCGCTAGCTCCTTCTGGATTGTATCCTTGCTGAGCCAAGCACTGACCAGAGAATGTTTTAAGTGTAATTGTGGCCCAACACTGCCTCCCTGGGCTGTGAGTCCACATTCCAAGGTTGAGAAAAGCCCTGCTGCCTCATTGAGAAGCACTTCGAAAGGTGCCTCGCCCGGATATGCACTGCACACCTGAAGTTCAGCACAAGGGAACCAGGAAAGGCGCGGATCACAAGAGAAGCACCATGCCCAGCAAGACCGTCTCAGGAGGTCTCAGGCAGAGGAAAGGTATTTAGGCATTTTTGTGGCTCCTAAATTCACCTCCCTTTGCCCGAAAACATACCCATCGTCATCCGGACTTAAAACCGCGGACCGAGGGCATCTGCATTGAAGGCAGCAAGTTGGCTTGATGCCAGACACTGGACTTGCCTTCTAAGCTGCCGGCCCTCAGTCTCAGCTTGTAGTCAAGATTCTTGATAAAGGTGCTGCTCTGCCTAAGTGAAAAGAAATGGCATCGTTGCAGTTTCTGATATGTCCGGTTAGGCCAGGACAGCAAGGCTGGAGTTCTTGGGCGAGTCAGATGCCAGATGTCGCTCAAGGTCCTCAACCACGGTGCTGAATGGTATCGAACTAATATAGACCCCCAAATTGTAGGATCCCCTTATAGTACAGTAAGGACCCCAAAAAGGTAACCCTAAATATCGTAAACCCCCAGATGAAACTTCCAAGGCGGCGTGCCTCACCCGGAGCTCCCAGGGCGATGCTTGGTGGAGGCCTCCACAGAATCACCGGAACCGGACATGGCGAGCACGACTCTCCGGTGCCTGACACCCCTGCGGCACACAGGGCCAGGAAAAGAGGCCCAAGGCCCTGAGATGCAGGGACCACCACAAGGACTTCAAGCAGACTAGGGCGGCCCTCATATTGTCTTATAACCTTCTGAAACATGTTCCTGAATATGATCCTCTTAAACCAACTACGGGAAAATGTAAAATATCCCAAGGGAGTAGATGACCTATGAAGCAACTCCGTCTGGGCCCGTGGCCATGTTGGCCCCTGAGCGGTTTCCCGCACAGTGCCTCGCTGACGTTGAAAGCGGTGGGGAGCGGGCTAAACGCCCGCCCTTGAGCCAAACGTCAGCCCAAGTTCCAAACGAATAAACTTCGAGCAGAAATCCAATGGAACTGATGGCTTCCTGTTGTGGAGTCGAAAATGTGCAAGTTGCGGGCAGCTCTGAGCATCAAGCCATCTCAAGAAAGAGATGGCTTGAAGAAGCCAGCCCATAGCCCAGCTACAAGTTGAGCAAGAAGGCACCTTTTCTGGCTCCGACAGCAGGCCTTTGAACCAAGTGCCGGCTCGGAATCAGGCCTTAGAAGAGACCACGGAATTTGTGGGCACAAGCTCGCTCGAACTAAGTTCCATGAACTCTCTGCTGCTTCGCATGGTGTACGGCAGGTGTCGAATCACCGTCGACCCCAGGAGCTTGGAGACTTGTCTTTGCCGCCAGTTGCGGCGATGGCCTCTCTGCCGCGGGTTCCTTGCAGAGACTGCTCTTGAGCGCTACAATCTTGCATGGGGACGGCATTTGCTCAAGAGCATCCAAGAATCAGGGTAAGCTGTGGCCCGTTTGCAACCTGCGATACACAGTCCGGCACACTTTAAAAGCACGAAAGAAGAACCACGAGTAACCACGAATCACTTGCCACACGGGTTGAACTCTTCTCAACTTAGGCAGAAAACCGTCCACAAGCGAGATGAATGGCTCGGACGCCCTCGCCGAAACATCTGTGTCTCAGTCGAATGGACCCACAGGCCTTGGTATGTTCTGGGCTCTTTGCTTGAGGACTTAAGTCTCTGCTTCAACATTCTGTAGTTTGCCGCTTGTTAAGTCCGCCTTTCTGTCAAGAATCATGGCTGTTTAGGACACTCACCCGTTGCCTCACCTATCTCACACCGGGGAGCACTGGACTTCAGGAAGCCCTGCAAGCTGCCTCGAGGCACACAGAGAAGTAGTATACTCAGTATCGTTGATGCTACATGTTTAGATACTGGTGCTGTCCAGACTTCTCCAGCCTTTTGCAACTCTTGTCCATCGGCTTTGCGCTGGACGTTTGGAAAATGACCTGGGCAGCTTGAAGAGGCTCGCCTCACTCTGCAGTCAACCCTAAGACCCCCAAAATGCCCTAAGACCCTCCCAAGTCGCAGCCTCTTCTTGTGCTGGAGGTGAATCATCAGGTTCCTCGCCTCACAACTGCAGGGCTCCGGCCAAGAACGTGCGAACGCGTTGATCGCCTGTGTAGTCCTCATTCAGGTCCTCGCTGAACCAGTCCTGCTCGGCTGCTCATGACACTTCAGTCCTTCGAAATGCAGTCTTGTGTCGTCGAAAGCAGCGGAGCTTCCTCATCGTCTACTTCTTGAAGAAGCGACATCTCTTCCTCAGCTAGCCGGCCCACACAACAGCATCGGAGCCATCTGACTCAAGAAGCACCAAAGCTATCCAGGGAACCGGAACACTCATGGATGACATCGGCCCATCACCAGGCTGGTCCCAGCGGATCTCGAAGGCACCATACTCGAGCTGGCGCCTCGATCCCAGCGGAGAGCGTGACACAGCCCAAGAGCTGCAGGCTGCAGCTTTGCTTCAGTTTGGTTCTGTTTCTGCCCAACCTCACAATGCCGCTCTGCCATTCCCAGGTCCCTGGATACAGTGCTTCCACCCTGCGCATCTGCTGGAGGAGAACATGACCCTACAGAACCACTACAAGCGCAAGCCATCGCGGGCCTATCGCCAATGCAGTAGTCTCGCCTGACTCCTTTCAAGTCCTCGGCGTGCAACATTCAAAGTTGACAAAGTTGCTTATTTCCTGGTAGCTGTAACGCATCGCTCTGTTCTTGATTTGAGGCTCTTCGGCCCAGCAGATGTGGCGACCCTCTGATGCGTCGGTCTCCCATTGCACTCCGAAAGAACCTGGTCCAACTTGCAGGTGGTTTAGACTTTAGACTGTCGCAAGTGCACTTCAACGCGCACCGTCTGGATGCATTTCTCCAATGACAGCAGGTCGCAGCTCCTGGGCAGGGGCGATAAGATGGGACATTTGGAGAGGGCACTGAATTGCAAGCCCAGGAGGCTTTGATAAGCTTTGGCTTCTTTTGGTGCTTCGTCTGCTGCTTCCTAGGCTTTCGTGGGCTCCGTACTCCATAGCCAAGCGTCGCCGCTGGCGGATCTGGCATCCACTCGGTCCCCCACCTGGAAGCACAATGTACATGAAGCTTTGAAGTCACCTCTCCATGTACTGTGAAAGGCTGTGAGGCTGTGAGCTTCACAAACCGGGTTCTGAAGGTTCTGAATGCCATCAACTCTGCGCTGCTCGGCCTGGTAGTCACAGAATACCTGGTGATGCTTCCTTGGGTTGGAGGCGGCAAGGATGCCATCGGGTGTGATGCACACAGTAGCAACTGTCATCAAATCTGAATGAGGTCCAGCATCATGTATCGCGGCAGACAGAGACTTGTCTCTGGTCCGCCGTCAGGATCATCCCATTGCACGAGGAACGTGTTGTTGGGAAAGACCTCCTGTTCATGGCTATGAACTCAGCACGCAGAGACCGTGTTGCCCGAGAGCTGGGTCCTCCACAACGCCGGGGTACCATTCCTGATCGGCCTCAAACATGGCCTCCACCCAATCCCCTTTCATGTAGTCATCGTCAACTTCCACGATCCTCAGGCGACGCATTGCTGAAGCGTCTCGGGTCTGCCTGTTGCCGGCAATAGCAAGTGTTGCTCTTGGCATTGCTATGATCAGGGGCCAGCCATGATAAAGTCGGTAGATTTCAAGTAGATTTCAACTACATCCCACACCCCAAGCCTGCAAAATTCAAAGGGGCTCTCAAGCAAAGGGTCTCAGGGTTCAAGAGGAAGACGCTCTCAGCCCAAAACCTACACATCAAACCCTGCGATTTGAGCGCACTACGTCGGCACAAGCCTGTCTTGTCCAGAGAACGCAGCAAGCGCTAGGTGCATCACGTTGTGGTTCCTTGCTGCTGCTTAAAAGCTTTAAATTTTCATACAAGAAACCTCATCTCCTCAGCATCGCAGATCGACGTCTCCGGTCCTCTGTCCAGCTCTGGGTCGCTCGTTTCACCAACGCGATACACGAGAGAAACCACATCTAGGGGTTCTACATTCATGTCTACTCATCGGTTCACAGCCATTCTGTGAGAATCGACTCAACGTGTTGTGTTGAGGGCATCTTTTCCTTGAGGGGGTATTATCCCTTTCGACAACAATTGTAGGACCTCGCTTGAACTTTGGCTTGATATCTGCTGAAGCAAGCTCGGAAGCAGCAACACATCCCCTATGCATTGGCAAAGGGAATGGCTAGGCAGGCGAGGTGTTCCCGCAGTTGTCCCCTGCTGTTTTGGTCTAGCACCAACCGACACTTTAATCCGCAAATGTTTGTCCTCAGCTTTGATCAGGTTTCAAAACAGCCGCAGGCGCGTCTACATATTGTATCCCATCTTGTCCTCCATCAGGGTCATCCCAGGAGACGATAAATGTGCCATTGCGCAGATCCTTCCGAGTCAAACACGTCTGCTTGGGCATGGAAGTTAGAATGATAGGTCCTGAGTGGCATCCGGAAAGGCTGTCATCTAGAAGTTTCGCTCCCGTTGTGCTGCGTCCTTGACAACTGTTGCGTTGTACCACTCGCCGTCCTCGAACATTGCGAGCACCAGGTGTCCTAACCATCACAAAGCAAGAAAATAGTACATCATGGGGTACGCGAGCTGCTGTTGATTTGGACATGGATGTCATGCGAAAAGGAAGGTACGAGTGGGTGCGCTCGTGGTTTTAAGCATCTGATCAAATTCTGCGGAAGAATTCACTAAGACCACAATGTAGGCGGGCGGGCGATGTCGTCAGCGAGGCGGCTGCTCGTGGGTAGGACGGAATGCGGTCAGGGTGACAGAGAGTGGGTAAGAGAGGGTGGGAGAGAGTGGGTGAGAGAGAGTGGGTGGGAGAAAGGCTGGGAGAGAGGCTGGGAGCGAGGGTGGGAGAGAGGGTGGGAGAGAGGGTGGGAGAGAGGGTGGGAGAGAGGGTGGGAGAGAGGGTGGGAGAGCGGAGAGAGGGGGGGGGGGTAGAGAGGGGGGTAGAGAGGGGGGTAGAGAGGGGAGTAGAGAGGGGAGTAGAGAGGGGGGGGAAGAGAGGGCGAGAAAGCCACAATGATGGAGAACGACGTTTGAACGCGCACGCCCGGCTGCGTTTCTTGGCAAGTTGATCTGGCAGCTGGAGGACCGCTTCTAAGGCAGTCTCCGGTCCGCGGAGCAGATCGTTCGCCCGTCTATTGTCGAATCTATGCCCTCCCCTCGATCCACCTATCTAGCACCTAGCTGCTCTGGATCAAACTGATATGCGCATGAAGCTGCTGGCTCAGCCTGGATTGCTTGCTCGAGTCTGCGAGACAGGGCAACTTGTGCAACGAGGAAAACTCGACTCTAACCCTTGACGGCTCACACACAAGCTTGTAGTGACCTAACATGACCAGCCCAGGTTTGAAGGCAAGTCTCCAGGAGAATAGGACAAACGTAGAATTCGGAGGTCTGGAACTGCACAATGGGAAAGCTCGGGCCCTCCATCTGGGTCGTCCCACAGTACAAGACAAGTTCCGTTCTGGAAGTCCTGTTTGCAGGCAGAGCCAAGACATTGCAAAGAAAATGTGCCGCGGGCGTTAATCTCCGAATACGAAGGGACTATCACCCTGTTCGCCTGGCTCACTTCCGATCCTAAAGGTGAACACAGTACGTCTGACATCCATTCTAAGGTGAATCCGGTGCACAAGGAAGATCCCGTCCTAAGGCAATAATAGGGACTAGTGCTTGAGTGCTTGCAGGGATCCAGGCCAACCATGAACTCCTTGACGAGGGGCAAAAGAGGACTCATGCGAACAGGATGGGTGAACACTTTACCCCACCTGGCGGACAGTGGCTGGGTACCATTGCAGATCTTCTTCCCACAAAGCTTCCACCCGCATGCCGGGATGAATGGGAAGTGGAATGGCAGGTGCCCATCGCATGCCCCTTGTCAAGATCTTGAAATCTCCCACGTGCTTTCGATTATAAGCAACAGCCAGCAAACAACCGACAGCAACTCCATCTGCAACGTGGGAGCAAGCAGCAGCTCGATCTTGATGTGCTGGAACGCTGTAGTCGCGGTACAAGAAAGGCGCCGGTCAACACGACGATTGTCTTCAGACCATTGCGGGTCCGCCTGACCATTCCAATCTCAATTCTCTGAATGTTCTGCGCTGTTGGTCCTACACTGGCAGAAGCTGGAGCATCGCATACTACTGCATCCGCTCTGGTCTTACGAGTCTCACGATGGCTGGCCGGGTGGGCGTAAGATAAAACAGAGTAACATGCCCGTTCAGTATAGCTTCTAGAACACCATGAACCTATCGCAGCTGGAAGGGCCGACACATGCTGACGGGATCTGACAAGCACCACGTTGGGCGACCGACGCCTGTCCTTTCAAGATCTTGGGGCAAAACCAAATAAACACAGCCCCCCGCTCATCTACACAATTGCCGACAAAGCTTTGCAGACATCCCACGACGTGAACATCTAAAGTGCATCTATGCAAATGAACAGCAAACTTCCACAAACTTCCCATAAATGGAGATCAACTGGCCGCCTGGCATGACCGAGCTTTTGTTTCTGTCCTTTCACAGCGCTCACTGCGGTACTAGCGAAGGATGTGCTAAGTAGCCGAAACGGCAGTTGGCATATGCCCTGCCATCGAGTATCGTTCGCATTGTGCAAGCAACGGTATGCTTCTTCAGTCTGCGTGCTGGGCAAAGCAATCACTCTCTGGGACTGTGCTTGCACAAGCACAGAGGGTGGCACATCCCGTCTCACTGTCAGAGCGGCATGGCCCATAGTTCTGGAGCTTCCTAAGTCCGGAACACCGCAACCATCCGCAACATGCCACAGCCCTGTCGTCTTTTCTTGGGCACTCTCTTAGGCTTTCCCTTAAGGCTTCGAGCATCTTCGTGCCAAGGCTCAGCGAACCTAGAGGCCCGGCGCTGATGGAGCCCTCAATGCCCCCAGAGCCACGCTCGGAGGTCCGTGCACCGCGCAAGGCGCACAGGAGCGTTTGGCAGGAGTCGCGGTTTGTGCGAAAGCCCATGGCTGCTGCTCGTTGAACCGTGCTCCAGTCTTCCAGGGCAGACTCCGGATCTCTTCGGGTGGGAGTGGCAAGCTCGCCATCGCAAATCGCAATGCGGGTTCGAAAGACCACACCAATCTTCTTGTCCAAGAGATATCTCGAAGCCAGACTCTCTTTGATGGCTATCTGCAACTCAGTGGCAACGACTTTGATCGCTCGGGGATCTTGGGGAGAAAAGACTGACTCCCCTGACTCCCGAGAACTCCCAGCTCTGCAGAGGGCTTGCATGAGGATCAGGGTTCCGATTCCTGACACTGCCAAGCCCAAATCCCTGCAGGTTCGTGTCTGTGCGTACAGGCCGGCGTGAAGGTGGACCTAAGTTCGTGTAAGTTCGTGCGCATTGTAAGGGAGATCCGAAGCGTCAAGGTTGGTTAGCACAGACGTCATGCTCAGGCCGGCGCGAATGGACGGAACTTTCCATTTGCTCGCTTGCAGAGGCTACGTTCCGTCAAGACTCCCCTCCTTTTGGACTTTCCGACCACCTTCTGCGGCTGCTTCCTGGGCAATATGCGGAAACACCCGTTAGAGTAGAAAGTCGATGAACAGTGAACGGATATGAACGCGATCTTTCAAAACTTCCTTGACAAAATACCCTGGCCTCAGCATCCACTGTTCCAGCTGGCGACGCTGGTGAAGGGAAAGGCAACGCTCAATTGCCTGGCGCCTCCGGTCTGGGCAGAGACGCCGAAGCAAGGTCTGCAGCTCACGGAGGCCTCGGAGTAAACACTGGAGAGAGAAGCCTATCTCGTAGTAGCTTACGTTTATCATCGTTTCTCCCACACTCTCTGTGCGAAACGCCATGCTCTACACATGTGCAAGGCTCTGAGACGGTGGCTGGCATCAGCGTTTGCACTTTTGGGGTGTGCTGGGATCCACTGAAGCTTTCCGCAATTCGCAAAGCCGTGGCAGAGCGCGCTGAAAGCGCTCAGAGCGCAGTTGAACCTAAAGCCACAGCAACGGATGGGCTGTGCCGCAGGTAGCATTTGCCTAACGCGTGCATTTTCCAAACAGGAGACACATACACACACACACACACACACACACACACACACACACACACACACACACACACAGGCCACGCGTGCACCGTCAAGCTTCGCTTCGCAAAGGCTTTAAACTTGTGCATCGAGTCCGAGTTACTCATCAAGTGATCCACCCTTGCTAGGGTGGAGTGCCAAGGCTTGGGGGACAAACATCCGCTGCAACCTCGGATGCAAGACTGCCTTGAAGCAGAGAATGACAGCATCTTATCATGCCGGAGCACTCTTCCAGCGATGTTGCTGTCAGAAAGAGAGCTGCTCCCAGGAAGTGCTCCTAGCAGAATCTCACCAAAGCACCGGCTATGTCTACTTCAGCTTCCACTCAGGGCCGCCTGGCACATGAAGTTGGGAGCTGATTCTGCTTCCGGTTTTTCGAGGATTAGGTTGCCTCGAGGATGCGAGACAAGTGTACCACATCATGAACCAATGTCTGTCCGTAGATTCCTCCCACTGTCATGTGGTGCTGCATGCAACAAGGGCACATCCACTATGCTCCATGGGAGATGTTCTTCTGGTTTAGCCTCACCACCATCGCCAAACCAGCCACGCGTGCCACACCTTGCGACAGGCTGGTCACCGAGCAGACGCCTCCATACTACCTTTCCCAGTGCCGCCCGAGCCACACCCCAAGCAATTGCTGAGCGTGGAAGAAAGCCAAGCCTTGTCAGCAACTCACACAGGACACCCATTATGGGAGGACGGATACCCGGGTCAGGGGAGGCTTGTGAATTGTGCACTGTATATTCAATGTCGCACCATTACAATTCAAAAGTTGCCGGTCAGCAGCATGGTGGAGCTTGTGGAGACGAAGGAAAGCTTGGCGACGGTGGCAGACGTCATTGCCTCGAGCTCAGCTCACTCACTGCTACTTCTCGAAGCATCCAGCGCAATCAAGTTGCTCCAAATGAAGGCTGCCGAATGGCAGACGGTGTTGCTCGAGGCTGAAATGGGCTGCAGCATTCATCGAAGGCAATTAAAGCGCGCGAGCCGTCGTGCACCTGGTAATTAACAAGGCGTACTGGCTGCTTGCAAACCCACATGGCCCAAGTCGTCCATGTAAGTCGTGGCCTTCTCTATCCCTGTGTTAACTCGACAACAGCTGGCCCTAGCATCCCGGAGCTCCGTTCAAGCTGCCGCCTGCCACAGCTGCCGGTGCTAGGTGCCAAAAGCAAAAACGCTGTCGTCTTGCGAGAAAGGGGGTGTATCTGTTCTGGATTCCATTCCCTACTAAGAGCCAGTAAGTCTGGCCTGACTCTAGGGTTGGGGTCTGGGGACGAGGGTTTAGGGTTTAGCGTCTAGGGCAGTCTAGGGTTTGGGGTTCGGGGGGGTCCGGGGTTTTGGGCTTTAGGGTTTTTTGGGTTGAGGATTCACAAGTGTTTAGGCTTGAAGGGTCTTAAGGTTGAGGGATTCAGGGACTTGCGATTAGCCCTCGCATCCTGCGCTCCAGAACTTGCAGGGCAGCACGATGGCTACCAGATCTGCACGGGGCTCGACAGTATTTCTTGGTCTGCCCGTCCAAAACCATGCAACACATGTTCAGCAGCACGTGTTTGACTCGAAGCCCGCGCCAGCTGCAGATCCTGAAACTGAGAATGCATCCACCAAGCTGCAAGCCCGCGCATGTGGCTGCACTGCTGACAATCGACCTACTGCTCATTAGCCCCAGTCTCCCGTCCTGCTCTTCAGTACGGGCTTAACACGAGGCCGAATCGAGACAAGAGAAAAGCTCTGAAATACTGCTGACAAGCGAACCTAACTGCGCCATTGGAAGCTCAGGCCTCGCTGGGACCGTCGGGGCACCTCCCCGCCCCTGCTGTCATGGCAAGGGACAGGGGAATTCACGAAATTCACGCGCAAGACGCGGAATTGAAACTGCTTGGCATGTCTTGGACAATGCCCGAACGAGAGCCGCATGTAGTGCAGCTCTAATTCGTTGAGAATCGCGGAACTGAGCCCGCTCTGCAGCTGCGTGAGACTCAGAAAAATCCGCTGCGTATTGAAGCAGATCACATGTGTATTCTGAAAATTGACCACATTGCTGCACGAAAAGTGCTTGAGAACTTGAACTTAGCGACACATGTGGTACAGACAATTGCAGAACCCAATGCAAGCACCTCTTTCAACAACACCCATGTGGCCAAAGACCATCATGCGATAATGTGCTAAGGACCCCTGCACAAATGCAGACTTCGGCTGCGAGAAAAATGCATGGCATCAAATGGCATCAGCAAAACAGGGCCTGTCTCCAGAAGTCATGGACCATCTTCCAGTACTCTTCCTTGAGATGTGGTGCTTGCACTTGCTACAACGGAATGTCGTCTCATGGTTGGTTTCGTTTCATGGGTTTCATTCCGCGGGGTGCAGCATGCTTCTTTGTGTCGCCATGAACTGCATCCGGGAAGCTTCAGTCGCCCCAGTGCGATGGGCCACGTGGCCAGAATTCTCGAAGCAAAGTTGCCGAGGATCAGGGGCCTCCATTGAAACTGCACGTTCTGACACAAGAACCGGATCTTTGGTGAGATACACACTCGTGTACAAAGTGCTCAGGTCTGATTTACCGGGTGCGCGCTCCTGGCTTTCGAGCTGGTCGAGCCGCATTCTGCACTCATCGATGTAGCGCTCGATCTGAGCCGCTGGTGCTATCCTGGCAGGGCAAGATATGGCAAGATTGGATGTTCATCAAAGAACCCTGGAAAGGAAAATTCGGCATTCAAGGGTCCTGTCCGAGCTTGAATAGATGAAGCAAAGCGGAACTCCCGGCTCATGTTGATGAACCATCATCTGGAGACCTTGCTCCTGCGCCCAGGCATGTGCTTCCGAAGTGCTTCCAGCGTTCGGTGGCCGTGAGTCCTGACGCATCAGTTCTTCGTAGTACTCCCACAGCGGGCCGTTCTTCTTCGTCAGCTCCCTCATAGAAGATTGCGAGGCCTGCGCCGAAACAAAAGCTGGCACGCAGGGTGATCCAGAGAAGGAGTCGGCAACGAGGCCTGTAGCTTTGCGACCTGGCTCGGGCTGGCAATACCATGCTTCTCCAATCTTCTGCACCATGCTTCACATGCAGAAGCTCAGCAGAATCTACACCACCGAGCAGCGGTCCAATAGTCGCGACAGGCAAATTGCAACAGCCCCGACAGCCCGGCACTAACAACCAACAACCTATGTTCTTGTCCCTGCGTGTTGGAAATTTCCAGTGTGTCGCAGCCTGCTTCAGTGAGGCCTCAGCACCCACAGTATGGCCACACAAGTATGCAGATCTGTGGGGATGTTGATCCCCTCTTTGCTCCAATGCTGAAATTCCAGTGATTCTCATGCAGTCTCTGTCACATTTTATGCTGAGTTCACGGGTGTCCTTTTGTTGCTACCAATGGCCCCTGTTGGTAGTGATGCTGCTTGTGGAACAAAAAGGTGCCAGAGCTTTGTATGTTCGACTTTTTTGTACATGCACAGTCCGACTCCAGAATAGTCAGCTGGGACGAAAAACACCAAAGACAAAGCAATCAAGCGACTTCCCGCCTCTGATAGCTCTGTCCCGTCTGCTCCATATCCATTCATGGCCTTATCTTGAGTGTTTGGAGTTTTTGCAGTGCTTGCATCTCTTCCCCTTCACCATCGTTAGGCTTCAAGTTGCGGCCTCTGCGCCTGAGGGCTGAGCAGAGAGCAATGCGGCGTCTCCTTGTACAAGAGGAAAGGCTCCAAGCATTTTGTTGCCAGAGTCACCTCGCACTGAACTCGAGCTGCACTCTACATGGGCTTAATGAGCACCCGAATTTCTCAACTTGGCTGGCAGTGTTGCAAGCATGCTAGTTCCTGCCTGGAGCTGAATCCAGAACCACACCCTTGAGGACTTTGTCCATAGTCGGCACTCTTCCGTTCAGCCGCCGCTGGTCTGGGTAGAAGGATTGCTCATACCAAATCCGCAGTGTCTTGGCCCAAGCATGGAAGCCTGCACTTCCAAAGAGGTGGACCATCAACTCCGGTCGTCCGGCTCCACCTGCCGTGCCGGGTGGGCCATACTTCTCCTCCGCATCACCCCAGGCATTCACCGCAATGGCCATTGCCTTGCCCAGCTGAGCGGATCCAGCAGGCTCTGCACCCATCGACAAAGCCAGGATCTTGCAGTGCTGGTCGATCTGTCGATACCGCTCTCCGCATTTCTTGAGGAGCTGCTCAGGCATGCAGCTCGCAGACCCAAGGAGCAGAACAACGCGCCCACTGAACCTCTCGCCATCGCTCACAGCAACATCATTTGTGTTGGCAGCGCACATCTGCTTGACCGCCGTTAGGAGAGCCACCATCAACTCCTTGCCACCAGGAGTCTCTGGATTGCTGCGTATGGAATCTGCTAGCATGATAACTCTTCGGGCCATGACGCAAATGGCCATGTGGCGGATGGGTCCACTCCACATGGCCTCCTCAAGCAACGTGCTGAGGGAACTCTGCGCCACTGCAAGCTTGAAGGTGTTCTGCGGTGATGGTGCCGACTCGCTCATCGGCGACAACCCTGTGATGCCTATGATGGGCACCTCTTCCGGCTGGAATGCATCGCACACTTCGTTGAGCTTAGCCAGAAAGTCGGCCTTCTCCAGCATCTTAAAGTCTGGGTTTGCTGGCCGTCTCGACGGCAACCATGGGAGTGCGGTTGGCCCCAAAGGTACAGGAGGCTCCGGCACGAAGAAGCCTTCCTGCGGTCCTGGACCCGGCTGCGCCCAACTTCCATTCACAATGATGCCATCATCCTCTGCTTGCCCATATTCCTGGTACCGGCCTCCGGGCAAGTTTGAGATGGGTGGGGTGACCCCACCTGGTCTGCCGCGGGGCGTTGCGCTTCCCGGCCTTCCACGTGGAGTAAGGTTCCCGCGTGGAGTAAGGTTACCTCGTGGAGTTGTTCCACCCCGTGGCGTGGTGCTGCTTGCGTACCGGCCAGGGGTCGTGGCAGTGCCAGGGCAAGGCCCGCAAGGCCCACTAAATCCGGGCATTCCAGGCCCACAAGGTCCACAAGGTCCGCAAGGCCCACATGGTCCGCAAGGACCAGGAGCGAGGGGAGCGGTGCCTGGGCCGGCTCCTGTGATTGGTGTGGTGCCGCCACGTGGAGTCAACACGCGGCAAGGCGTACCAGGCTGTATGGCGCAGCTGTTTCGGTGAACCTCGCCGAAGCCGTTGACGGGTGTGCGGGCGCCTGTTCGCGGTGGTGTCCGGGCTCCCGGCATGGTGTCTGTGGGGGGCATTGCTGGTGGAAGGCCCATGGGCGCCTGGCCTGGCATTCCTGGTGGCACGCCAGGTGGAATAGGTGCCGTTGGAGTACGGGTCCCGGTTGGTGTCATTGGCCGGGAGACACGCGGGCTCCTGGGACGCATATCCCGAACGGGATATGTTGCAGGCCTCGGTGGCGTAGCAGCCCCGTCTGGCATGTTCGGCAAAGGTGGCAAAGGAAACTCTTCTTGCTGTGCTTGCGACATCCTTAGATGAGTTTGGCATTAAAAAGTTGGCATGCTCACTTACATGTGCGTGTCAGTCAAGCGGCTGAGCATGCAATTGCGTCATGTTCGTCCTGGCCAGCACAGAGAACAAACAACAGACTCCACAGGGCCACTGCGTGAGTTGGCCACTATTGCACAGCTCGGCCTCGCTTCCTGAGCGTCGTGGCCCACTGTCCGGGGCCTGCAGTGATGCTGCAGCGTGCATCACGCTGCATCATGCTGCCCACCCGTCGGAATGCATCCGTTCTCGGAGTCCAACCTCATCACTCTGAACGCCGGCTGCCCAGTGTTCGGGAAGCCCGCTGAAGGTGGCAAGACCTGCAGTCTACCACATTACCAACTACGAAGCTACGAACAGGGCGGTGAGTCAATGATAGCCGAGCGACCCCGGTGGCTTGCATCATGCCCACCTTTACAGCGTGACTTCAAACACTCTCGGCAACGGCCGTCTGGAATCTCAGATCCGAGCCACTCCCACAAACTCCCAGGCCAGCGACTAGAAACAGCAAGGCTTTCTCTCGGATTACAGGTTTGTCATAAACGGAGTGCAAGTTGTGATGTTGTTTTGTCCACATGGAGCTAGAAGCCCATGTTGTCATTGAGCTGATACTTCTTAGAAGTGTGATGCTGCTCAAAAAATACATGCGTTGACTACATTGAACATCGAACTCCGACCCACATGGTACATAATATACCATCGAGCAGGTCGAGCTGTCAGCATGATGTGATGCGAGCGTCTTCAGGATGCACAAACTGACCACAACTGTGGGCACAGAAGAAAGTGCCTAACGGCGTAAGCAGGTTGCAGAATGGTCCGCACACTTTTGAATACTTTTGACATCTGATGACTGGTTTGCATTTGCCTCAATGAACTCAGATAAAACGATTGAACACACGGTGCCAAGGTTGCTTGCCCACCTGCCACTGTGTGGTGAGGGACGGGCTGTCTTGACACTCAGATGGTGCTATCCTCATCGCTCGATTCTCCTCCACCGCAGTCCACCACCCTCTCTTCTTTCTTAATCTCCTTTCGTATCCCCTTCTTGGAGCCGAGGCGTGTGACTGCGAAGTACAAGAAGATGCCGATCACGGCCAGGAAAGCGTTGACATAGTAGTAGTTTTCGAGGTGGCCAGTGTCCAAGTCGTTCGGGTACGTAAGCTTTGTGACAACCGAAGTGAAAGCATTGGAAACTGACCCCGCGAAAAAAAGATTGATGGCCTGAAGCAGGGAACGAACTTGTACAGGCGCTGCCTCATAAGAGTAGCAGTACATGCAAGGGTTCACCAGAATCTCGGCAATTCCCACTAAGGTGAATGGCACGAAGATCCAATAGGCGCTGATGTCCTTCATGCGCGTTCCTTGTAAGCCGTCTTCTGAGTACCCAGGGGCGCACTGCGAGAATTCTGCGGAGCAAAGGTACGGCGCATCCCGCCGCTTGATCTCCAATGCAGCTGCGGCTAGGTTGGATCCGCATGCTACAAGCAAGCCTGCAATGATCTTTTGGCCCAGTCGCACAGGAGATCCCTTCATTCGCCCCAGCATCGGGTACAGACATGACTCGAAAAGCGGGGTAAAGACCAAGATTGCAAATGCATCCGCGATGTTGAAGAAAGCCCCGTTTAACTGTATGCTGCCGACTCTGAGGTCCATTTGGCAGGCTTGGGAAGGAAATGCATTGTTCATGGAGTTGTAGCACAAGTTGAAGGCAATGTTCACAATCACGATCATTGGAACTGCCGCAAATGTCTCACGCGCCTCTTCTACGCCAAAGCCGTTGAATGTAGACTTGGCCTCATCGCTCAGCGACTGGACCCACTTGGTGTTCAGGTTTGCGACCTCAAGTGAAAGCAGTGTATGCATGCACATCAGTCTGTCAGAGGAATGACCAGTGACGTCACTGGTGATCTGAGAACCGGGCCACAAGGCAGACACAGGCCATGGCGCCGAGCCCGAGCGCGGTGTTGTTGAGAGCGTCGTTGCTGGAGGCCGACCCACCATTGAGCCTGCGGGCAGCCGGCACACCCGGCTGGCCAGAGCAAGGATCCACAAAGACCTGCTCGTGAGAACCTGCCGGCGGGGGCACCAGCACGGCCGCCAGAGTGACGAGGTAGAAGAAGGGCAAACACAGCCAGCCGATGGCAGACATCACAGCCCGCCAGCCTCCCTTTCGAAGGGAATGGCACTGATAGGCGACCAGGCGCTTCGCAGGCCCAAGCCCGTTTCCAGGCAGCTTCTTGTAGGCTCTAGAGCCGGAAATGAAAATCAGGACCGCCGCTATCATGAACACGGCTCCGGCGCCATAGGAAAAAGAGTAGCCCTCGGCCTCAGACACCACTCCAGGAAGCCCTGCAGTAGTGATGTTTGTGAAGAACCCGAAGGCGAAGAGAACCCCGACATTGATGGACAGGTAGAACAAGGAAAAATAGGTCTTCTGACATTCCCGCTGGCCCTCAGTGTCATCTCCGATCTGATCAGCACCGAAGTTTGCAATGTTCGGCTTGATGCCACCGGTGCCAGCTGCGATCAGCACGAGGCATCCACCAGTAAACATCCACCCCAGTTTCTCCTGGAAGGCGTGGATCACCGCGACAGCAACGCAGCATGTGCCAATGGCATAGACCGTACCGGCACCAATGATGGTCTTGTAGCGGCCTATTGAGTCTGCGACCAGGCCACCTGGAATACACCAGAAATAGCACAGCATGCTGAACACTGAGTTCAGTGCTGCTGCTGTCGATGGCAGCTTGTCTAGCTGATTCTGCATGTAGGTCTTCTGCGTCCCCGCCAGGGTGTAGTATGTCAGCCTCTCACACAGCTCCACCAGGAGAATCATCGCAATGGGGAGCTTCTTGATCTTGGCATCTGCAATGTCTGAGTCGGTCGACGCATCGGATAAAGTATCGTCATACGCCATCTTTGATCAGAGGGCACTGCGCGCACACACACCAGTACCGCAGCTTGTGCCAAGTCTGGCCGAAGCAGCAGGGTCGGACGTGGGTGCCAGGAATGCCAGTGTGATAACTACATATGTATGCCTGTATACTTTATATACACGTACATGTATACAGACAGACAGACAGATGGGGTGATAGACACACATGCAGGTGCACCAAAAACCAGCGGATGCGTGTTTGGAAAAAGGTGTGGCTCGTCCTTTTCCTGTCTTAAACGGTGCGGCTTAGACCCCTTCGTCCTCGTTTCTTGTTGCTAGGGAAACAACCATCCCCCCTGCTCCCCATCCTTCTGGCCACACCCTTTTTATAAAGTGTGGCCCAGGTCGCCGGTCCAAACTCTATTTGTCAACTGACAAGAAGACTAGTGACCAATAGGATCCATAGCAGTGACAGCATTGATAGCAATAACAAAAAGAATAAGAATGATAACAACTCTGTGAATTAGAAACAACAGTTGCGTATGATAACAGATAACAGAAAAACTCAGAGATGACTGTAAGTGGCTGGGACCTTTAGAGTCTATTCTGCATCGTTTTTCATGCTGACCATTTAACAACTCTATACAAACTCTTCTTAACAATAAGAAGTTGTGATAGCTTGTCTCATATTTGTTGAATTCGTTTCGGCGCTTGAAAGCACACCAGATACACACTGAGACACATACCACAATGATGGCTTCGCCGCCTGGAAAGTGAATGTCTCAATAGAAAGCCTTCATGATCCTAAGCTCTGAGATAGCAAACCTTACCCGATGGGACAGGCAGCCATGGTTCTTCTGAGACAGGGCTCCGCAAGTCCTACCACAAGGCCGGCCTATCAGGGAAATGGATGTCCGAAATCGCTATCCTTCACTGCCGGGTGCTAGGCTAGGCTTTGAAATCCCGAGCCCTACGGGATCGAACAAGCAGCCACGATCCTTAGGCCCAACTGCTGGCAAGACATGGCAAAAGTAAAAAAAGAATGTTAAAAGAAGCGTATAGCAATACTAACTAAGTCATGGTAACAATAGTACTTATTGTAATAAGAATGGTAATAACAGTACGGAATGCAGTCACATAAATATGGCAGTAATACAAAAAGCAGTAATTACACATGGCAATAACAACAGAAATACTGGAAGTAATTAACAGTAGAAACAATAATACCAAGAGCAACAATAATAGCAGGCGGACGCTGTTTGGGACTTCAAAAAATGCGACACGTGGGGTTCGTTGGAGGGGGAGTGGTTCGCATGTATGTTTGTACATAGTATGCGTATATACATGTACATACGCGCATAGACAGTACATAGATGTATTGCCTCGGATTCCACACACACACACACATACATGGATAGCTCATGTCAGCATATGCCGATTTAGGCGACAAGCGCTGCTCGGTCACGATGAAGCCTCGAAACTGTTGCCATCTCCAGACTGTCCGAGGAGGCGATACCTTTTTAACTTCCACCTGCAAAAGAAGTCCACGCGGCCGCAGTCACGCCGACTTTGGGCGGGCCTCTGCAAATGCTTGGTGCACGTTCCTGGACTCTGGCATAGTCTGACACAGCTTCCATGAGATACCCCTGAACCGTGCCTGCAAAGCTTTGCACCGACCTGATCTCAGATGGACATCCCACTCATGCTTGCATAAATCGCCTCTTGTCGGCTTCCGGCAGCGGGTCCATTCTCGCGTCTTGTACTTCCTGCAGGACGGGTTGATGAGGGGAGATGAGGGAAGGGCAGGGAAGCACAAAGGGAAGCACATCTTGCCATCTCGGGCCTTGTACTTGTGTTCGGCAAGCTCTTGCTCACAAAGCTCCTCACCGAGAGCTGCATACAGGCTGGTTTGTTTGCTGGCATGGGCTGGAGCCCTATGTAGTGGGTAATGGGCCCTAGCGGCCATGGACCCTACTAACAACGCTACAGAAGCGCCTTCAGCACCAAGGGGCTCAAGCCGAGGCCTTTCGCCAGCTTGGAAGCCTCGCACGTCAAGAGTGCTCCCCAAGAGCACAAGAGCACTTCACCCGATCCGAGCATCTTTCAGTGTCTTTGCGTGAGATGCGGTGAGATGCAGGAACGGAGCCTCCTGGGAAGCCCGACTGCGCTCTTCGCAAAGCCGAAGGCGCTCAGCCTCTGCAGACTCAGGCGATGTTATGACTACGGGCACATTTTTTTTCTTCCTTCTGCATTTCTTCAGGTGGGGCTTGAAGGCCTGGACCCCCCGTGCATGACCTGCCCCCCCCCCCCGTCCAGCATCTCAGCGCAACACTGTACAGGCAGACCGGGCCCCTCATTTTTTGGGGTTTCGGCATTCAACTACCAACAGATCATAACCCACACTTGCAACTAGCCAGGGGCGTTACTGCTCTCTCTTTGCGACGCTCCCTCACTCCCTGTCTTTTTCTCTTTCTCTTTCTCTTTCTCTTTCTCTGCCTCTGCCTCGCTCTCTGGCTCTCTGGCTCTCTGGCTCTCTCGCTCTCGCCCTCTCGCCCTCTCTCTCTTGCTATTTGGGGAGCTACACGTTACCTTGGGCTTTTCTGTTTTTTTTCAGCTTTTGGGCCTGAAGCTTGGCCAGCTTGTTGCGCTCATCCTCCAGGGCCTCATGACTTGCAAAGCTGTTCGACTGCAGTACTGGCAAGGGCAGCCGGCAAGATGACACACTAAGCAGACGCCCCTGGACAAGCTCAACAGACTTGCATACTTACATGAACAAAGCACGCGACGGCCTTCGGGGTTGAGTACCGAAAGGGAAAGACCCATAAAGCTTGCATCTCAAAAACACATAAATTTGCTAACCCCCAACTAGACGCAAGAGTCTTTCCCCACATCTCCTAGTCGCACACAGCAATAAACAGAGTGCGGCTCTTTGCGGGCATCGTTCCGATCATGCTCAGCCTACCCAGGTGCAGCGCACGTCACAGTCTGAGTCTGGCATGCAGAGCCTCATGCAGTGCCTGACGATAATTTGCCAGCAGAAGCTGGTGCTTGCTTTGAAGCTCCAGCTTTCTTCGCCCAGCTCTCCTTGAGTCACATAAGCATACTGCGCTCGGTAAGGACATGGAATGTAGAGGCCCTCTCCTGAAATTAGTAAAGAACTCCGCATCGTGAAGCTGGTCCACATGAACAGGTCCTCGCAAGGTCTCAGAATGTCTCAGGGGTCGCCGGCTTCAGGCCATCTCGACTTTTGCTGCTCCTGTCTGGTTCCGCACACTTGCTATTTCCGCCTTGGAATAGAGGCTTCGGGCCTGAACGTAGGCATTGGCAGATATGTCAAAAAGCGTCTAGTTATTCTTTGGCACACAACATTGCTGTAGCCAGACTAGCCTCACGCAGGCAAGCGAGGAGTCGTTCCAGGTCCTTCCAAGGCAAGAAGAGGAAACGGACCAACGAGCAAGACCAGCAAATCAGAGTCTCCTCAATCTGCTGGCGCGAGAAGTCAACGTTCGAGAAGAGTCTGCTGGCATCCGCCCCCAAAGATGCAAGCTGCATCCTCGCACAGAAACCGCCTCCACTGACCTACCCCTGCGACATGGTGGTCCTGCAACCCCTCTTGCTCACATACCCTAAGGTCGTAAGGACGACCTGGAACGAGGTAATCTGTATTAAACTTTGCAAGTCTGGACCCCGGAATTGGACTCCCCGTCGTGGATGGGCTTCCCCATGTTTTCCCTTCCTCCCACTCAACGACACCGAAAGCTTTTTGGCCGCCCCTTCTTCAACTTTGGACGTTTCTCGTCTAGGGGCCTAGGGACCCTGAAGTATCCCCCTCACAGAATCCCACACAGCATCCCTCAGAAAATCCCGAAGAGTATTTCTGTGTCATAAGGCTGCCGGGAGTATCTCTGGATCCTTCAATCCTATTAATACAATTCATCTTGCAGAGTTAAAATTCGCAGGTCGCCCCTGTTAGGGGGGACCTCGAGATTTGAGGGTTTTCCAGCTAGTTTGAGGGCACCTATGTAAACTATCTAGCCTCCTCTGGCCTCTTGGTTTCAAGAAAGTGGGCAGGGGAGGGTGCATCGTACTTTCGGACACACTCTGCCTGGATCAGCGCGTGTTGGGGAAAGGCAGAGCAGAAAGTGCAAAGTCCGTTCTTGTGGGACTGAAGGGCTCCCGCATTGAGAGAAGTTGTCCTTATTCGCTCCTTTTTGCAAAGATGGCACTCATTCCTTTCATGTTTGTTCTTTGGCGTTTATCGGATGGGATCTATAACGCAAAAAAAACGCACAAGATCCTTCTTGGCATCACTGCCTGCTTCTCACATAAAGCGCGTCGCCAAAAGAATTCATATGAGAACTGCAGAGGGGTCAGGTAGCAGTAGCTTCAGAAAATAGACATAGTATCCAAGACATAGATCAGGGGTTCATGGTCAAGTGTGTTCTCTGTCGATCTCCGTATCGTACTTGCTGATCACATCGCCCGTTCATCTGCGAACTGTTGCGTTGGGATTGGATTTCTTGAGACTGCTTTACTGAAGCCAGCAACCGCATGTAGATGATTTTCGAAATTCTCAGCACAAACGTCGCAATCCTTCCCTACTATGACTACAGAAAGCATGCTTCAATTCCACTAGAGTTTTCAATTTTCCTCCCATGCGCCTTGTTTCAATACGTTTAACATGAACTTGGAATGAAGGCGAAATAATATTGATATCACATTCATTGCGAAACGCTCGCCACAGGAATCGCGCGAGAGCCTACCTCCCAACTGTCCAGGAGTACTGGACAAGGCAGCTCTCACAGGATTAGCGCATGAAGAGGCCATTTGCATGCATAGTTCTCTTGGGGCTTCACACCACCTCTCCTCATGAGCTTAGGAAAGTTCGGGCCTGAGAGCGTGCCGCTGAAGCCGGAAGGTTTGCAGGCGGTCTTGAAGTCCGGATGCTGCGTCCTGCAGATGTTTCAGAGCTCCAACATGCACTGTCTCAGCAAGACTGCCGAAAATTCCGTCTAACACCTGGCCTCCTCATGCGCACGTTTTCACTACTTCTTCCAAAGATTCGATGCCGAGCAATCTCGGAAAACGCTGTACCAGTTGGCCACTGCTGGGCCATGGATCTCTCAGGTTTAACCAAAGAGTGTAGGGTGGAAGTCCGATCTGCGTAATTAGGCATTGCAGGCCATGTCTGCAATGGCCAAGGCTCACCAACTTGTGAATTCTGGCTCTAAGCCAAGAGATTAAGAAAAGCATGAGCTGAGCGAGATCAAATATGAGAGAACCAGCACGTCGTCTTCTGGCGTGCGGCCGCATTCGCCGCGCTCGACCAGCACGTCGTCTTCTCTGCGGCATCCGCTATGGCTTCGAGGTCGCTGCTAAGTCCGAGGCGGCAGACCTCTGGATCGCCGACCCAGTCGCGGCGGATCTGGGCAGCATGCCTTGGATGAGGGCTGCCGATGGCAAGGTAAATCATGTAAATCACATGCTTCACATGCTTCACATGCTTCACATGCTTTGCAACTTGACAATCGCACCAACAACTTGACTGGCAAGCTGCGCAGGCCCCTTCAGGAGCTCGCCAGTGCGAGGGTCTCTCGCGCCTCAGCTTCGGGTCATGGCAGCGAGCGGGTCTCTATGTTTAGAGTCGCGGGCAGTCAGACAGTCTTACGATTTGGCAATCTGGCTTTTGATGATACCACGACCACGACGGCACTGTTTTGGCTAAGGAGTTCCATCCAGATTTCCTTTCCGGCATTCCACACCCTAGATTTCCTCACTGGATGGTTCCGCCACGACCTCCCCTCCCACTAGCCAGAGAAGCCATGTCTTCAGAATCCGAGGTCTTGTTGAGATTGGCTGGCGGCCCTTGACGCCCGCAAACGGAATTCAGAAATCCAGGAGGATTTCTTAAAACTAAAAGATCTAGCTGCTGGAGCTCATTCATTTCGAGTGCCCTCGCCCTGAAAAGAGATGCAGCTTGAATGTCTTGTTTTGGGTGAGTTCTGGGCAAGTGTCCACCACAAAGTTTCTTGATTAATGTCTCGTTTGGCTTGGCAGGCTTGGGCAACTTTTTGGCCTGAGTGCTTCGGCCTCCCAAGATTGGATCTATGCAGCACTGAATTAGTCAATTAAACGCCAGGGAACCCCTTGTTTGAGGTTGTCCTCTTCTTATGATGTATAGGTCTCAAGATTAAGAAGCAGGCCTGTCTTGTGCCAAGCGTCAGAGAACATAGGTCTTCGAAGGCTTCTCGGAACCCTTGTCACCAGGATTTCCACCTCTGCACGCGATGTCATGTTGCGCTTCCCAAGTGCTCTCATGATTCCCCATCCTAGTCAATGCGAGTTCACTTTAGCAAGCCTCTGCAGCACACGGTCTTCGATTCATTCTGCCGAGACACGTTTCCGCACCTTTGAAGAACTCGAATTTGGAGAGGTCTCGGGTGGCAGGCTTCTCTCCTGCTCCTGCAGCAACGCAAAGCCAAGATAAGCCGCATGCCAAGCACAGGCCCAGTGCCAAAAGAATTGAATGTGTGTGTGCGCACTCTTCTGACCAGCCTGAACAGGCACGAGAGGCCCAGCTTGTGCCTTCTGACCCTTTCCTTCCAGCTTCTGCTCGTCCTCTGCCTTCCAGCACGCTAGAATTGGGATGCATCTCAATATCTCAGGGCACTTGTAGAGCTCAGAGCGCCTGCCGGGCCCGTTCTCTGGAATCTGGCTGGCTGCCGAGGACATCTGCCTCATGCCATTAAATTTGCTGTGAACTTCAGATAACTTGGAGATCTGTCAGCCTTTCCTTCTTCTGGAAAATAAAAGCCTCCTGTGATGCTGCTACGTCTCGCCTGCGTATCCCTCTGTCGAACAACTCGAGCCCCACAGCTCAAAACCCCGTTTTTTGCTGGGCATCCGGTACTTCAACAGGTCCGGCCTTCTCGTCGAAGATGGCAGCCAGCTGCTGCAACTTCTGCTGCATGGCCAGGACTGTGCTGCATCCCGCCTGTGAAGGACAGGCTGTATCAGCTGTGCATCGCCTCATGCAGCTTCTTGACAGTGAATGTGTAACATCTTGTCTCTCAGGTCAGTTTCGCGACCGTCCTGGACTGGACAGGCTGGAGTGTGCGTCTTCAAAAAAAGGACTTGAAGAAGGCATTGGCCTTGTCTTCCAGTGCCGCGGACAGGCTGGCGAGCTTGTCTGCATCTGCCTACCAGAGGCTGTCCCACCCGAAATGCTGCCCTCGCCAGCGGCAAGCCCCTCCCGCACCCGCTCATCCCCCACCCCCGCGGAGTTTCTGTGAAGAGAGGCCTTCATCTCCAAGGTGCCCAGCACTTGCTGCACGCTGCACTGCAGCTCATGTTGCTTCATCTTGACTTCAGACATGTCAGCCTCACATGGGCACCCGCAAGAGCTCAGCAAAGGCTAGAATAACATTCAGTCCAAACTAGGTTTTGTCGTCGTGTTGGTTTACAGAAGGAGTATTTGCGGCTTTCCGGAGATTTCCGGAATGAGGCTACCACTACGTGGAATCTAGCGAGAGTGCAGGCACGAAGCAACCTGTATCAGCACACAAGCAGGAACTCCGTGCAGGTGCCACAGCCGAATGACCTCTCAAGGACCGCCTCCTGGCCTCGTGATCCACAGGTGCAGGAGCATGTTGAAGCTGGTCCAGCTTCTGGCGCAGCGTGCTAATCTCTTCGGCTTCAGCCTGCGATTTATGGGCCACGAAAGCCAGCAACAAGCGCACTCAGCGGGCCTTCTGCTCCAGTGCGAGCTCCAAACGATACGCCTCCTTCTGCAGCACGGCGGCATCAGCCTGGACCAGCCCACTGTCAGCACATGCATCACTCGCGTCAAGCCTCAACTTCAACGCAGCCTTGTGCGCGAGCGCCGCCTTTAGCTCCATGCTCTCACTTTGCAGGGTGCTAATTCGCTCTGAGACCTCACGCGAAGGGCACCCAAGCAACGCGCCCACGACAGACTCGAAGGATTTCGAGGGATTCGACAGGTCGCAACGGCTGCCAATACTTTTTCTAGGGTGGAGGCTTGAAAAAACAACTTGGGCGTGTGATCGGCTGCATCGGCCGCAGGCCTTCTGGACATGCTCCTGCCCCGCGACGTCATCCCGATCGGCCTCAAACTTGGGCTTGCATCCGGAGTCCCGTCACAAGGATTCACATGCACAGGTAGCCATGGTTTGAGACTGTGAATACAGCCAGTGCCTTCTGCTTGACGGTTCTGGTGAGATGCGAAAGTTGTTGCTGAAGGGTATGAATGCGACCAGCATCGGCCTTTCACATCTGTTTCACTCTGAAAATGGTAGAAGAGGGTGGCAGCAGGCCAGTCTGCTAATCTTCTCTTCACATTGGGAGGTCGTGCACTCATGACGTGCTTAGCAAAATGCCCTGACCTTGTCTGGCAGCGCCGCCGAAAGTGTTTGAAGGCTGTGTTGCAAGCTGCTGAGCTGGCCCGCATCTGCCTGCAAGGGCTGGCTCATCCAAAACGACTAGCCTCGGTGATCAGCAGGAATCCCACATTGTGTGTCGGCCTGGCCTTCATCTCCAAGGAGCTGAGCACATGTTGCATGCTTTCCTTCAACGCAGACATCTCTGCCTCGCGAGGCACGAACGCACCACAAGGCACGGAACCCTGGATAGCTCCATCGGCTAGCTGCAGCAAATATGAGTCATCCGTTCCGGCACCGTTGGAGATACTACACAGAATTTGAGACATGAAACAGCAATACAAGTGTTTCTATTGCAGTCGCCAAGACTCAACCTCCACAGTGCTAGGAGAAAGCAGGAGTGTGTTGATCAAGGTAACTCACACATCCCACTGTGTTTCCATGTCAATCCCCATTCAGATTCATAAGACAGCGCTGTCGCAGTGCAGCGCTGGCATGCAACACTGAATGGGGCAAGAAAAGGACTCACAAGGAATAAGGCTGATTTTGGGCAACGGGCTCTAGTCTAGGCACACGGCTCGGTTCTGCTTAAAGTGCTCATTAGGGAGCAAGAGGAAGCATCAAGAAACTGGTTCGGCACAGAAGTTGCACGATGGCAAGCTGTTGAAGGTGTGCTCGTGCACGCACGCTTCCAATTTAACAGGAAAATGGCTCAATCAAAGCATGGACCCACTTGCGTGGCGTGCATGATTGGCATGCAGTAGGAGTGTCATGTCCATGGCGACTTTCATTCGGCTCAGTCTCTTCAGCCAACCCTACAATGGCAGCCATAGCGTTCAGGACTGCTTGTCGAGCCTGCTGCTGCTCAAGCATCCTCCCGAGCTTCTTTATCTCGTCAAGCACTTTGGTCTCCTGGCGAACCTGGAGATGCTAAAGTCCGCGAGTTCGGGGCAAGTACTTGGTGCTTTTTCTTGGCAAGCCGGCCTCTAGTTCTCCGCATCCTTCTTTTCGCAGAAAGACTCCCGGCTGAGACCGCTCAGTTTCGATGGCCCGCGCCGGCTCTGACATGGAAACTTGGGCAGCTCTCTTTGCCTGTCGCAGGAATGGCGCACTGCCCACGCGGCTATGAGACATGTCGCAGGATCGTTGCAATGAGTTTGGCTTCAAGCGCCGGCCTCTTGCGATCTTCCGCTTTGCTCTCCACGTCCTCCCTTCTTGGACCCGCAAGGTAAAGGTGAGCTTGGCACCAGGAGCTCATGAAGCGTCCCTGGCGCCGGCGACATGTCTGAGTGCAGGAAAAATCCCGGTGGCGCCGGCTCTTGCTCAGATGGCTCACTCTCGAGCGGCCAGGCGCCAAGGTCCTCCAAGGGGGTGAGCTGGGCGTGTCCGATAAGGGGATCCCACTATTTGGGGTCGATATAAGGGGTCCCCTATTTTCGTAAACCCCCATTTTGTCACCCATCGGCCCGAACTCGCTGAAGCATCCCTCAGAATAATCTAATCAAAACACCAAGAACATGTGGGGGGTTCTGAAGACAGCGGTACCTTTTCGGGGCTTCCCCTACTTAAGGGGATTCTACTCTATTTGGAGTATAAAAGGGGTACCCCTAATTTGGGAAATACGCATGTCCTGGTGTACTCTCAGCATTCGGAATACACCAGAATGGTGCTCTCGGAGTGCTGCAGACGATGCCGTCTCGCAGAACAAGTCCTGACTAGAGCGAACTCCGTGCAACAGGGGGCCCATGGTCAAACTGCTGGCCTGCTTGTCCAGGAGCGCTGCTCTGGCATCGTCGTCCTGCAAGCTAAGAGTGCAAAGACTTGAGCACAGCTTGAATACAGACGAGCACCGCAACTTGAGGGATCTACGCTGTGCAGTTCCTCGCAAAAATGCTGCAGGATTGCTTTACCTCAGCACGATAAAAACGATAACAGAAAAAGATCAGCAAGTCGCGAAGCAACTGCAGAACTGCTCAGTATGCACATCTCAGCTGCTGCATGCTGCGTGCCCTTCCACGGCAGCAATATGCAGGGCTGTTCTGCCCACGATATCAGTCTGTGTTGGGTCGCACCTTCACAACAGCTCGCTGCTTGCACAAGTTCCACACACACACACACACACACCGAGACACACACGCATACTGAGACATACTCGTACACAAGCACTGGAGGCTGCAGCAAGATGCCTTCGTTGCAGCAAGAATGCCACGACCTCCTCCATTCATGCTTTCACGAATAGATGGGAATGCAGCACAAAACAGGGAGAGAGGGAGAGAGCAGCACAGCTTCGATGCGCTCTCCTCATTGCCATGGCGCGCTGCTACGTGCAGAGCTGAGCGTCCAGTTAATGGATCTGCTGTATGTAGGCAGGAGTGGGAGGAGTTCAAGGCTGGCTCCCGATCCAAGATCTTCAGCGCTTCAAATGCCAGTTGCGGCTGGCTCAGCACCTGTGCGACACACATTATTTTTGCGCAACACGACCGAGCTACCAAGGTAAAGCTTAGGAAAATGCTAGGACTATGCGAGCTCGTTCCCAGAGCTGTCTTGTTCCCACCCAGGACAACCGGCTAACCGTGTGACCAGGACTACTGATTGCCATGAGGCTACTCATAGTATCCTCCACGTAGAGCTATTGGCAATGAATCTGAGACTTGGCTACAGGATAGCTACACGATGGCAGCTATGGCGGGAGAATAGCACGCAATACATCGCGATGCCAATTCGCTTAGAGAATCCTGCACTATGGTGGGCCATGGCACCTGGTGGAGCAGCTGCAGCTCCTGCCATGGAGACTGGCACGCACTCCACATTGCGGCCACCTCCTCGACGCATCTCGGGACAGGAGCCGCTTCTGTAGACGCTGTAGGCGCTGGTGCCCTGGCAGATTTGACGCCACGTGTGCCCGCGGACGCACTCCTGCAGAGGCGGTGCGAAGAAAAGAGCTGATGCAAAGCTGCTGCTTTTCTCTTCGTGAGCTCTTCCGATCTCCTCTCTGTCTGCCTTTCAATGAGCTAAAGATGCTGGGCGCTCAGAGAGCTCTCTTTCCTTCTGATCCATATGCGCTGGGAAATCCAGGGTCGACCAGGGAATTGCCGCTTTCTCAGAAAAAGCTGAAGAATGGGTGTTAGACTGCCTTCATTCGGGGGGAGGGGTAGGTCCCCCCACCCCCCCCCAGCTCTTGAAATGGCGCATGCTTGCCGAACACAGCATCGTCGGGATGTTCAGTTTGCAACAAAGGGGTATCGTCCCACTGTCCATACTTTTCCGTTTCCATGAGCGCCCCGATATCCAAGTCTTCTCTGGAGCGGAAGGTTGTTTCAAACAGGTGAGGAGGGGGAGACTACTACCCACTATTTGGAAAGAATGATCGCAAGTGTGGGGCTTACACAAGGCAGGGGCTGAGCAGGCATGCTTGATTGCTGATTCGCTCTGTGTGTTTCTATTTGTCTCTCCTTGATCTCTGAATCATGGACACCTGCTTAGGGCATGCGTGTTGCGAATTGGTCTTCACTCGGCAAGGGGTTCTCTCTCTCTCTCTCTCTCTCTTTCGCCCGGAAGCCTCATCTGCTTTAGCAGCATAGCCACGCTCTTGTACTTGGGCATATGGAGTTCTTCCAGGTAGTTCACTATTCTCCGGCCATGCGAATCCACAGAGTTAATGCAGCATCCATGTTGCAGGAGAATGTCCACGCAGCCCTGCTGCTCTGGGGATGGACCACTGGCCAAAGATTCCGAGTTCAACACTGCCGCGAACAAAGGGATCCGGCCAAACTTGTCACGCTGCGTCGGATCACATCTGGACTGAATCAGTTTTTTCAACAACATTGGCTGTCGATTCCTGGCGGCATTGTGGAGTGCCGCCTGGTTCTGTGAAACATAATATTCCTGAGCTGTTCTTCCGGTACGTTGCGCATGTGCATCTCTGCACGTCCCTTTGCTTCTAGGGCCCTGGCAGGGTGCATCTCCCGCGGAGTAAGCCAACAAGAGTCTTGTTCGGCAACGTCTTCCGCAAGCTTGCAAACATCTTGGGCCAGATGCTGACGTACGGCCACTTCCACTGCTGTAGCATGTTCAGCACATGCCGAAGAGTAGAGCAAGCAACATCCCTACGTGCAAGCCCCCCGTTGGAATGAAATCGAGTGGCCATTTCATCCATCAAAACTCACTTTCAAAGCATTGCTGTGCTCCTCGAGGCGTGCCTTCTCGGCCAAGTAGACTTCAACTTCCCTTCTGCACTTGACCAGCTCGCGCTCGAGCCGGGCCAGCCTGGAGTCCGATGCACAATGGGGGGGCGCGACTGTCAGAAGCCTACAGCAAGCGAGGGAATCGCCTGGGATCCGCAGGTTCCACTCCGCCACCTACCACAGAAACCAAGTCTGGCATCCTGGCCAGCTGCTAAAAAGCTCAGGAAGACACAGCAAATTTGTGGCCAAGCCACTGAAGGTCGCCTCCATGACGGCAGAGCTGCCAGCAAACCTGGCTTCTGCAAAAGGAAACGAAGGCAACATCAGCGCCTTGGCACCCTGCCTTGCCGAGAAGGAATCGTTTGCGTAACGCGTCGACTCACGATGCGTCTGGGCACCTCGCACACTGCCACAAAGCATCAGGCAGCTACCTGCTACCTTTTTACCATTGCCGTGAAACAGGCACTGTCACAACAGTGTTTCCATGACTTCGATAACCGCATCCGGTGCGGAGATCACGAATGGAATGCAAAAGAATCCTTCTCCCCGTACCAGCACTTTGATCCGGAATTGAATCCTACGCGGATCCTGAGCAGCTGAATGGGCCCTGCGAGGCCAGATGCTTTTTGTAGGGATTTGGCCCGTCATGGCTGCCTGGACAACCTGTTTTCCTTCTTTGCAGGGGTTTGGTGTTTCAGAGTAGATGTACTACACTGGGACGAGGGGAAGCAGGTCTAAGTCTACAGGACGACTTGCTTTTGTGGAGGGCTTTCCGCGAAAGACGTATTTTGACTTGGTTTTCCAGCCCTTGCTGCCGGTCCACGGGTGTCATCATGCTGCAACTTCGCGGCCAGTCACAATTTAGGCCATCTTCCAAGGTATGGTCCCTGTATCGGGAATGCAACAGGCTGCCATTCGAGGGTCGCATGGGGGGGGGGGGGTGGCAGAGGGCCCCGGAGCAGTGCGAGAAAATGCCCCTCTGAAGAACTCTGAAGGAAACCATAGAGAGGCCGAAGGGGAACCTAACTTTAAACACCCCCATGTGCCTGGCACTGGTGCCGCTGACGCTCCCGCGTCCACCTCCCCAATCGGAATGCTTGTTGGCTGAGTTGGACCTCAGGAGCAAGAGTATCCTAACATGGCGGCCATACGCATACATCTACACGTACATATAGGTACAGATTAATGATACCTAGATATATATATATATGTGCATATGTATGTATGTATGTATGTATGTATGCATGTATGTATGTATGTACGTATATATTACTATATATTAATATTATATATATATATACATATGTGTGTGTGTGTGTATCTATATGTATATACACACACTTGTATATCTATGTATCGACCTCTCTAGTTTCGTTCTTTCGTTTTGTCGTTCTGTCGTTCTGTGGTTCTTTGGTTCTTTCGTTCTTTCGTTCTTTCGTTCTTTCGTTCTTTCGTTCTTTCGTTCTTTCGTTCTTTCGCTCTTTTGCTCTTTCGCTCTTTCGCTCTTTCGCTCTTTCGCTCTTTCGCTCTTTCGCTCTTTCGCTCTTTCGCTCTTTCGCTCTTTCGTTATTTCGTTCTTTCGTTCTTTCGTTCTTTCGTTCTTTCGTTCTTTCGTTCTTTCGTTCTTTCTTCTTTCACACATGCCTGCCTCACACTCACGTAGTAGCTTCAACCTCCGGCCTCTTCGTGCACATATAAGACACTTCATACGTATGTATGCATGTATGATATAGGCATACGCAACTTTCTACATTATATCAAGTAGCATAGTTACGTATGCATGTATTTACGCATTCGTGTTTCGAATTGTGGGAAGGGGAGTAGCAGGAAGACGATTAGCAGAGAATCACAAATAAAACGCAGGCCTTGCGAGATCACGCCGAAGGCAACGCCTTCGAAGTCGAACTCAGATTTCTGCTCCTCCCCCTTGTCCTCTGCGGCCTGCTCCTCATGCTCCTCTGCAAAGTAAGGAGGGTTGGCCGGGACGTCGGAGATGGAAGCAAAATGCCCGAGCTCTTGCATCTGCGCTACCAGGCGGCAGGCAACGCAAAAGCACTCGAAATCCACATCGTCTCCAGCGTCACCAGTGAGAGCAGTGTCGAGAATGCTCTTGACAACTTCTGGACCCAGCGTGCTTCTTAGCAAGAATTCCTCCACAACAGACTTCGGAAGGCATCGGCGCCGCCCTCCCAGCTTCTTGTAAAGCTTCCAGCTGCCTGACTGTTCTTCGGCCGGCAGACTGCGCAGCCGCTCCAGTGAGATCTCTGGTGGACCCTTGACTTTGTCACTGCGACCCATTGGTGCTGTGGAGCATGGCCAACAAGTTCAATGAGCCAGCTTTGGCTTTAACGTCTCTTAACTTGACTTTATTCTTGACTACCCTTCCTTTTGCGTACTGGCTGTCCAATCTTCGCACGATTCCGTGTTTGTTCGCTACAGCTTGCCTGGTCTTGTTTGCAGCTCTTTGAGATTCTTCACGGATACTTGCAAAGATCAGCTTGACGTGCGGCTCTCTTGTGCGCACAAGCATGCACAAGACTACGACTGACTGCCATGGCAAAGCTGTGGCGACGCTTCCCTTGCATAATGGGCGTGTCTCTACTCTGGCTCTGGCTTTTGGATGCACGGTCACTGTTCCCAGTGCAAGTTTGCTTGGGTCTAGCTGTGGCTTCTTGAGACGAGTACATGTCACAACAGTCTGGCAAGAGCACCTGCCAGACACCTCTCCTTCTGAGGGGGAAAATCAGACCAAAAGCACCAGCTAGCTCGCAAGTTCGAGGCTTGCATCTAGGGCATCTAAAGTGTTGCATGTGCTTGATATCGTGCATCAATGATGGGTTCTTGGCCATCGGTCATAGGATGGTCATAGGTGAATCTGAATCTAGGCAGAGATGGCACAGGGCATCTGACCACTTTCAGACTTCAATCTGAAGGCAATGCCTGGTCGGAACCAGGCATTGTGCATTGCTTTGGCATCTAGTGCCCTTGGGGCACGGAAGACTGCCGCCAAAGCTGGTAAGCTTTGAGTAGCTTCCCTGTATCGTCTAGATACGAGAGCTACTTAAAATTACACAAATAACTTCTGGCAAGTCCAGCGGTTGCTGAGCTACTCTCTCTTTAACCTCAAGCTCTTGAGTGCACTTCGACGATTCGAAGATGGTCTTGCCATGCTAAGCTGTGACACGCAAATTAGCTGCCCGATCACCCCGAACCCACAGAGCCTGGGCATGCCAATCTCGTGCATGTGGCTGGGGCACGCGCAAAACTCCAGTTGCCACATTCTGGGGCTACCACCAGCATACCTCTCTGGCAAGTCGGGGTCCTGGTTGGCCCCCCCCCAGGTAATGGCAGGTGCATGTTGAGCTTCGACTATTAGTGACTGTTTGAGAGGCCTCATTTGGCTGCTCTGGCAGTACCACGCCCGGTCCCTGGCGATGGGGCGGGACGTATCGCAATGGCCATCCCAAATTCAGCACGCACGCGAAGCTGGAACAAAGTGCTGTTGCGGCTCAACCAGAAAACACAGCAACCAAGTTTAAGCGTAAGCATTTTACAGCGGACGCCAAGGCGCCTGAGCATTTGGAACTGGTGGCTGCGGCTTTCGGCCCACGGCTTCCCAAATCTTGGAGCGGCTCACCAAGGTCACATCAAATGCGGTCAACTAATTCATGCCACTCTGCGTTTTGTCAGCTCTTGCCAGGTGCAGGACTGCAGGCAGCATCGCTGAGTTCTGCCGGGAGACGTAGTGTGGCCACGCCTGCACACTTAGCAGATCATAGACTCGAGCGATGTACCGAACCACCCTGAACCACCACGTAGCAATGGGACACACTGCCTTGCCTCTGGGCGTGATATGGATTGAGCTTCCTGGGTCGAATCCGCGCGTGGTACGGAACAGCATTGCGCTTCGGTTAGCATGTGCAAAACGCTGGCAGGCGCGATGTTTCCGAGCAGGGCCCGATCGTTCGGCTTTCAAAAGCGGCGGAGACTTCTGAAGTAGTTTAGAGTGTGTAACACGCACGTAATCGTCGTGGTGAACGTGCTGGCGATGTGGTCATCATCGTGATGGCATGGATACGTTGCCTGGTGAATGACATAATCATCGTGCGGGCATGGATGCGCAGTGACGGCTGCGGAAACAACCACGGAGAAGACATGCAAGTCAGCTACTCCAAGCAAAGACTGAACCCACCCAGTATACCCCAGAGCTACAATTCCCAGGCTCCTCTCCCCCCAAGGCTGCTGGAACCGAAGAATGCCCTGGATACAGAACGCGCAACTTGTGCGACAAAATTAAAATCGAGAAAGAAACAAGAAACTTATCCGAAAGCGGACATGTGCTTTCAACTACACGGGCAGGAATGTGCCAGACTCCAATTACATGGCAGGAATGTTGCTGCGCTTTCACTTGCTCTGCTGCCAGGGAACCCAGTCCGAAATATCACGTCTCATCAAAAAAAGCAAATAGGCCTGCACGTCATGAGATGACATGAGGCAGTGGAGTCCAAGCACATTGTTTCGGTGGACTGCCTCCCGCGTGATGACCTCGTTATCGTCCGCTCTGACCTTCTGCAAAAAGATTACAGAGAATCTCTCCTCAACACTAGCACCATCGCAGGCCTCATGCACGTCCGTGTCATTGAAGTGGTAGAAACGATTATGTAGGTGGTGCCTTCAGACTCGTTCAGTGCAGGCTGTAGCCTCTTCCTTTCAGGGGTCAAAGGCCAGGCCTGCAAATGGCTGTATAGTGCCCACGGCCGGCATGCCCTATATGATTCGCCACCTCACATGCTCTGCAATAACTTCGACAAAAAAAGATTGCGCAAAGGCGTGCACATAGGCGAACCAATAAGAACCAACAAGCAGACAGACTTTGGAATTGATGGGCTTCCGGCCGCAATGACATCATACACCAGTGACCCCTGTAAAAGCCGCGCATTCAGGCAAAAGAGCCGTCCAACAACATTGGAAGGTGCACTCAGCACGGAGCCTTCTGCGGCGAGCTCACGAAGCTCGACAAGTCTATGCTCAGGGGCGTCCTGAATGGGATGGAACCAACGGGAACAACCACCAATGAGGCTCAGGCTTGACGTGCCTCAGCCTGACATTGATTTTGCGAAAGCGGCACCTGAGACGAGCAGATCGGGCAGGGCTTCCAAAATGGGCAGGCCGCATTCGAGCAGCGGAGCTGAACCAAGGCAGGCGCGTCGACGTGTCAAATTCGAATCTTTTCAAGTGGACAAGAAGAACCTGAGGGGATGCTGTAAAGGAGTGATAAGTCGTGTTCTTGTTGTGTCAGCGTGCTTTCCTTTGAAGTGTTCCTAGGGGGGGGGCTATGGCTCCGTCGCATCAGAAGCATTCCGACACATCTCAGAATCCAACACCCACAATGCTTCGCTTACTGCCAAGATACCGGTGGAAGCTTCCAGAGGTCGATCTTCTTGATTGAATCCACTCTCTTCTTGCACTTGGGACACCTGAGCACACCAGGTCCCACTGAAAACGTCTCGCGGACTCGAGACTCCAGCCCCCCACATCTCTTTCCCCGGGCCTCCATCTCTCGTCACCGGTGAGGTGCTCTTCCTTGAGGAAGTGCATCAACGCATCCTTGCCAAGGCATGATGAGTGTTGTCCCATACCACGACCTCTCTCTCTCAATGATTTAACCAAACTGATCCGAAACTCTCGTTGCTTCACAGCCTAGCCCAGCCTGGCCTGCAGATTGTTCATGCCGTAATGCACGGGCAGGGCAATATACAAGTACCTAAGCTACGTCAAAACATAGCCGCTGTTAACCCACGAAGTGCAACACACAAGGCGCCAAAGATGCTCCGAGTTGCGGGTCGAAGGTTTTTGACTGGTGGCCACAAGTGATGCAAGTGAGACGTGAGCGGAGCTGACCCTGGAATCGAGTCGAAACTGCTCGCCAATTTGATGAATGAGCACTTCTCGGCCCTGCCTGGAAAAGGTCCACAAGAACAGACTTATGCCGCATCAAATGCTTCATCCAAGTCCTCGGCACGTTGGAGAAGAAATTGTGTGGCTTTGACCCTCGACACCTAATGTTGTAACATGCTCCGCACACTTGAGGACGCGGCAGCGCAGCAACGTACTCTTCGCCCTTCTCCCGCTCGAGCTGACACATCACAGATGTTTTCGCGGAGAGAGCGGGCAGTGGTGGATGGGGAGAATATACATTTGCGACTTATACTTACGCATGCTGCTCCTCATTGTCCAGGCACCTCGAAACTCTCGACATTTGCAACACGCCAATCGGCTATCCAAGGACACAACGCTGCAGAAGCTTTCAACGCGACATGGCCAGGCAGCGCGAGGGCTCTAAGAAGAGGTATGAAGGACATGTGAGCCAACTAGGTAGCACACGCACGAGGCGCTGTCTTGAATTGAAGGGTAGGAATGAGATGGAATCAGCTTCTTTCTCAGGTTCGGGCAGAAATTCTATGAAAAGGTAGGTTTTCAGAAGAGCTTGAACTATTCATTGCTTTTTTAATATTTGCCAGTTTTCTGCGACAAGTGTTATGGTTTGTTTTTTTCTTGTTTGGTGTTTTTTGCTTTTTTGTTTTTTGCTTGTTTTTTTTTTTGGGGGGGGTCGCAAAACCTTCAAACCATCCTTCTGCAGTATGTTGTATAGCGGAGGCAAAAACGCTGCAAACAACGGTTTTTGGGCATGTTCGCATCAGGCGTGAACACTTGTGACAGTGGTTGTTGTTGCAGACGTCAATGTTGTAAAGAGAGGCCAAGATGCAAGGTCTTGGGCATGTTCACAAATGGCATGAACTAGGAAGACGTGTGACAGCGTCTGGTTCCAGAAACGTGAAAACATCCTGCTACGCAAAAGAGCGGTAAATACAAGCTTTTTGGGCATGGTCAGAGTATCGCAACCAACCCCCACCTCCCCCTCCCCCACCCTCCATCGAGAAAAAACAGAGACGGAGTCGGAGTGAGAGAGAAAGCGGGAGAGAGAGAGAGAGAGACTGACTAATTTGAGACTGAAAAGCAGGCTGCACAAAGCCAACATCAAGTGATTCAAACGAAGACGGCACGTAAGAACGACCGAACCGCACAATCATCTAGTGTTGCTGACATCCTGTTCGGCATGTCTAGCTGAGTCTAGCTCTGGGAATGCACATCTTGCAGTGTGTCAGCTCATTGATAAGCATCTTGCAGAAGGTTCAACTGTTTGAGACGCAATGTGTGTCTGTTCAGTCCCCTTCTGTGAGATGAGAACTTTTCGGTCCTCATGACATACCAGTGTGCTGGATTTTTGTTGGATCAAGTCTGATGTTCTCCTGCCAAAAGCCCGAGGGTGCAAAGCTTCGAGGGGCTTCTGCCTCTTGGTTGACTTCATCTCCATCCCGCGAACCTTTACAGATCTCCGCAACAAAGGCACTTTCGCGTCAGCACCTTTCCAGTCTGGAACAGGAAGTACCTCGATGTTTTCGTCGCGATCCATTCTACACAACGAGCCTCGCTTGATTGCAATATACAATACAATGATCTTGGCATGGCCCCATGGCACTTCTGGAGCATCGTGCCATTGGCGCGTGGAAAGAAAGGTTGCGGTATGTCATGGTTTTTGCAGATTCTTCAGCCGTGTGAGATGTGAAGTCTGAGTGGCATCGACTTCTTCGGACGTAGCCTTGGAACTTTGACATTCCAGGCAGAACTGACATGCATCACGTCTCGAACTGCTGTGACTGGCCAAGCTTGTCCTGGCACTACTTTTCGAGATTTGCACTTTTGGGTGTTAACAGTATCAAGGGCATGGGGGTCTCTGCAGTTGATGCGTTCACCGTCTGGCATGAGTGCTGAAAGACCTTTGATGTTCGAAGCTCTGGATCATCTCGGGCGGAAATATGAAAACCACATTTGTCACATCTTTAGTGTCGAGGAGACGTGCGAACGTTCGCGCTTTGCGGCTCAATCCTGACGACGGCCGAGAGTGCAGAGCAGACTTTGAGGAAGACTTTGAGTGTCACCACAGTTGCCTGGGATTTCATGTGAGCTTTGTGAATCCATGAGCCTGACACTTTCACACCCTCCCCGTCGCCTCCCCAACCACCACGAAAAATCTGCAGAATCATACTGTTTCAAATCACGAGTTGCCTTTATGACTCGCAACTGTACAGTATGGTGGCAACCCGAATGCGGGTTCAGGCTAGTCCAAGCATGATCAGGACATGACTGATCCCGATGATTGCCAGCCTGAGCCATCCGCTCATCCTCTTCATCTGAATCCACTTTGGGTTCCGACTCTTTCTTGCGATTGTCCTTTGTGAAAACAGGATCAGACGGGAGTACGGACACCCAGGGATGGTCAGGAGAATTCAGCACGCTGTAAGAACTGCAACAGTGCATGACTAGGTCCTTGCGCTCTACCTTGACGAGGTTGAGATCTTCATGCAACCCGTCCAGCAGGTACGCGAGAAGCTCCTCGAAACCAACAGCTCTCTGGCCCTAGCTGCCACATAGATTCCTTGCCGAACAAACGTCTGTGTCGCTCTGGAGGAGAGCCAAACCCTGACCCCAGGATGCCATTGTATCGTGGCAGCCCTCAGCAGCTGCACTTCAGTAAAACCTCTCCTGTGCATCTTGCTGGTCTGAATCTCGAAAAAGGTGTCTTGCAAACCTGGGTCGGGCAAGGCACGCGCCGTCTTTTGCAATATGTGGGGGGACCCTCCAAGCAGCCGACTTCGATAGTGTACCATACAGTTGCGAGGGCGAGTGAGTTCGGCTGCGCCGCTGCCACAGCATCTCCTGGAAGTCATCGATGTGCCGAGAACCCGCTTCCAGCCCCCAGGATCCCACAAAGCTACAGAGTCGACTCTCGAGGCTTCTCAAGCACCCCCTTTAGGCTGTCTACTCTATTTTGCCCACATTGAGACCAAGCTCCCTCATGGCAAGGAGAAGGGCCCGAACACCCTGAAGAATGCTTTGAGTCACATGCAGGCGTTCTGCTGTTGGGGAGGACTACTCCCTCAAAACAAACGTCCCAGGCAGATTGGCCACAGCGCCTGCCACCTCGCCGGTGCCCATAGGCACTTGAGAAGTTTTGTTTTTGTGTAGAGGCTTTGTCAGGCCCTACTTTGCGATCCAAACATCCAGCAAAGAAACTCTGAATTCTGCTATCCACTAAGACCTTCTGATCAACTCCACACATTGTGAAGTTTCCAGGAAAAGTCTGATTGAAAACGCATCCCCACTCGGTACTCACTTCGATTTATGTAGCGCTGGAGAACTTCACGCAGGAGGTACAGTACGCTGCTCTTTCAATTCCCCTTCCCCGCCTGCCTTGAACACCGCCATCCAGAAAAGCCAATTCGTGCAAAGTTGGGGTGGAAACTGAGCCGACTGAGCCCTCGAAGCCCTGGCGACTTTGTCCTGCAACTTGGCGAATCCTTTGGCCAAATGCCTGTCCGCTTCTCAAAACAGCACACCAATCCATGTCAGAAAGTATGAACACTCGAGATGTCCCTGCCGCATCCTGGCCGCATCAATCCACAGTTGGCACTTTTTGCCCCAGCCCTTTGCTTAACATCTATATACACGCTGGTACCTATGGGAGGGTGACTGGCGACGACTTTGCATCGGCGACGTCACCACAAGCACACACCCAGCTAAAGGAGCCTTGGATCTAACTGGCAGGGCTGAATAAGCCCTTAAGCTCGGCTACAGACTGAATGATGAAGTCGGGATGGGCTGTCTCCAGCTTCTCTCGAGGCTGCGTCCCGCTGAGCACAGACACCGTCCAGCTGCCGGCATTCTTGCCTTCCTCCACGTCCACCTTCGTATCGCCAACCTTTACTACCCTTTTCGGGCTCTCCACACCGCAGCTCTTCATGGCCGTGTGGATCATTATAGGGTCCGGGCGACCGGCCCCCAGCGCAGCAGAGGAGAAACAGCCATCCACAGACCAGCCAAGGTTTTTCACAATGCTTTCCACGACGTGCGCCGGGAAGCCAGATCCGACACAAACCTTGATGCCCCGCTGCTTCAGTTCTTCGAAACATGCAGAAGCTCCTTTGATCTCGCTGTTGATGCTGCAACTGAGCTTTTCGAGCTCGGATTCAAAGGTCTTGTATACCAAGTCGACCTCGCTTTGCGCAATGTCTTCAGCCTTCACACCTCTTGTCGAGCTCATCAGAAGCTTCAGGGCTTCCTTCTTTTCATAGCCGCGAACCTCGTTAGCTTTGGCAAAATCAACCTCGGTGCCATCATAAGCCTTCAAGGTTGCTCGGAATGCTGCTATCACCAAGGGCTCACCATCGACAAGGTCATCCACAGTGGTGCCTGCCATGTCAAAGACCACAAGCTCAATGTCGGGGGGCAAGCATGAGGCACGTGTTTCGGCCATCCTGGCAGAAGGAGAGCTTCGAACCAACTCTGGTATACGAATTCTGTCGACCTTCCCAGATGACCGGGGTCTAGCGGTGGTATGCTGTGTCATGCATCACATGCTACTGCTGCTTGAGCCTCGCAAACATGTGGACTGGGCTCTGAAGCGAAGCCAGAAACTCAACACAATCAAACACAGCTTATCCTGAGCTTAGGCAAGCTATTTCCGGGGATCGCACCCGCCAGTCCCGTACGGATTGCTGGGATTAAGCTCCTGCCGACATCAGCATTGCACCGGAAGACTGGGAAGAGACCCCAAAGCAGCTTTATCTCTCAGCCCAGTCCTCAGCATACTTACCCGTCAGGAAGTACGCGCTGATGGGTTCAATGTGACTGGCGCGGCCGCAAGCAACTATGCCACTCTGCAAGCATGTCGCACACCACACCCGCAGGCACATGTGCTCTTGTCTCCACCTCAGGCACTGAAGCCCAGCATTCATGAAGCAGGTGTTGCCCATGTTGACTAGGCCAACCAAGCCACCTACGGCCAAGCAGCACAAAGCTCACAAAATCTCACAGATGCACACATCGTGCCCGGCACCACGCTGCCTCGCCTCTGGATTTGGAGATGTGTGCCTGGTTTTTACCCAGCCTCGCGGCATGATTAGAGTCAAGCGACAAGGACAAGGATTCTCATGTTGGGCTGTTGAAGTGTGATTTGAGTGAGGGCCGAACGACCGCTTCCACTGCTCTGCAGGTGTCCACAACACCTTGGCATCAAAACGCATTGACAGACGTGCCAGAGTCCCAGTGAGGAGAGGCCAGCACCAGGTCCTGCGGCGAAGCGCCGCAAGTGAAAATCCTCGGAACCTGCCACGTTCGATGTCTTGCACAGGGCAAGAATGAGGCCCCCCCGAAGGAATCTCCCAATTGCACGTCTGCCTGCCAGGTTCCACTCCGGGAGCTGGAGCTTTGCCTCAAATTGTCGAACTGAAGATTGCCATTCCAAGCAAGACGCACCGGGCTGGGCCGCTGGCTGCTGACTAGTTTGAGGCCTCGGAGATCTAAACGAACTGCTTAAAACCGTGTTAACCACTAGGTTGAGCACGCTGAGCACAAGACACTTCGGCTGATGCGGCATGACCCATATGTTGAGGTCCTGGACAACCTGAGGCAATTCGAGGCATCACAGAATCGTTCGAACGGTCAGCGCGTGCGCGAGCACGCAGCCGAGGAGGGCACTTGGCGGGTGAGGCCCGAAGCAGTTGCTCTACTGTTGCTTCATTTTGATCACATACCCACTACCACGTCAAGTTCTGAGCCACATCCAAGCCGACAAGCACAACACGAAGAGCTTTCCATAACAGAGGTTAGCAGATCTTGGCAGCATCAAGTCAGTGTCAAAAGCTAGCTACGATGCGACACAATGCAGCAAAGGCATCCTTTTGAGCTAAGTATAGAACAGCAGGCCGCACACCAGTATGCTCGGGTGACACGGTCCTACTGTGTTTGGGCTAAGGGTCATGAGGGCTGCTGGAGCTGCAGCCTGTCAGCTTCTGTGAGGTAGGGTGAAGTATGGTACGGTCCGGGTACGGGAGCTTCTTTTGAGTCGAGTCTAAAGATACACTAACATTGCCTCTCAGGCGACAGAGACCTGCAAAGAAGCTGCTTGGCTGACCATGCTGACCACTGGTGCGCCCATGCGGGCACCTTCTCCCACGGTCGATGGCTAGGAAGTGCGATCGGCGCCACAGTTCCTTGAAAGAACAAGGCTGCAAGGCTGCTTCGAGGTTCGAGAAAGCGCTGCAGGGCCCGCCTGCACTCCCGGTTTCGGGCAAACTGATGGTCTCCGCACTTGCTGCATCTCCAGTCCCCCTCCCAGTAATCCTCACAGGCACTGGGCTGAAAAGCCTTCGGCTCCTGTATATCTGGCAATCAAAACCAAGGAAGTAAGCAGGGCTGCCTGTCCTGGTTTTTTACCGTCTTTCTTTCTTGCTGCAAGGAGTGGCCCTGCTGGTACAGAGACATCAGCGAAGCCATTTGCCGCCTTGGTAGATCTTGGCAGTGGGGCATCCGAACCCTGACATGCACCCAAACTGCCGCCGAATGGCTGGACCCAGAAATTCTGGTAAGCTGTCTCTGCTGCAGCGGCCTCACAAGTCGGCTCGCAGGCTGCGACTTGGACAGGACCGACAACAGCACATCCATGCACATCATGTAAAGGCGGAGTGATACAAACTCCTCAGCGCCTGCTCTGCAGCTCGTGCCTCTTCGGGCGATAGCGCCTAAACAGGCGAGTGGCCAAGGGCGAAACCACGCGAAGCTGCGAAACCCCCGCAAAACTGTCGAACCGCCAAAGGGCACAGGTTGCCGTAAGGCTGCCTCTGACGGCATCTGCAGTATAGGGCCCGTACAACAGGAACGCTCGCTGGCGCTGGCTGTGAGGGCTGCGCAGGAGACGGAGCTCCCTCCTCCTTCGGGCTCGGCAGCGCTCAAGTCCGGAAAGGCAAACTTTCGGTGGCTCAATGCTTCAAAAATGCTTCATGCTTGCAATGCCCCTAATGAAACCCTAAAGCCTAAACCCTAAACCCTCATGAGGAACGACTTAAGCTCTTAGAACTTTGCTCGGCCTCTGCCTCTGCCGACTCGGCGCTTTCTTTGGCTTCCTCCTTGGGCCCGAAGAGACCCGCAGCGTCTTTGCCGAGGAGCGAGGCCGCCTTAGTACATAAGAAACAAGAAGAAAACTTTCTGAAAAATGAACTCAGAGATTCCGACAAGTGGGGAATTCGATTGAGAAGATGTGGGTTTTATGTGTATATGCATTGTTGACCGCACTTCTTCTTGCGATATGGACACTATCCCCCTTCCGCATGCTCCACCGCAACATCTTGACTTGGGCAGGGGGGGGGGGGTTCTTCGTCACTTACACGATTGATGCTTTCACTGAAACACGGTGAAACTATTCTATACTTATCTGATCAGAATATAACTCGAGGCTCATCCACTTTTAACTAGATCTGTATATCCGTCAATACCTTTGCAACTTCCCGAGTTCAAAGTGCTGAAACCTAGGCTTCTGTTGCAGTGAAGGGCACGGAGCAAAACTACAGGCACACAGAGATGGTTGAGATCTTTACCAAGTTGTGTATCAAACGTAAGACTTCGTATTTGGGCTGCAGGTCAAGGTGCCAGTTACAACGAACAATGCCAAGTTCCTCGACTTTCGTGGCTACGACCAAACTCTGAACATGCAACTGTAAGCATATGCCGACATATGCGTATTGTTGAAGTTTGATATTTCTTCGCCTGCTTAACAGCTGATCTTGAAAGCAATCAAGATAACGGAGGAAAGGAGCTTTGAGGAGACTAGCTACAAGTACCAGTAGAAGCTTCTTCCGATCTTCATTAAACGCGGCAACTGTTCCGGAGTCCGAGGCTACAACAAAGACCGCGCCCGGCCAAACAACAAAAAACTACCAACACTTCTTTCCGGAGTCATTCCGGAGTTTCTGGGGCGTGTGGTCAAAGATGAACCATCGCTTTAAGCTCCAAGCTTTCACTGTGACTTTATTTGAAGTCATACTTTTGGACATTCAATTTCATGCAAGAGGCTTGACGAAGAACTTGGCTCGACACCAAACTACTCAGAAGGATTACTACTGATGTATTCCAATACAACACCCATCCTCAGCGCTTTGGAACTGATGGCGAATCCGATGTCAGGGTTGTTTATAGGTTCTTAGCAATAAGAACACGCATGGCTTGAAACAATAGGCTCATACGTCTCTGCCTTATGAAGATGCTGACATAGTTTCTAGAAAAATTCTGCCAGGAATACACATATCCGACTTGGAACCCGATAAGGCGAAACACACGGAACCTTCAGCCCTAATTCAGCCCTCTGTAAAAGGTAGAAATAATGAGCCGAGGCCCGTAATCCCAAGCTATTTACGCCCTTGAGTGAAGACATGTCATAACCTGGAGCTCAGATTGTCAGATGCTCCGCCACATACTGACAACGCGCTAAGTTGGCACGGCCTTACCTGCCTAATCCTTGACTTGCAGCTACGGATGATAAACTGACGTGACAAGCCCTGTGCAGATGGAACCAAGGAGACCTTGTGCTCCGAAGAACTTTCGACTTACACTGCACACCTGAACCCTCGCCTGTCCCAGAATCCCCAGAATTCCTAAAGCACAACCTGCACCAACCTAAATCTGAAAGCCCCGAATGATGCCTAATGGGAAACAACCTTACCATTCCCATCATGAGCAAGCTGAAGGACGCTGAAGGACCCCTCGCAGCCGCCATCTCCAGATTGCAACTGCTGCCCTTTGCTCCCTTCGTTTCCGAACATGTGACCGTACGAAGCTTCAAGGTTTCTAGGTTTGCCGTCCGGAATTTCAGAATTCCGGAGTTCCGTAATTCCACTGCCAGCTTTGCTCACCCAATGTCTATCCAACCCGCCATACATGCGCGCATCATATTCTATCGTGCACGCAATGCACGCGCCCACACCTTCTGTAACTCTGCCTGAGGCGCGGTCCAGATTGGCCAAGGAGGATTGAACATTGCTGCGTTTGCCTCTGCAAGCAATCGGTATGTCAAGGTGTGAAGGTGTGGACGAGCCTTTCAGAACATGCTCTCGTACGTCCGTTCGACAATAGCCAAGCCACTTTCGAGTTCTGGGGACAGGGTGAAAGCCTTGGCGGCCTCTTGACCTGGGCTCAAAGGCTTCAAAACCTGGGGAAGTGCTTCACACGCATGTCAGCGAGTGTCCTCACATTGAGAGCAGCGCTTGGTGATGGAGATGGGGTGGATTGGGTAGGCGCCGGTGGGGGTGGTGCTGGAGCAGACCCTGATCGTTCGAAAAAGTCGTGATTCCAAGTCCAAGTCTGCCTTTAGAGAGTGGGGTGCCTGGAGCCATCGCAGGCGAAGCTCCTCAAGTAGAGGGCATGTTTTCAAGGCAGATGGCATGAGGCAATGAGGCATCTCAGGGTGGCTACCACGGCCCTTAACTCCAAGCGCCCCTCCCCCCCCCGCCTGGAGCTGACAAGGATGGCACCGGTAGGCACGGCAGGGGGGGCAAACCTTGCAATCAAGAGCTTCCCCGCGCGTGCGGGCTTTTTTGCTTCTTTGCTCTGAGCCCTTTGTCTGCCCCCCATTGTGGTTGTTTTGTTCTGTGCTCTTAGGGTTGAGGGTACTGGTTTGTCCGCAGCATATGTGGAACTGCGGCACTCCAGCAAAGGCAGGGGCTCCTTCACAACGCTGAGGCAGTTGTCATGGGCCAATGAGGGCGCCCGCTTCTCGTGTGCCGGAACTGGCAGCGAGAGGCCGAGCGCCCCCCCCAAAAAATCGCGCGCCTGCGCCCCAACCCAACAACACGCCGGCGCCCCAAAAATATCCTGACAAAAACTTCCACAAGCCTCCTCAGATCTCCACCTTCCCCACCTCCCTTCTGCCTTCGAAAACGCTGGTTTCCCGAAACTTGCAAATCGTCCTGGCAAAACCAAAGAGCTTCTCAAGCATCGTCTGATGCTCATGCCAAAGCAAGACGAGTAGTTGACTAATTTGCTTTCATGACCAATCTCAAGCATGCATTCCACACGCGCAAAGAGGAACTGGTTCCCCCGCTCAGTTGAGCGCTCAGTTTGCCCGCAAGCGTGCAGGCATGACTGCGCGCGTGCGTGCAAGCGGGCAAGCACATACTATAGCAAAAACGAGACACTATGCACACAAGCAACATCAAACCCAGATCACGAATTTCCTGTGAACTGTTCAATTTCCCAGGCCCACTCCAACAGCCTGGTAAAGGTGGGGGAGGCTTCGTCTTTGCGACACTGGCAAGGCCTGCAGCCACAAGCTGCACGTGCTACACTCCTCCTAATTAGCATCTCCAAAGGCACAAACGGAGAAACACTCGCAAGATTCGGAGTGCTCGGAAGGAGTTCTAACGCTCTCTCTCTCTCTCTCTCGCTCTCTCCCTCTCTCAGCGCCTGAAGCTGGCGGTGGTGGCTTTGCACCGCCAAGGGGTGGTAACGGTGGCGGCGGCGATGGCGCTGCGGGGGGAAAGGCATGGGCCTCAGATCTCGACAAGACGACAAACATCGTCGATTGATCTCTTCGTGTTGTCTTCAGGCTCTTCTCACCCTCTTCATCCTCTTCTCATCCCAATCTCATCCTGCAGGCACTTGCTGCGGGGCCACGGGCGCTGTGGGCGCCGGAGGCGGGACAAGACCACTCGTTGCCGGTGGCACCTGGACTCAGAGTCCGAGAGAAGCGTATTTGTGAGAACCCAGAGATCAGCCTCTCAAATTTGAAATCTCAGCTGGTCACCCTCGAAAATGGGGTGCTTGTCTGCGGAGCCAGCAAGGGAGCCGGCAGTGGGGGTGGAGCAGGAAGCTGTGGGGAGGGCAGCTGCTCAGGCACAGCCTGTACACAGAGCAGCTGAAGTGCCTACAAAACCATCAGCAAACCGAATTCATCCCGCCTTCCCTGGTGGTGGAGCCGGTGGACCGGGTGGACCCGGTGGACCGCCCGGCGGACCCGGTGGACCACCCAGCGGACCCGGCGGACCGCCCGGCGGGCCCGGTGGGCCAGGTGGGCTCAGCGGGCCCGATGAGCCAGGCAGGCCCAGTGGGCCCGGCGCACCCGGTGGGCCCGGCGGAAAAGGCAGCGGCGATGCCAAGTTCGGAGCACCAGGAAGCGAGCCAGGTACCTCCTCTCCAGGCTGCGGCCGTGCCTGAGTGTCTGACTAGTACGCCGTGAAATGGGGCCTGAGCAGACTGAGGCTCCTGCTCTTCTCCAATCAGAGAGCACCGGCTTCCTTAGATCGTGCTTTAGTCTTTGGGACGCTTTCGCACTTTCGCACTTTCGCTCAAGCTCCCGTGGTTTCCCTCTCGAACTAGGAATCGGTCGGGATTGCCTTCGCCGTAGCATTTGTGAGTGCCTGCACAGCTTCAATCTGAGCATGGACTGCGCTCTGCAGTGCTCAGTGCGGACATCAACATGCGGCGGCGTGTTGATTCCAAAGCCATCGTCGAAACCCCTTCCCAGAGAACTGCCCTATCTGCCCTGTGCCTTTTGCATCCTGGCGCTTTGCATCAGCTCCCCTGTCGCTGGGTCAATTGGGCAACAGCAGCCGCTGAGCATTACTCAACGCAGGCAGGTTTACTGGTCATTCCCGGTCCTTCGGCTAGTGCCGTCAGGGCATCGTACTCACCCTCATCTCGATCCTCACGTGTCTACGAGTCTACACCAAGCTACCTTTCAGTTGCACGGAAGGTCAGAACAGCAGCAAAGCAGAGGAAGCAAGACGGAGGAAACCTTATGACTGAGTCACCAACTTTAACTTGAGCCAGTTGCGGCGCTTTGGGCTCGGGAGCGATCTTCGCCACCTGACATGCGAAACGATGTACATGCCACTCCCATCAGCTGATGTGGCTTTTGTGAGGAAGCAGAAGACCAGGCAACAGGAAACAGGCCAGCTGTCGCCATGGTTTGTTGGGCTGCTACCCTCGGGCTTGCCACCGGTCAGCACTCCAAACACAGACTACTGGTGTCAGGATTCAGCAGAGTGGCTGCGATTGCGTTGGGAACGGCTGCATGCCGGGTGTGTGGGGCACCCAGGTGGTGTTGAAAGGATCAACCTGTCGTATCCTGCAGCGACGTGGAGCAGACTCACCATGAATCCACACAAGATGCCACGATGCCACACCTCCCGAGCAGCATCGCCGTGGGATCACGGGCGCTACCCAGGCCACCACGCATAAGGACCTCGCAAGATAGCCAGCCGAGCTCACTGCATCTCACTACCTCCTCTAGCGATAGATAATCTAGCTGCCTCTACCTCCTCGCTACCTGAGCTCTCAGACACGGACGTTTGTCTGAGCCTCTTTGGGCAGTGCTCGTAATCGAGCCGCAGCATGTGCCTGGCTTCGTGAATGCATGAATTTTCTTATTGTACGGTCTCCAGGCTGTTCAAAAAAAACAAGCTGAGAAACACCTGGATCTGAGGGTACCTGGGTAACACAACAGCATTGTCAGGACCCGAGCGCACACGTGACAAACCAGTTTGTCTAGTGCATCCCAATAGCTGAGACAAGAAAGTCTCCACCTCAGGATTAGGTGGCTGCTGGTTCTTCGTCTGTTCCAGATGCAGAGCTACGGCCTCTCGAGACACCAGCTGCAAACGAAACGGAGCGAAGCAGCAAACAACTGAGTCAACATGCACGCTGCACCCTTGGAAGCCTGTGCAACCGACTTGTTCTGATTGTACTGCCTGGAGCACGCATCCAGAGGGGGGCCCAGAGGGCCATGCGCCAACAGAAGAAAAGGTACACAAATAGGTAGACATAGCTGACATATACGAATCTCTCGCCCAGCCTTGCAAGCGCCTGCACTCGCTCCAGATCTTCCGGCATGACTTTGACATCAAAGCCACTGCCACCACCACCTCCACCACCTCCACCACCTGGGGACTATCCACAACAGAATGCGGGGCAACTTTCGGAGGCTCCCTTCTGCCGCTTCTGCCTGACTTCTTCTTGGGACTCCTGTACACCGCCCAAGCCACGGCAGCACTCGTTAGCTCGTCAGCTGCTCCTGCTCTTTGAAGCTGGCGTGGCACTCCGTCTTCGCCTTGTCCTTTCCCTTTCCACCCGTTCAACGGGGCGCCTGCATTTCGAAGAAAAAACAGCCGCAATCCGACAAGTTCGAGCCACAGAAACAAAAAGAAACTCCTGTGTTCAACTTCCGACAATGTGCAGCTTCCTTCAGACATCCTATGACTGTTTGGAAGGTCCTTCGGGATCGGGAGTTGGATCTCCGCCGTATTCTTTCTCTATCTCTGGACCGTGACCGCAATCGTAGCGACATGAGACCTGAAAATCGTGCGGAAAGGCCACTCCAAGCTTCTCAATCCGCACTCGAGCCACCCAAGCGAAAATAGCGAAATCTTCAGCGATGATAGTACAGTCTCGGCACCACACGCTACGAAGTGCGGGGGCCGGCCACGAGGGCAGAGCTTGTGTTTATAATTTCAGGTGAAGGCAGCAGGATGCAGGACTTCGAAGGCACTACACTCACTACACTGCGAAGGTCTGTGCGGCCTGACTACCATGACTGACGCTGCTGCTTACCTTCCGGGATCTGCACTATGTATGCTGGCCACGTACTGCTGTCATGCCACAACATATTGATCTTGCAAAGACAGCGGAGATGACGGAAACTCAGAATCCGAAGCTGGCCGAAAGCAAGCACATGCACAAAACCATCGACATCTCAGAGAAACATCGGAAATTCAGAGGTCTGTTCTTCTTAAACCTGGCTGCCTTCACTTCCCTCGCATTGGCCCACGGCAGTGAAGAGGTAATGTGAAAAACAAGTCAACTTCTCCACTAGAAGCATCTTCGCCGCGGTCGCACGCGTGCGACTGCACTACATTCTGGGGGCTCTGTGCATGTGGTGCTGGAGCTCTCCGACCTTCGGTGTGCAGCTGACAATACTAGTTCATAGCATTGCTGCAGTATGGGCTGGAGTAGAGGAGCAAGCAGCTGTTATTAGCTCGACTGTTTGCCTACAGCGTCTGCGATGGCCTTCAGAACAGGCTCGGTCTTTTCCAGCGCGTCAACTCAATCAAGGAGCGTATGGCGCAAGGAGTGAGTGCGTGTGTGTGTGTGTGTGTGTGTGTGTGCGCGCACTGGGCTTCCAGCATTGCAGTAGACAACTCGCAACAACACAGATCACAGCTGACCGAACCTGAACCCATCATCGGGCATGGCTCCAGTACAGAGGCATTGAGTTCAGGCAGGTATCGGGCGTGTCGGTTCCGACAAAGCAGCCAGCAATGCCAGTCCACCCTGAAGGTTCTGTCACAACAACGTTGCCTTCTTGTCCTGGCCTGCGTTACAGGCGCCTCAGGACGGCAAGCCGGCCCAGAATTCGAGTCACGATCGTCGGCAGAACTCGTAGTGCACTACGACTCGCATCCGTCACAAAACGTTCAGAGATTGTAAGGAACGCTGCCCATACTTTCGTTGCTCGATACAACACGACAAGACCTAGCGTAACTCGAGCACTCTTTGCAACGACAGCGGCGATGGCTGCAGCTGCACCCCGCACACTTGCAATGACCTGGTTGTCTTTGTTCCCAGCTTCATCATGATCCAGCTTGCTGGACTTGTTCGTCGCAGCATATCCCTTGAACTCCTGCCTGGAGTTTCTGGCCTCGCTCCAGGATCTGTTCCAGTCAACTCTCCCACGCCATTTCCTCCTACCGCTCCAATCATCTATCAGAGGCTTTGGAGCCTTCGGCATCGAACTTGGCAAACTCTTCTCGTGCCGCCAAGGTTGCCACATCGGCTTCGACGAGACCTGGCTTGAGCTGGCACCTGCCTCCCACGAGCGCCGTAGGTGGGCAAACTCTCGAAAGTCGGTTGGAACCGCGTCCTGCGAGCGTATGGCCGAACAGACTGCTTGAACTGCAGGCGGCAGTTTGAGAAAAAGGTATTCGGGTAAACAGCATCGCCGATCTTTCAGAGGGATGCTGCAGTGGTGCCATTGGCATGCCCGGCACCAGCCTTCACTTGCATGCTGACCGGAGATGAAAGACGCGTACTTGGCAGAGAACGCCTCCACACTTGGCAAGAAGCGTGTCTCTGCACTTAGATTTGGAGTACCACCATGCCACAACCTCAGGTCTCGAATGATTGCGGCACCAGCCGGCAGCGGAAAAAGCTTGGACTGCTTGTATCGTTCAGGTTCATCTGCGAACTTGGGAGGAATGTCTTGCTGCCCACTGATGACCTTCTTGCCTGGTATGACTCTCATGGGCCCATTCTCTGCGCCTATTTCTTGCACAGTGAAGTTCACTGCGATCTTGGGGGGTGCATTTTCCAAACGATGCTCGGAAGGAACTCGGCCAGGCCCTAAATCAGAGTGCAGGGCTTGATAGTTCAGGGTCTCTCCCAGGACGAAGTCACCACCGCCGCCACAAAAGCAGAATCCGTCGGGAAAGATCGCGTGCAGCGCATGCAGCACAGCCTCACAGGACAGCAGCTGTGACCATGCTTCATAATGAAGCATGTGGCCAGACTGGCTGGCAGCCCCAAAGCTGTACCGACCAGGGTCGCGGCACCCGATCCTCTCAGGATCCAGCTCCAACATCTTTCGCTCCGCGTCGAGGCAGCTCTCCAGCACGTCAGATGCTGTTGATTCACTGAGGGCGTTGAGAATCACGCAGAAACCGGCATCCCGAAAGATCCCCGCCGCCTTCTGCTGCCATTCATCTGCCCCCGCGGTTACAGCAAAATCGGAGACATTGAGGGAGCTCATCTCAAGGAGCACACATCTCCCCAATCGAAGACTTGAGCCGGATCTGATTCAAGTTGATTCAACCACTTGTTCCTCGCATGCCCTAATTCGTACACCCGTGGAGGGGCCATTGCACGCTACAGTACCTGTGGAAGCATGGAAGCTCTTCTCTTGGTCCTTCATCGGTCCAATGCGGTGGGAAAAGCGGTGAAATCTCGGCCCGAAGGACCCGCGCCAACCTATTCTTGTTCTTGAAGGTGAAACGAGAGGGGCTTAGCGGCTCGGCTTGAAGAGCTTGCAGGGCTTGCGATGGCATGCTGTGGGATTTCCTATAGTTTGCGTAGCTTGCTAGCGGATAGGGGGACTAGCAAACGATGTCCAAACCTGGCCAACTAGCCAACAGCAACTTTCAACTCACGAAAGCTTTGAACGGATCTTCCATGCCACTCTCCTGCCATGGCATCACAACTTTCGGTGGGGAGAGTCACAACTCTTCCTTCGCTGCCTTAAAAGCCTCCGAGGGGCGACCATGCCTGCAACGAGCAAACCATGTATAAACTTTTCCATGTCTCTCTCCAATCGCAATCACCACGCCTCAACCAGAAGTTGGCGCATTGAATGTGCCAGTGACCGCCTCTCCATGGCGCCGACACCTCTGCAGAGTGGTTCTGCGATGTGAGATGCAAGGAAGAGATTGGAGGTCTGAAGCCGCGGCGGCCCCAGCATCGCGGCTCTGGACCTCTGCCTCAAACCCCACACATGCCGAAGCCACACGAAGCTACGGCCAGCTCTGCTTCCAGCTCCAGGCCTCCAAAGCCAAGGGCACGGCCGGCAGGAGGCAGAGCCTGGACACCATCGCATGCTGGGTGCCAGTAGACAGTATTCCAGCATGATGCCATGGACAAGTATCCCTACCTGCACAGTGGAGCCGTGAGCAAATCCGCGTAGCTGTCGGTGCATCCACCAGCCTACGCCAGGCAGGGCTGTGGTCTTTAGGACTGGCATTGAGCTCGATCGTGCGAACATGCTTTTCCGTGCCTCAAAGCACGTGGCTTCATGCCAAGGCTCGAGATTGAGCCTCAAGCCTGGTCGAGCGATGCGCTGGCGCTTCGGAGGCTTCGCAGGCTGCGCAGGCTTCGCAGGCTTCGCAGGAAGCTTCGAAATTCTTCGAGAGAGGACGGGACCCAGCACATCAGACTCGAGCTTCGCCCAAGACGCCTGGCGGAACACGGGGCCTTGTGCCCGGAATGCCCGGACCTTCAAAACACATCCGGACACATCCACCTTGGCTGCGGCCAGGCTGGAAGCCATGGAGGCTTGCAGATCCTTCCAGCAAGTGCAGGCTTTGAAATGCTTTGACATTACAAGAGCATCAGAAAATAAATGTGATCTCCTGCAGTGCCTTGGTGTCTGGGTTATCCGCTTGCCCTTGCATGTTCATTCATCTAATCTAGTCTGGCGCAGAAGAGGAAGATCAAGACTTTGAAGATGTTTGAAGATGTTTGAGGAGCGTCGAGGCCTGCGCCGTCTGACATGAACAGCTCCGCTGCAAGACCCAATCGCCACAGCAATCGCCGAAGAGCCGACAGCCTCACATCATATGCGAACCTAATACTGGATTCAAAGCACCAACCACGGAGCTCGACAGCACAGCATCAAGCGTTGGACCCCAGAAGAAGGTGATGCAGCTCATCACTTTCTTGAGCGCACTCACGCTCCTGGCCAATAGGAGTGCAACTTAATGGCCACTTTAAGGCCGTCATGCCCTGGCCAGCTGTGCAATCCCGCATCGCCTCCTCGGACCATGCGGGATCCGTCATCTGCGACATCCTAGACATCGCGAGGCGGACCGGGTAAACACCACAGCAGACTACGCTCGCGCTCGGGATGTGGCTGCGCGGAGCACTCCACCAGAAGATCGCACAGTGCTTGAATGCACACTAGTATTGCCTGACCGGGAGCGAGTCGCCTCTTTGCAATCATTGCAACGCTCCGAGCTAGCCTGTAAAAAGACGAGGACGTTCTGTGATGTCACCGCCTCAATCGCTCGGCACATCTGCCTCCATCAAGGTTAACTGGCATGCAGGTCACTTTCATCTACCGTGGCCGTGGTCACCCCATTTGCAGGGCACGTCGCCCGCAGCATCCATCGGAGGCGCATGAAGTGAGTCTTCCGTAGAATTCGCCTCTCGGCCCTCGGCCATGTCATGAGGTGAGAAGCCCCCTTCCTCCGCTGCATCCCCGCCCCCAAAAGCCCTAAATGTTGCCCTGCCCTTCCATGCAAGTGAGTGTTCGACCCAATCTCTCTTTTTGTTGGGTGTCGGCCCGCTCCCCCTCCCCAGCTCCTGGGTCGTGCTGCGTTGACTATGGTTTGGTTGGGGGAAGCTTATTGAGAACGAGAGGTCTCGCATTCGACCTCATCCTGATAGTCGTTGCACGACATTGCCTTAGAACCGTTGAGCTACCCATGGCTTAGCCGCTCTGGATCGGCTACTGGGGCGGAGGTTCCGCTGCAACCTCTCCAACCCCTTCTCCCCACCCCCTGGACCCGCACCGGGGAGGGCGTCGCGCAGCGTCAAAATGAAAAAGCCGGAAGAGCAAGATAGACCAAATGGATGCGAGCAGTGTCTCAAGAGCTAACAGGCAACCGCTCTCCAAAGCACCGCAAGCCTTGCACGGCGCTGCTGCCGGACGAGGCTCGGCCTGGACAGACATCAGAATGCCCAGAAGAACTAGGAATCTGGCATGACCTGTGCTCCGTGTGATAGGCGCGCTGCAGGACAGATAGGCAGTTTGCATGCGGATCAGGGCAAGCACGCCTCCAGACTCGGAACAAACTCGCAAAGACTTGGAAAGACTAACGGTCGCGGTTAAGACCGTGCCTGAAGTTGTTGATGGCGACTCCCAATGCTGCACTGCTGACTGGATCGCCCATCCATTGGCACCTCTGCATGGCCACGCGAGAAACCTACGAAACCGACACCGTGTGGGAAAAAATCATGGAACTTGGCAGGAGCGACCCGGCCTCTCCTGCAGCTGCTCTGCAGCTCGCTCCAGGCCTGGAAGGTGCGTGTTATCGGCAAAAGAAAAGGCGGTAGCATGGCCAGGTAGATCAACGCTGCAGAGCGAAGCGCGTCACAGTAAGGGGCAGGCTTCTGTCGCTCTCACCCCTTTCGGCTAGATGCTTCCAAGCCTGGCCAAGAAGTGCTTGACGCAGTTTAAACCCTGAACCGTTGGGGACATCTCCCACGCTTCAATGCCTGATCACTTGAGCCCGGCCGATTTCCAGTCTCCGATCGCAGATTTTTCCGATGATTATGGCAAACCCCCGGTCGTTCTTTGGATGTAGACCTAGTCTGCTTGCGCTCAACTGGCAACAGGATCACACAAAGTTAGCCTTACCATACAGGTGGCCCGTAATCAAGCTGCAGCGTTGTGCGGCGCATCTACCACATGCGGGTGCCATCTTTTGCAGATCCTGTCACATCTTGCCACATGTAGACAAGAGGAGCACCATGCAGACTTGCTACCTGGCAACAGAGTGCTGGCACGCTCGACCAGCTTTGCTGGTCACGCAGACCCTCCCACCTAGGCTCCTACAGGCACAGGCTTAAACACTTCGGTGCCCATGTCTCAACCGTCTCAACCCTGGTCCATCCCTCCAAAGCAGCCACATCCCATCCCGCGATACTTCTCAGCAGTGCAGACGTCTTCGTGCCATGCTCAGCTCTGGAGATCTCCGCACAGCAGCTTCATGAAAGCCTCCTGAGAAGCTTAGTGGCTGACTGCGCATGTCACACAAAGAGGAGATGACAGATCAGACAAACTTCGGAAGCAAAAGCAAACCGATGGGTGCTAAGGTAGGGTTGAGAGTAGTTGCTGAGTAGTTGCTGCGTAGTTTGAGGGTATGAAAAACTCCATGTGTTGCCCTGTCGCCCTCACACGCTCAATGCGCTTGCCCCGCAAGCCCAAACATGAAAAAGCAATCACCCAGGCATGTCCTTGTTCTGATGCGTGGATGTCGTAGGACGGCCGAGGTCAGCGCGAGCTCCGGGCCTCAGTTTCAGCTTCTTTCATCTTTCCTCCTGCCCGCGCTTAGGACCTGAGGACTTAGGACCATGAGCGTCTGACAGAGCCTGAATCTCCAAGAAAGCAGGTCCACTGCTTGCCTGTCTGGGGGGTCAACGTCAAGGATGGGTGCACAAAGCATGAATGACTTCTCCTGCTCAGTACCACTGGCATCGCAGGCCTTCAGTGTCATCAAGGCTTCCCGCACCTCCGCCGTGCTGCGAGCTCTGAGCGCCTGAGCCAGAGCGGCGAAACTGGTTGAGCATTCAGAAATGGTCAGAGTACTCGTAACTCTTAGTAGCATCTCAAAGCACCTCCTTGTAACCACATGCCCTCGCAATGCTTGGAAAATCGATGCTGACCGATCCTGTGCACAATCTGTTCATCTGACGGAATGCTGTGTAATGGTACATGAAGGTACATGAGCTGCAGCATGCACATAATGCACCTGTAGGCTGGCCGCCAACTGAATCGTGCACCGCATTATTGATGAGCACGTGCTTGAAGTTGCCAAGGCCTCACCGCTCGCTGTGGCCTCTCTCAACTAAAAATCTGGAGACTGAATGGGCAAAGCCAAGGCAGCTGCCGCACTTGCCAACTGTGGCAAAGCAGCCCATGTGCATCAAGGCCTCGTTCACTCGAGTCTATTGACATTGGCTTGATCAGCCAAAAAGGGTCCGTGTTTGGGCATGAAGAGCAATGAGGTGCAACACGAAGTGCATGTGGAAGTGCCGAGTGCCACACGGCGCCGTCGCCATCGATGCAGAGCACCTCCTGCTGCGGTCGGGCAAGCGCCACGCCTCAGCGACTGCCGAGTCACATCAGCTCCATTCACGTCTCTGAAGGTACGCCACCAAACAAAGGGGGCTGGGAAAACTATCTCTGAGGCCATGGCCCAATGCGATGGATGAGCAGTGCCCCATGCTGCCTACCTGGAAGGAGAAAGGTGGCGCAACGAGGCACAGTAAGGTGAAAGAGAAGACCTTGAAAGAACCCCGGGAATACTGGGAAGACTGGGAAAACTGCAGTGAGAAAGTCGTGGCCATGAGATTGGCCTTGCGGCGAGGTCCGGTCTTCAAGTCTTCAAGGGCCGTTAGCACCAGTTCTGATACTCTATGACAGTTTTGCTGCAATGGCCTTTCTGCACCCGCAGCTCAAACATCTCGCGCGAAGTAAACCCGGTAGTTGTCACCTGCAGCTACCGCCATGGCAAACGCCATCGCAAACTCGCAACAGCATGCCCCTGTCCAGGCTAAGACCCAGGACCATAGGAGACGACGGGAAGATCTGAATGATCTCCTGATGCTGTTAAATGACCGAAGACGGGACGCCTCCAAGCTACACATTGATACTTGCATGTTTGCAGCACTGGGTTTGCAAGTGGCAGTCGAATTGACCCCTAGCTGATCCACTCCATCGCCAATCGCACGGCGATAAGCTAGTTCGAATTTTTGCCAAACCCCTGATTCCACATATTGCAAGCTTGGGCCTGCGGTTCCCAACCTTACGTCTGGTCGATCTCAGCGACACATACGTATCCGACCCCCACTGCATCATGCGCGCTACAGCTTCAAGATTGCCAACTCGATTCATGGGCAGCAGTGGATTGCAGGAAAGCCGCGCGGACTTGTTATTCGCCTGTTTACTTTGGGTGCCATGACTAGGAGCCGAGGGGTACATATGGGTACATGGCAGCCCTGGACTGACAGTTGAGCGTGGTCTCCTCCAGGATTTCCTCGGGACAATCTTCAGTTCTCAGCAGCTTCTTTCACAAAATTTCTGAGGGCGGAGCCTCTCTATGCAGCATGTCGCCACCACCGAACACCGAAATGGACGTGGCGAGTCTGGCAGAGTCCGAACATGCTGTACCACGGCAACATGCTGCTGGTAAGCAGTTCCCACACATGAGAAGCACAGGCCTGTAGCTCTCAAAGGTCTCTTTCTTTACCAGAAGCGCGAAAGGCTCCATCCTTCAACAGCAAGAAATAACCTATACGAGAAGACATATGAAGACACCAAGAAGACACATGCGGAGAACCATGTGCAGGTGCCCTCTGAGCTCGGCACTCTTTCTGCATGTGGGCCTGGGCCAGGCTCAGCTATTGTGTGTGCCAAAAGAAGGCAAACTCTTTTGGGGTGAATTGAAACTACGACTCCTGTGGCCACCACATATGCCTTGGTGATGACCTCAAAGGCCCCTGTGGAAGGAATTTGTGCGTTCTCTGAGTTACACATCCAGCTTTCCCCTCCTTCAGCATAGTCCGGCAGGATCTCAAAGGGAACTCCCATATTCTCCAGCATGGTGGGAGTAAGGGCCTCAGTTTGCACATGTTGCACCTTTCAGCAGAGATTTCAGCCCAAGCCTTCTGAGGCCCCAACACCCTGCAGAAGATGCTGCGGCTCGTCTTTCTTGCCTTGCAACACTCTTACGATTCTTACGAGTCCTCAGCTTCGGCCGGCAGAGAAACTTTGAACAGATGAACGGCTCTCATGAAACGCTCTTGGCCTGGCTCGCCACGCCAGCCGATGAGAAGCAGCGCTGGAATGGCGTAGACCTGCACTCATCTTAACGCAGGTGCACCCTCTTTCAAGGGGTCTCCGAGCCTTCTTGCTGCATAGCGAGAGCAACGGATTGATGGTGTTCCCGAGGCCGGAGTTCTGGAGATAGACACATGCCTGCAAAAGAGTGCCGCGGCGAAAGAAAGCAGAGCCATGCAGAGCCCCCAAGCGCCACACAATGTTTCCAGTGGCCAAGTAATGGCCAGCCGCCAATGCCAGGGCAGTGCCTTCATTAGCGGCAATGACCTGCACGAAGTGCAGCTTAGTGCAGATGGCGCCAGGGCCCTTGAAAAAGTTGAGGCAAGATCGCTGGGGCCGCTGCATGCTGACTTGCAGGAACATTGTCCGTGATGAAGGCACAAACATCCTGTTGACAAAGCATGAATATCATGAATGCACTCAACGCTCCTTCAGGTAGCCGGCAGCCTTGAGCAGCGAGTCCGGCACCCCCGCAAAGAAGGAAGTGCCGTGGGCCTGAGATTTTCGAAAAGAAAGGGAGACCAATCGTGTCTCGGAGTCGGGCCGAGCCCACGGCACGCAACAGCATGAAGAAGTGAGCTGGATTTAAATACGTCCGCTCCTGGTGTGAAGCTAAGCCAGCTTGCAGAGCAAAGTGCAAACTCAGCGCCAGAGTCTGGACACTTCCACTGGTCTCAGTTCTGAGCTGTCTCGGTCATTGGCCGATAGATTCGCGGATCTGCCTGACAGCAAACAAAGGACGTGAACCCTTGCCTCTCGGAGTGGAATGGAGATGAAGTTACATGCCTGTCGGCTGTCGCCCGGCACCAACTCCACTTCAGACAAGGAGGAAGTGCCACGAACCTTGAAAGAGCTTCGGGGGACTTCATATGAGGAAGGAATCGGACGGGTAAGGAAATTTCCACATAGAGATCTTGAAGTTATCCAGGACGCTCTCACTTGCCGCAACATAACCAACTACGAAGGGTTGCGGGTTTTTAGTTCTTAGGGTTTATGGGTTTTAGGGTTTAGGGCTTTTAGGGTTAGGGTGTTCCCTAAACCCTACACTAGGCCCCTAAACCCCTAATCCTCCCGTGAACTTCTTTTTGAAGCTACCTCTCGGTGATAGCCACGTGAGGCTTGAGACGCTGACAAAATGCCTGTTTCGTGGAGCCTTCCCGCAGGGCACAGTGATAAACAGAACTGCCATTTGAAACGTAACCTCAAGAAATGGGCTTTGGATGAGGGGGTCTGTATTGTTGTCGGAACGATACCCGAACGATACCGCGAACGATACGGACCTGTCTTGGCAAGGCCAAGGCCAACATGTACTCGAACCTATGAGTGCGATGACGCCCTCGCAGGTGCACCTTGGCGTTTCGATGCGTTTTCGTGCATCAAATACAGCATATAAAACGGTTTCACATGCTCCTTGCTAGCGTGCCCTCGCGTTTCGTGTTCCAAACGAAGCTTACAGAACTATAGCCTGGCAAGCACTATGGGAATTTTGCTGATTCCGCAGGGCACACAGCGATTGGGCTATCTTCTGGGCTTGCAGGCTAATAAACCACGTCGACCCAGGAGCTGGAATGGGCGCTTCCTATCGCTGCAGGAGACGCAGCAGCAGTCCAGAGCGCCTAAAGCTTTTCAGAACGGTTGGCTCTGAGAGCATTTGAGCCGCAGAAACCAGCTGTGGAATCCTGAGTTTTCTTTGTGGGATGCTCTTACGTGGGTTTGCGTGTTCCTTCAACGTTCCCTTGGTTCTTGGCACCCACATAAAGATCCTGCCAGATCTTGTCAGCTCGTGTTTTGATTACAACATAAAGATTCACGATGCCCCAAAATTAGCCCGACACAGTAACAAGAGATGCCTTGCTCGCATGTAGATGAGATAGCTCCTTCCTAGAAAGCCTGGATGATGGTGGGCGGCGCAGAAACCCGGCAACACGATCTTTATGTTTATGTGGCCTGCTATTCATAGCGACACCCCAATGCCGGCACGGATTCTTCCTGTCCAGTCATTGTACGTACGACCGATCTTTCGCGAAGGAAGATGCTGTCATTGCCGCTACTGGTATGATGTGCCAATCTGTGGCATATGCTGAAGAAACATGTCACATCACATAAATATATATATATATATATTCTTTTTTGTAGCTGCATCCATGTTCCTGCTTAGTGCCAAGCATATCTCGCCGAGCTCTGCAGCCTGATGAGATTTGGAAGAGCTGTCCTTATGCACCGCAGGCATGCAACAGGCATAGGAGTCTCCAGCAAGTTGCGACGAGCTTCCGCCCTCTACGGGTGGACACGGTGGATGCCAGAGAAGGAACCTTCGCCCAGCAGAGCTGAACTCAGAGAATCGTTATAGACGTGTATCCACTGACACTGCGCACCTCTCGACACAGTCTGCGCAGGTAAAACTTCCATGCGGTTGACCTGAGTGGTCCGGTAAGGAAGAGTGGAAGAGATGACCCCCAAGAAAAGAATCATGTGCTCTGTAAGGTGGGCACATGAAGAGGAGGGAGTCTCAATAAAGAGAATCACGCGCGTGCAAACTGAATTAGTTTCTTGTCTACTCAGAGTTTACTTAGCGTCTCTTCGGGGGGGGCTCGGTCTTTGTCTGAGTCTCTCTCTCTCTCTCTCTCTCTGCTCAGCGGTGTCTTCTGGGAGTTTATTCGTGCTGTGATCCTGCGCTCTCTATGTTGCTCTCTTGCTCTGTGCAACTGAGAATGTACTGTTCTCTGCCTGACAGAGTTCCCTACTACTGCAGCAGGCAAGACATGCCAGACTAGCAAATCAGATCTCAGGAACTTGGGCAGAGTACGCGGAGCAGTAAACCTCACACGATCCTTGTTCTGGCCAAGAGGTGTCTGAGGTGTCGCAAAGAGGCGTCCTCTGAGCGGAAGCCAAAGTCTCAGCGGAGGAGTTCTCCAGCCAAGGCACATGTGCACAAAGTTCATGCACAGGGCCACGAGGCCATTAACATTCATTAGCGAGACGTCTGCTCACGTCATCATTCTTCCCAACTACCTCTGCATGTCGGATGTTTTCAACTTGAGAGCGGTGCGGTGATTTGAATCTCCCGCCTTGCCAGGTTCATGAGGATCTCGTCTGCTTTCAGCGCGAGGGACTGTCAATTCAAGTGGCAAGGGCTGAAACCGACATGGCGCTCATCGTTTCACCAGTCAGCCTCGTCCATAGCTGGAAGTAGGGAGATATCAGCACCTGCATCTATTGCGGCTTGCATCACCTTGGCAGAGGCAGATGTACCGAAATGCCAGATTGCCATAGAAGCCTGCATTCTGGCAGATTCGAACACCCTGACCTCTTTCTCGGTCTCCTCGTCTTCTTGCTGTTCTCGGAGAAGTAGTATTTTCACCATGCTTGCGTTGCCCTTGCAAGTTCGAACAGAAGGTGATGAAGGTTACACCCTGCACTGCTTGGAAACGTCAGCCTCCAAGATTGCAAGGTCTGTGACAGTCAGCCCGTTCGACTCTTGGCGGAGGACGCTTGCCTGTGGGTGTGAGCCGTGAATGTCTGCAGAATCTACACTTCAAGGGAGGTGAGCGCTGGCCTTGGCTTGCAAGAGAAGGTTTGCGACCTTCCATTAACGTCGACCCGTCATGCTTTAGTTTGAGCAGCGCGCTGGCTGACTAGATCTTGCCTTACAAAGGCTAGGAGCCGAACGTCTAGACGATTGAACATGACAGCCACCATCAGCGCTGTCACTCCTGCAGCTGCTAACTCCATCGTTAGTCGATTCATGACACTCGTGAAGCTATGCTGCCTGTGTCGGTCTGCGAGTCAACCTCTGCCTTGTTCTGCAACAAAGCATTGCAAGCCTGCAAAGAGAGTACGAGGAAGGCAGCATTGCCCAAGTTTTCATGTCGAAGCTCGATGCCTCAAGCAGACCCAGCCGGGCGGCAAAGTGAAGAGCTTCGGCACCAATCGTCTGCCTCAGCAGATATCTGGAGCTTGGATGGCTGCAGCCGATTTTTTAAGTAAGCGGGCTCGAAAGAACCAGCACTCTCTACTTTTTTTGTTCCCGAAGGCTGTTAATTATTCATCATCATCAGCAGGCGTTCAGGCTTCAGGCTTCAGGATGCTTTTATTTCTGTTCCACAATAGGCTGACGACGGGTATCTCCCAGATTTCTCGCAGAGCTCACTATTGACTGGGGCACTGGCTTGAAACGACTGAAGCCAGGATCCCACCTTGGGATGTGCACCCAAACATAGCATGCAACTCGATGCTTTCAGGCTCTGCTCTGCAAACGCTCAAGCTGCGCACGGCTCTAGCAGCCTTTCGTTGACATCCACACCAGACTGAATGATCTGGACCTGATCCGAAATGAGAATAGAACTGCTTCGGCGAGTCCAACAACTGCAGCTGCGCACCACCATCTTTTCAGTGTGGCTTTTCCTTTGACAAGAAACTTGGGGACGGTGCCAACCACGAACAAAACTACACGCAAGAACACACCCCAAGCTTTCTGAGCACCAGTCCATTTGCCAGTCAGGGCCTGGAGAAGTTGCCCGGGCGCGGTCTCCCTCGGCTGCCGAAAAGTTCTGCGCCTGTGACCATCCCCAAAGGGTGCACCGAGGTCGGTGCTGATCACCATCTAAAAGCCCGTCCCCATCATCAGAGCTGTCGGATTCCGACTCTGATTCAGAGCCCTGGGCGAAACCGTCACGTCAGAATGTGTCGAAACTATTGTCGGTGCACATACCTCTGCTTGAAAGCGCCTCTTCACCCGTCTTGCCCTTGAGGGTAAACGCAGATTTCGACATCGAGACTGGCATGTTCGCCGCATTCAAGTTATTGCGCCTGCACCAATCTCGACAGCCCAAAGGAGTGAAGTGACACGGATCATGCTGGGTGGGCCCCTAAGGACCTAAGGACATGATCGGGAGCCTGTTGCCTTTCGCTGCGCCTTCTGAACAAACTTTCTGATTGACTGACAGGTCAGTTTCGAGACGCCTGTTCAGCAGGCGAGTGTTGACAACTTCCTGCAGGCTTTGCCTCAGGGACACATGCGGAATGATGGCAACGAGATACAAACAACATGCGCACACACACACACACACCAAAAACAAATCACACACGCACACACGTGCACACACAAGTTCGCGGACAAGCACCGACCGGGCAAGGCCGAGATCCCAGGCCGCCGTCCCGTCTTCTCCAGCACCTCCTCTTCCTTCAAGCAACGATGGACGCTTCAAGGAACATCTATGGAAAAACACGCTAGCCCCCAACCCAAAAAGGCATCCTCCAGGTCACCAGCCGCACGTGATCTGGACATTTCCCGGTCTGATGCAGGAGCTGCAGTCACTGCTCAGCTTCCCCAGCAACTCCCTCAAACTCCCGCTGGCCTTGGCCTTGCAAGGTAAGCTCACCCGTTTCGCCGTGCAGCCCCAAAGGGAGATGCCGCTGTGAGCGCAGATGCCGTGTGATTGGAAGGAGTCTAAGAAGTTGCTGGCTCTTGCGGTGCTTGTTCGGTGGTGCCCGTGCAGTGATTGAGCAGTGCTTGTGCTCTGCGTTTAGTCTGCTTTGGCTCAAAAACAGCTGCACAGTGCAGGTTCACAGGAAAGCACCAATCACAGCTGCACGACTGCACGACGATGACATGAGGAGCCTCAACGACATCTTCAGCTTCCAGCGCATTGCTCAACTCCTGAGTCCACAGTCTGGTCCAAAGATTCGTCGAAGCTACTCGAAGAGCTACTCGAAGAGCTACTCGAAGAGCTCGAAACTCTGAGATCTCCGATCTCCCTGTGCCCCACCTTGATCTCATTGCGAATCTGGATGGCTCCCTCAAAATCATCTTTGGCTACCGCTTCCTTGACAGCATCGGACATTGCAAAGGAGAGCCATGCACAGGCCCGACACGCCTTCTTCTTGTCCTCTGCATGCTGCAGGCGTCTGAGAACATCTCCGTTCGCCTTGCAAATGCAAGCTGCAAGCTGCAGGTTCTCGAGAAGGGTTTCGTCTTGCCGTGACTGTCTGACTCGCTCATTGACACGTGAAAACCCTCTAGCTCCTCTCCAAGACCGCCACCTGCCTTGCAGCGCAAGGCCTCTTCAAAACGGCCCAGGCCACAAAGGCTGCGCACCAGCCTGTCGGCCTCTGAAACACAACGGTTGACTTTGGTGTCCGCCGCTCATCCACTCTCGTGCTGACCTCTGTCTCTTCCCTTGCACCCAGGTCCTGGTGGGATTTTCATGACAATGGAAACCTTGCAACTATCAATCAACATGAGGCACGCCGTCCTCTCTTGCACCGAAATCTTTGCCGATGCCTTCACCAATGCGCAAACGAGGTGCAACTCACTGAGCTCTCATTGCCACCGTCATGCGCTGTGAGCCAGGCTGTGCGTCGCGGGCCTGGGCTTCACAGAAGACTTTGAAGAACAGTTTTGCTCGCAGTTCTGCGCAGTGCAATCGCAATTCTTCGCTCTCGGCCTTGAAGAGTCGCCACCCATTGGGCCACCATCCTGTGTTCAGCGAAGCAGAGGCTCTCTCACTGGCTCGAGGAGCACCGAAAAAGACACGAGTACCTCCGTCAGATCAGAAGGCGCCGATGTGAAGTTGCTGAAGACATCCATCACCTGGAACGGGCCATATGGAAAGTTTTCGTGATGCTGCATGATTCATGGCCGCTCGCTTTGGCTGCTCTTGCCCTATTGCAACCAGTGCATCGTAGCAGCAGCAGCAGCAGCAGCAGAATCAGCAGCAACAGCAAGTGTCTTGCTTGAAGCCACGATTGAGGTCGCATGTGATTTTGGAGAAGTGGTAGCAGAGATTGCTATAAAGAAAAGGATAGAGATGCGATGGTAGTGGTAGCAAAAATATACAAAATCATCGTAGTGCTACTAGCCGTAGCTGTACTAGTGGTGGTAGTGGTAGTAATGGTAGTGGTAGTAGTGGTAGCAGTGATAATAGTGGTAGTAGTGGTAGTAGTGGTAGTTGTGGTAGTAGTGGTAGTAGTGGTAGTAGTGGAAGAAGTGGTAGTAGTGGTAGTAGTACTAGAAGAAGTCGTAGTCGTAGTCGTAATCGTAGTCGTAGTCGTAGTCCAAAATTAGGGTCCCTTTTTGGGTCCCCATCATAAGGCGGCACCCTTGAAAAAGGATCCCAAAAAGGGACCCTAGTCTAGAGGACTACCCACATCGGTGTTTACAGAGCATGTGAATTGGCTAGAGCATTCCTGCCCTCACGATCATTACATCCGTGCGACGGCCAAAACACCTACAGCACGCATGCCACAATGATATCACGCATGCTACCGGCACGATGACAACGTTCACGTTCCAAGTGCATGCATTGGCCAGAGCATCATGCCCGCGCGATTCGCTGCTAACGTCCACGATACCAGTGCATCCATGAGCCAGAGCACCCATGCCAGCGACATCCATGTCGCCAGTCATCCATCCACCGAGCATCCATGCCCGCACAATGGTCACATGCATGCTACCAGTGCATCCATTGGTCCATTGGCCGGAGCACGCACGCACGATGATACCGTCCATGCTGTCAGTGCACGAACATTAGGAACGATCGATATGCAAGCATACAGCAAAACGTCCATCGACCGGAGCACCAACCAATGCCCTTGAAAGGCACGTCCTCAAACCCACCGAAACCTAAAACAACCAAGGAAGTACTATGTGACTATGTATGTTACCTTAACACTCCCAAGGGACATCCACAACAACTTAATGCGCCTTTCGGCTCCGCCACAACGTCAAAACTGCTATCATGCAAATTCTCGTTCAGCGAACTTTCCAAGAGAATCTTGCCTTGTGTAAAAAGCAATGACACACGGACACTACGGAAACAAGCGACTCCAGTACAATGTCAAACGCTGCTTTCAAGAAAAACTGCTCTTGTATCACGCAGGCCACGCAAAATGCTGTACCAAAAAGCAGCAACAAGCCAACACTGTCCAACACTCAGTGCTCCCCGCGCGCGGTTGCAGGGCGTCCTCGTGTCGTCGTTGTTCTTCGTACTATGTTCCTTCTGCTTCGTGTTCATCTTCTTCTTCGAATTCTCCTCCGCCTCCGCCTCCGCCTCCGCCTCCGCCTCCGCCTCCGCCTCTGCCTCCGCCTCCGCCGCCGCCTCCTCCTCCTCCTCCTCCTCCTCCTCTGCTGCTTCTTCGATAATTATTCTTCTTCTGCTTCGTCTTCATCTTCTTGAAATTATGATTATTATTCTGATTTTATTTCTCATTAATTATTCTTCTTCTTGTGGTTGTTGTTATTGCTGCTGTTGCTGTTGTTGTTCTTGTTGCTGTCGTTGTGCTGGTGGTGGTGGTATGGTGGTGGTGGTGGTGGTGGTGGTGGTGGTGGTGGTGGTGGTGGTGGTGGTGGTGGTGGTGGTGGTGGTGGTGGTGGTGGTGGTGGTGGTGGTGGTGGTGGTGGTGGGGGTGGGGGTGGTGGGGGTGGTGGTGGTGGTGGTGGCTCCGTTAGTGGTGGCTCTGGTGGTGGTGGTGGTGGTGGTGGTGGTGGTGGTGGTGGTGGTGGTGGTGGTGGTGGTGGTGGTGGTGGTGGTGGTGGTGGCGGCTCAGCCGTTGCTGCTGTTCTAGATGCTGCTGTTGTTGGCTCAGGCGCCTCTGCGGCTGCGTCCGGTGGCTTCGATGGTGGCGCACCTGAGGATTGCAGATCAGAACCAACAGGTCCAGTTGCTGCTATTGTGCTATACTCTATGCTCTCCAAGCTGCCAGACTCGCATGACAAGCCCTAGCCCATGCATCGAGAAATAATGTTGTGGCCCTATGTCTGCCTCGTGATGACGACGCAGGCTGGGCCGGAAGATCAAACGAGGCCCAATCTGCGAGAGCTTGTGAGTACATGTCGATAAAAAAAGCTAAATATTGTGCGGGCTGGGGTGCCTGAAGGTGAGGACGGCGAGGGCGCTGGCAAGTCGAAGGATGCCCATTCTGAGCAAAGGCAACTTCTGAACTCCGTAGATACGTTCGGCGGTGCAAGTTGCCACTGAGGCCAGGTCCTCCTTCGTGCCCCGCCTCCGCTTGTTGGCCTTGGCCGGGGCCTTGGCCGCCGGGGCCTTGGCCGGGGCCTTCAAAGTCAACGGGCACTGTTGGGCAATGTTGGGCAACGTTGGGCATGCATACCACGGAGGCCTTCGCCTTGTGGCTCGTCCATGGCACCCATGAAGGCATCCCACTTGTCTGCAGTCGCCTGGCCTGTCAGCAAGAGCACCATACGAACAAGTTATGCCAACGCAGTGTCCGCACACCTCACCCGACCCTCCTGCTCCCTGCCTGCTGCACCCCGACTCTCATCCAGCTCATCGAAAGCATCCCACTGTGGGGATGGGCTGGCCTTCGCCACTGGGCCTCGCAATCTGTGAGCCGTGTGAACCCATGCGAACCCTGTGTTACCAACGTCGCATCATGTCGCCATGTTGTGTCGGACAGCGGCAGCTCAACCCGTGTAGCCGCATTCCGCTTTCCCGCGCCCAAGCAACTGCCTCGAGAGGCCGAGGACGGCTGCGACGGCTGCGACGGCTGCGCCGGGAAGTCGAAGGATGCCCATTCTGGAGCAAATTTCGAAAAGGGCACTGGGACACCGGTTGACACAACTCGACACGACTTGACACAAAGACATCACCAGACCACACAGAAGAACAGAGAACCCTCACCAGGAATTTGTCTTCAGCTCTGGCCTCCTTCTTCCGTCTGGCTTGGGGCAGCTGTCCCAGCACCTACTCAGTGTACTCAGTGTGGCACGCCCAACAGACTTGGCCCACGCACAAGTTCAGGCGCACCAGCAGCCACACTCGGCACGGATGGATCGGACGCCGGCAAGTCGAAGGATGCCCATTCTGAGGAATCAGGAACAATACACGAGTCGGGAGCAGGCCGCGCTAGATCATTAGGCAATGTCATGTGACCTCGAGCCACTGAGGTTCCGGCCGTCTTTGCCCTCTGGCTGTGCAGATCCAGGGCCTCCAGCACCCCGTTGGCCAGCTTTCCGTTTCAATGATGCGGGCGCCATTCTCAAGCTTCATAAAGCTTCCAACCCCCCACAGTAGGAGCATAATTTCAGAGGTTTCAGAAGGATCGCTCTGAGGCAATGGCCCGCGCTGGGCTGCAGGCTGGGCGAATCCTGACGAGACGCCAGCTGCCTCTTTACGCCTGCGGGAACGCTGGGACAGCTTGGCAGGCGGCTTTCGCACGAGACGTCCCAGCGGGCGCAGGTGCCTTGTCACCGACGCACTTCAACACGAATAAAGGACGAGTCGAAGGTGGGATTCCGTGTGAATTGTCAAGCACTGCAGCTCTGGTGCCGGGAAGTCAGCGAACATGTCGCCTGACGGCTCCAGAGAAGCTTTGTCGCCTGCATGTGGATATCTTACATATCTTGCGCGCCACAATGTGCCACAACACGCAAAGCCGCCAAAAGCTCAACATAACTCGGCAGCGCTGAGATGTAGATGACAGCACGATACGGCGACCTCCGTCTTTTTCCCTGTCTGACTTCCTGCACCCCGTACATACACTCACTTATGCGTATAAGGAACCCGATATACACTCACCAATAACAACAGCCCAACAGCAATATAAACTACGAGTACCTCATGCCTTGAAGCATGGGTTGGTTCCTTGACAAGCTGCGACGGCTCATGGTTCCCGACATTTGATGGATGCCCCATCCCTGCTCTAGGATTTGTAGCCATATGAGTTCAATCGCCTGGCAACACTCACCCTCAAACGGCTCCATCTTCTCGCCGGCTTCATGTCTCTCAAGGTTGCGCAACACTATGCGTCATGCACATGATGTAGTATTGTGTGGGCTGGGGTGCCTGAAGGTGAGGACGGCGAGGGCGCTGGCAAGTCGAAGGATGCCCATTCTGAGCAAAGGCAACTTCTGAACTCCGTAGATACGTTCGGCGGTGCAAGTTGCCACTGAGGCCAGGTCCTCCTTCGTGCCCCGCCTCCGCTTGTTGGCCTTGGCCGGGGCCTTGGCCGGGGCCTTGGCCGGGGCCTTGGCCGGGGCCTTGGCCGGGGCCTTGGCCGGGGCCTTGGCCGGGGCCTTGGCCGGGGCCTTGGCCGGGGCCTTGGCCGGGGCCTTCAAAGTCAGCGGGCACTGTTGGGCAATGTTGGGCAACGTTGGGCATGCATACCACGGAGGCCTTCGCCCTGTGGCTCGTCCATGGCACCCATGAAAGCATCCCACTTGTCTGCAGTCGCCTGGCCTGTCAGCAAGAGCACCATACGAACAAGTTATGCCAACGCAGTGTCCGCACACCTCACCCGACCCTCCTGCTCCCTGCCTGCTGCACCCCGACTCTCATCCAGCTCATCGAAAGCATCCCACTGTGGGGATGGGCTGGCCTTCGCCACTGGGCCTCGCAATCTGTGAGCCGTGTGAACCCATGCGAACCCTGTGTTACCAACGTCGCATCATGTCGCCATGTTGTGTCGGACAGCGGCAGCTCAACCCGTGTAGCCGCATTCCGCTTTCCCGCGCCCAAGCAACTGCCTCGAGAGGCCGAGGACGGCTGCGACGGCTGCGACGGCTGCGCCGGGAAGTCGAAGGATGCCCATTCTGGAGCAAATTTCGACAAGGGCACTGGGACACCGGTTGACACAACTCGACACGACTTGACACAAAGACATCACCAGACCACACAGAAGAACAGAGAACCCTCACCAGGAATTTGTCTTCAGCTCTGGCCTCCTTCTTCCGTCTGGCTTGGGGCAGCTGTCCCAGCACCTACTCAGCGTACTCAGTGTGGCACGCCCAACAGACTTGGCCCACGCACAAGTTCAGGCGCACCAGCAGCCACACTCGGCACGGATGGATCGGACGCCGGCAAGTCGAAGGATGCCCATTCTGAGGAATCAGGAACAATACACGAGTCGGGAGCAGGCCGCGCTAGATCATTAGGCAATGTCATGTGACCTCGAGCCACTGAGGTTCCGGCCGTCTTTGCCCTCTGGCTGTGCAGATCCAGGGCCTCCAGCACCCCGTTGGCCAGCTTTCCGTTTCAATGATGCGGGCGCCATTCTCAAGCTTCATAAAGCTTCCAACCCCCCACAGTAGGAGCATAATTTCAGAGGTTTCAGAAGGATCGCTCTGAGGCAATGGCCCGCGCTGGGCTGCAGGCTGGGCGAATCCTGACGAGACGCCAGCTGCCTCTTTACGCCTGCGGGAACGCTGGGACAGCTTGGCAGGCGGCGTTCGCACGAGACGTCCCAGCGGGCGCAGGTGCCTTGTCACCGACGCACTTCAACACGAATAAAGGACGAGTCGAAGGTGGGATTCCGTGTGAATTGTCAAGCACTGCAGCTCTGGTGCCGGGAAGTCAGCGAACATGTCGCCTGACGGCTCCGGAGAAGCTTTGTCGCCTGCATGTGGATATCTTACATATCTTGCGCGCTACAATGTGCCACAACACGCAAAGCCGCCAAAAGCTCAACATAACTCGGCAGCGCTGAGATGTAGATGACAGCACGATACGGCGACATCCGTCTTTTTCCCTGTCTGACTTCCTGCACCCCGTACATACACTCACTTATGCGTATAAGGAACCCGATATACACTCACCAATAACAACAGCTCAACAGCAATATAAACTACGAGTACCTCATGCCTTGAAGCATGGGTTGGTTCCTTGACAAGCTGCGACGGCTCATGGTTCCCGACATTTGATGGATGCCTCATCCCTGCTCTAGGATTTGTAGCCATATGAGTTCAATCGCCTGGCAACACTCACCCTCAAACGGCTCCATCTTCTCGCCGGCTTCATGTCTCTCAAGGTTGCGCAACACTATGCGCCATGCACATGATGTAGTATTGTGTGGGCTGGGGTGCCTGAAGGTGAGGACGGCGAAGGCGCTGGCAAGTCGAAGGATGCCCATTCTGAGCAAAGGCAACTTCTGAACTCCGTAGATACGTTCGGCGGTGCAAGTTGCCACTGAGGCCAGGTCCTCCTTCGTGCCCCGCCTCCGCTTGTTGGCCTTGGCCGGGGCCTTGGCCGGGGCCTTGGCCGGGGCCTTGGCCGGGGCCTTGGCCGGGGCCTTGGCCGGGGCCTTCAAAGTCAGCGGGCACTGTTGGGCAATGTTGGGCAACGTTGGGCATGCATACCACGGAGGCCTTCGCCCTGTGGCTCGTCCATGGCACCCATGAAGGCATCCCACTTGTCTGCAGTCGCCTGGCCTGTCAGCAAGAGCACCATACGAACAAGTTATGCCAACGCAGTGTCCGCACACCTCACCCGACCCTCCTGCTCCCTGCCTGCTGCACCCCGACTCTCATCCAGCTCATCGAAAGCATCCCACTGTGGGGATGGGCTGGCCTTCGCCACTGGGCCTCGCAATCTGTGAGCCGTGTGAACCCATGCGAACCCTGTGTTACCAACGTCGCATCATGTCGCCATGTTGTGTCGGACAGCGGCAGCTCAACCCGTGTAGCCGCATTCCGCTTTCCCGCGCCCAAGCAACTGCCTCGAGAGGCCGAGGACGGCTGCGACGGCTGCGACGGCTGCGCCGGGAAGTCGAAGGATGCCCATTCTGGAGCAAATTTCGACAAGGGCACTGGGACACCGGTTGACACAACTCGACACGACTTGACACAAAGACATCACCAGACCACACAGAAGAACAGAGAACCCTCACCAGGAATTTGTCTTCGGCTCTGGCCTCCTTCTTCCGTCTGGCTTGGGGCAGCTGTCCCAGCACCTACTCAGTGTACTCAGTGTGGCACGCCCAACAGACTTGGCCCACGCACAAGTTCAGGCGCACCAGCAGCCACACTCGGCACGGATGGATCGGACGCCGGCAAGTCGAAGGATGCCCATTCTGAGGAATCAGGAACAATACACGAGTCGGGAGCAGGCCGCGCTAGATCATTAGGCAATGTCATGTGACCTCGAGCCACTGAGGTTCCGGCCGTCTTTGCCCTCTGGCTGTGCAGATCCAGGGCCTCCAGCACCCCGTTGGCCAGCTTTCCGTTTCAATGATGCGGGCGCCATTCTCAAGCTTCATAAAGCTTCCAACCCCCCACAGTAGGAGCATAATTTCAGAGGTTTCAGAAGGATCGCTCTGAGGCAATGGCCCGCGCTGGGCTGCAGGCTGGGCGAATCCTGACGAGACGCCAGCTGCCTCTTTACGCCTGCGGGAACGCTGGGACAGCTTGGCAGGCGGCATTCGCTTGCAAGTCCGCAAGGGCTGCGCCGGCGCCGAGATCAGGAGCTGTGCCTCAGCAGACAGGCGCATTGACCACTCGCTTGTCACAGCAATGCTGGGCTGTGGACCACCGGACGTCTCAGCGCCAGGTGCCTCAGCCACCGTCGCGAAAGCAAAACGATACAGCGAACGTCATGCAGCCGGCACGTCGGAAAATAGCAGGGGCATGAGACAGAACACAGGAGCCGGAGGAAGCACAAGTATCATGGGAGAATCATCGCAAACTAGGAGTCAATGAAGTCATGCCATCCCGAAGTGCAAGCGTGCGCATGTGGACATGTGTGATGTTGGCCTCAGTGTTGCATGTGCGGCCCGTTGGTGTGCATGGTACTGCATGCTTCGAAGCAGGCGGAGGCACATCACTTGGTCGACTATATGAGAGCTCTCCGGTGAGTGGCCCGAAGCTGAAAGAGTGACAGTCTCGGGATACGAAAACGCGTAGCAACGTTTGCGACTGCAAGTGCCGTGAAATCTAATCACATCATGTTACAGCAGTAAGCGCCTGCAAACCCCCCCCAACCTTTAAAGGAGCAGCACCAATGCAGCTGCAGCTGCCAAGGACGCGAATTCAGCAAACACGTCTCCGTGCATGGGCTCCTGAGTCACGTCGCCTGCGGAGGCTCAGAAGATCCAGAAGACCGTCCAGGCGCAGTGCACAAGTTCAGCACAAGTTCAGCACAAGTTGGGCACGTGCTCAGCTTTTCTCTGACTGGCTGAGGCTTTGTGGCAACCGCGCGAGATTGGCTCATGGACTCGAGAGGACCTCTCCACTCCTGGCAAGGGGTTGACTTGCACGGAGGCAGAGACAGAGAGCGTGAGAGAGAGAGAGAGAGCGCGAGAGAGAGAGAGAGAGAGAAAAAAAAAAAAAAGCTGAACAACAAAACTAAAGAAAATGAAAACAGCATCCGCTTGGCATGTTTGCTCGACTGCTTTCCAGAAGCGTCCGGCACCTTGGCATACCTTTGCAAGACAGGGTGCCGGCGCTCAACGCGCACTCTTTACAGCTCTGTGCAGTTTTGTGTGCAGATCTGTGCAGATCTCTGTGCATCTTCAGAGACACACTCTGACAACATGCACCGAACCTTTGCCTCCCTCCCACTGAGACATCGAGTCTCGGGACTGTTGGATGGTGTTAGCATTCCGTGGCTCGATCTCATTCTATATACTGTCACCCTTGTTGTCCTCAGCAAGCTTGTGGCTGTTGCAACATCGAGTGACGGAGTAGTAGAGTCCAATTCCTACCAGGGCTAGCAGCATGTTGACGATATAGTAGTACTCCAGGTGGCCAGTGTCTAAATCGTCTGGGTACAATAACTTGGACACAATCGCCGTGAAAGCATTGGAGACTGAGCCCGAAAAGAAAAGGTTCACAGCTTGAAGTAGGGAGCGGACCTCCGCAGGAGCTGATTCGTATGAGAAGCAGTACAAACAAGGATTTACAAGAATTTCGGCGATCCCGACAAGGATGTATGGCAGAAAAATCCAGAAGCCACTGATGTCACGCATTCTCGTTCCTTGCAGTCCATCCTGAGAGTACCCCGGCGCGCATTGGGAAAAGGCAACATCACACAGAGCAGGGGCTGCCCGTCTCTTGACTTCCAGCACTGCAGCCAGCGCGTTGGACAGTGAAGCAATGAGAAGTCCAGCTACCATTTTCTGTCCCAAGGTCACTGGACAGCCCTTCACGCGTGCGATCAACGGATAGACGCACGACTCGAAGATGGGCGTGAACACTACGATAGCCAGCGCATCGGCAATATTGAAGAAGGCCCCATTTAACTGCCCGTTTCCCATGCGGACATCCATCTGGCAGGCTTGTGAAGGAAACGCGTTGTTCATTGAATTGTAGCACAGGCTGAAGGACAGGTTGACGACAATGATGACAGGAATTGCTGCAAATGTTCGAGCAGCTTCCACCTGGTTGAAAGAGTTCTTCTGTTCGTCCCCAAGCTTCTGAACCCAAGAGCAATGTACGTTTCCCACCTTGGCTGAACTTGGATCACAGTGTGGCAATGCCTTGCAGCTTTCTCATGCCGTGTGAAAGCGATGAGAGAGCTCTCCCTACACTGGCTGAGCACCGGACGACAAGGCAGATGCAGGCCAGGCTACCCAGCACGAGCGCTGTGTCGTTGAGCACGTCGTTGCTGGAGGCTGACCCCGCGTGGAGCCTCCGTGCACCAGAGCAAGGGTCCAGAAAGACCTGCTCGCTAGCACTCGCCGGGGCTGGGGTCAACACAGCTGCAAGAGTCACGACGTAGAAGACGGGTAAACAGAGCCAGCCAATGGCAGACATCACGGCCCGCCAGCCTCCATATCGAAGGGAATGGCACTGATAACGGATTAGGCGCTTCACCGGCCCAAGCCCATTTCCAGGTAGCCGCCGGTAGGATCCAGTGAAGGAAACGAAGATGATGACCGCCGCGATCATAAACACGGCTCCGGCGCCATATGCAAACGAGTAGCCCTCAGCCTGAGACACCACGCCAGGAAGCCCCCCGGTTGTGATGTTTGTGAAGAACCCAAAAGCCAACAGAACTCCAATATTGATGGCCAGGTAAAACAATGAGAAGTAGGTCTTCTGACATTCGCGCTGGCTCTCGGTGTCATCTCCGATCTGATCGGCACCGAAGTTTGCAATGTTCGGCTTGATGCCACCGGTGCCAGCTGCGATCAGCACGAGGCATCCACCAGTAAACATCCACCCGAGAGAGCTCTGGAAGGCATGAACGACTGAGACAGCAACACAGAGTGTGCCGACGGCATACACCGCACCTGCACCAATGATGGTCCCGTAACGGCCCACGGAATCTGCGATCAGGCCACCCGGAATGCACCAGAAGTAGCACAGCATGCTGAAGACGGAGTTCAATGCTGCTGCTGTCGACGGCAGCTTGTGTAGCTGGTTCTGCAAATAGATCTTCTGCGTCCCCGCTAGGGTGTAGTATGTTAGCCTCTCGCAGAGCTCCACCAGCAGAATCACAACGACAGGAATCTTGCGAACCTTGCCATGAGCTTTATCTGAACAAGATTCGCTGGAATCAGCACTATCCGAGGCCTCGTGCATCCTGGGTATGCCTCGGGCTGCTCTGGAAATGCCACCGAACCGCTGTGCACTCGAATTAGTGCCGCATGGCGAACAACAAAAGCTGCGAAGATGGACAAAATAAACAGTTCGCCCGCAGTGTCCCCCGCCCTGTCTTCACAACAGCTCTGTTTCCAGGCTTAGACCCTCCAGGAACCCCGTCCAAGTGCAAGACGAGAGACTGGAAACCTAACCCCACCCTGAGGGCTCTGAGGCCCTAGGGGGACAAAAAGCAAGACCTATGGAGGTGTTGGGGCTGTGGTCGCTTCTCAGGGTTGAAATCTCCCCGTGCTTATGCTTGAAGGTGGAGATGCGCATTGCGGATCTTGCATCATCAGAACAAGTCAATGCGCAATGCCTGCACCGAGGAGGAAGAGATCTCAGAGACCACGTCTTCCACTCAAGACCTGATGCCAGCTTGAGAGGTGCAGGCAAAAAGCGTTTTGGTGCAGACGCGCCGATTGATCACACAAAGCCCCGTAAACCCTAAACCCTAAACAAACAACACACGCCTCATGGTAACGTCTCCCGCTCGTTCGACGGCGACCTGCGAGGCGAATCCGAGCTCATGACTTGCTAGGTTCTCAGGACTAGGTACTGCGTATGTCTTCAAAGCACCTGCTGCAGAACCCCCACGCCAGGATCCATCAGACGAAGCCATGTCGGCGGCAGCTGGCTCTTGATATGCGTTGCAAGCATGAGCGATCTATGCGAGCGACACTTTGCAGCCGTAGCATTGCTTCTTGTTACCAAAAGTCTGCTTCTGGCAGTGTAAACCACTACAGCTTTGCTGCGCTGTTTGAGGACCGGCGGCAGTGCGGAAGGAAGGGATGCAATCTGAGCGTGATCTGAATGAAACACAGCCGCGCCAAAAAAGGGGGGGAAGCTGGCGACCAGAGTCTGCCGGAACATCGATGCCATCGAAGATCGGGAAGTCCTGTCCAAGTGCTTCGACAGTTTGTACATGTCTGGAAGATGCTATGAAACTCCACCAAGCAGCAGGCAGCAGGCACCGGGTCTTTGCTTATGTTTGCCCTCAGGCGCCATAGCCGCCAGAGTGAACAAACCATACAGGGCCCGCGCTTCGCACTGGAACCACTGTGCAAAGGAAGCGCGACTCTTGCCATCGCAAGCTCACTTGAAACAGGCTCACTAGACATGAAACGTCGCATGCGACATTGGAACAAAGACTGAACACAGGGACAACCGGCCAGAGCGCGATCAGGCTTCCGCGCGATTCCTGGCGTGCAACATCACGGGGCAGTGGAGGAGCTGCTTTCGCTTCATCACGTTTCATAATGTGGGCTGGGCAGGCCGCAGACTGCCGTCAAAGCGAGAGCCTCAAGCCGAGTGCATGCACATGGGAAGGGGGCGGGGGGGGGGGGGGCCGAAGCCATGACGGGCTCCGAGCTTGTCACGCGGCCATTGCCAGTAAGGAAGTCATTCAGACTGGGGAGCCAGCTCAAACAGCTTGTGTGGAGCAGCTGCTCGCAAACCTACGCGGCACTGCATGCATAAAAGCGCGAGCGGTGCAAACTCAATCACTGCGCTCCTCAATCAAGATTTCAGAAACAGAGTAAGTGCAGCTTAGCTGCCCCAACTCATATTCCGGTTTTCCCAACGACGCCTTACAATCATATCCGAGGTGCCTCGATCAGGATTTCGCGTGAAGAAACGATGCCCTGCAGGGAGGCGAGATTCGAATGTTTGTGGACTTTTGTGTGGAGTTTTCCCGATGCTCAGAGAATCATCAACGTGCAAGATCTCGCCCAGCGCGCCACTATGCGCGCAATTTCGTTGGAGGACAAGAAGATTCGCTGCAACCTGGAAGGCAACATCAACTTGCTGTGTAAGACGTTGCATAAAACCATCTCCCAAAGGACTTTCTCATCTGTTTGAACCACCTGAGCAAACATAGTCCGTAACTGATATGTGGCGCTATGTCGCCGAATGTGGCCTGGCTCTATAGCGATAGATGCTACCTGCACCAACCACCACAGCTGACAACCTCCATGCCAACAGAGATGGACTTAGTAGCATCGTCCTCTTGTAAGTGCCGCATCTAGCTCTGGGCTTTGCACTTGGAGGCCAGCAAGCGTGCAGCGAGCACGTGCAGGGTTTGATGATGGTCGACAGAAACTACCTGCAACAAAACAGAACAGGAAAACGCGGAGCGTCACGCAAACAAGACAAAGAAAGATGACCATGCATGATCAGATTGTTAACCGCTTGTGAATGGTCAGGCTATGCACGAAGAGATCGGATTGCCGCTATACAGGGCAGCACCTTATACAAAGTACCCCCAAGGGAGACCCCAACTTAAAGAGCTGCCCATTCAGGGGGATCGAAAAGGCAGTATGCTGGAGCAATAATGGTTCGGGTACCTGACATCCTTCACAAGTATAGGGACCAGCCAGCAGTGCTCCTTTGTACAATGGTTTCACGGTGCACATGCGGGCTCCCTTCGCCGCTGGTGCAACCCACCTTCTGGGTATCTGAGCCTCCGGCGTTGAATCGCCGCAGACTTTGGTATCGCACCACCTTCGCGGAGTCGATAGCCACCACCTCCGGCACAGCGACTTGCTGAAAGTGGCAAAAAGAATGCTCAGCGAGACGCACCGGTTTGGAGGAACCCAAGCTGCCGACTTGCTGTCTCCAGCATAAGAAGTCGTCAATGCTGTAGTCAAGCACATGGTACCTTGCCAGTCAGGTGGTCATGAACAGTCTACATCATGGTGAACCGGTGAACCCGAACATGCGTCTGACTTTACGCGCGGCGTCGCAGACATCTGAGGCTCATGCTGGTCAGATTCGAAAACCTGGCTGCAAGATGATGCCAATTCAATTTCGACCCTTCATCACAAGGTTGCCAGCATCACGAGCTTCAGGTCTGCAACCGCCACCACACCAACGGCAACTGCGCCACCCATGTCTCCGGAAAGCTCTTGAGAGGTAGCTGGACCTGTCGGTTCCGACGAGTTTAATGGAACGACAATCCCGCATGAAACCACACTTACATGGCTCAGTACTTCTCACGCCAGGCTGCAGATTGTGAGTTTCTCTGCATCCATGATCTGCCTAGGCTCTGCTTGGATCCCTCGACTTGAACGGACCGCCACTTGCTTCTATGGCGCAAAGCATGCAAGACTGTGTCATCGCGCGGCACGGAGAGCGCCTGCCCACACTCAGTAGGCCCTAGGCAATAGGGACCGCCAAGGGATCCCACAGCTGCATTGCTGCATTCCATGGATCTGAACCCTCGGCCTGCAGCACCGCGTTCCGTCGATCAAAGGTGCGTGCATCCTGCGCCGAAGCTTCATGTGGGATGGTTTGAGACAACTGCAAAAACTAGCTGGGGCTCAATGGGGCCCATGTCTCTCATGGTCTCTGAGACAGATATGACAAGGCGGCAACGTCCCGCGACTTGAGGACGGCTGATGGCGTGTCGAAGCCTGACAGTGACGCCATCAGTTCCAAACGAGGGAATGTTAAAACACCATAAGTTCTGGTTTGGGCGACTACCTGTTGCGCATGATGCCACTGCCGATTGTGCTCATCTTGTTGAATCTCCCAAAATCAACTTGGGACGGCTCAGGCTCTTGACAATACAAGTAGAGGTTGCGCATGGTGGCTATGAGAGGTTCACAATATTTCACAATCATCCCCTCTGCTACCAGAAGCATAACATGACGAAAGCACGCAGAGGGCGTGCACGTCTCTCACCTGTCTTTGAATCCGGAAAACCCATTGTCTATTGAAGTCCGTTTGCGACATCATTTTGCCATACATCGACGCAAGCTTCTCATGCCGTGCTTGGTCAGGATCCTCCTCTCCCTCAAGCGCTACGGTACACTCTTCGTATACACGGCCCCTTGTAGCTCCAGGGACTCTAGGGCTCAGGACCAAGGTTGGGGCCCTAAACAGGCTTCAGTTACTAGACCGTCTTACCTGAACACTCCGCTCTGTCCAAGTATCAAGAGCCAAAATAAGAGAAACCCAATGGTGACAACGTGGTGTGCTTCTATCAGCCCGAGCTCTGGGCGGAGAGCCAGATCCAGGAAGTCAATGCATGAGAAAACTCGTACCAACTCGCCTCAACACGATCCGATTCCTAGCTCGCATGGGCATACTGCAAGCGACTCCATCGCACCTTCTGCATCCACGAGCGGAACACGATGCACCTTTAGATGAGAAACAGAGAAGCTGCATCACCGACGAACAGCATGAAGCTCCGCACCACGTTGCGCCCTTCTCCTGGACGGCTCAGCCTTTCGGTATGCCACAAGCCACAGACCATATCAAAAACAACAATGAAAGAAGAGAAATGTGGCAATTTCATCAAGTTCGTGCACCAGCTTTAGCTACTTGCGGCGGGCTTCTCTCACATCAGGTCGCGAGAAATACACATCACCCAATTGTGGACGCTACATAGCAGGAATACACATCAGCGGTGGAATCACACATCAGGACACAGCAATCCCCAAGTACACGCTGGAATTCAAGCAAACAGCCAACAAGGGTCAAACTGCCGGATCTGCTGCGGACGCCAGCGTTTTCCGCACGTTTTGTAGCATTTTAACTATGTTTCGACAGCTGATCACCAGGGAGACGCTAGAAAATCAACTGAGTGAGGAATCCCTAATTCGATTAGTCCTAAACTGCCGGGGGGGTTGGTCGAGTTGTCGCGGCGGCGATCAGGGTGACCGAGACCACCCCCCTGCAATCATCCGCTACTTAACTTGCAACTCCCGAAGACATGTAAAAGCCTGCACGAGGCCGATTTCGACACATCAAGAGATATAATCTGGGGTGTGCCGTTCCCCAATGTGGACGCCGATGGATGTGTCGTGTTTTGGGCCGAGGGGCTAGGGTTTATGGCACTGCCAACATGCAAAAGAGCATGTAGAAGCCGTGTAAATAACGACGAGGCCGATTTCGACACATCAGGAGATATACTCTGGGGAATGCAGTTTCCCCCAATGTGGATCGGTGTATAACAACCAGGCCGACTTCGACACATCAGGGGATACACTCTGGGGAATGCAGTTCCCCAATCGGGACGCCGATTGATGCGGCGGAAAAAAACCGAGCGATGCGAGATAAAGCGACTTCAGGTATGTCACTGGGGACGGCGCAACTGCAGGATACTCTGCAGTGAAGATGAGACGGACGTCGGCCTAAGCAGACCCCGACATGTGCAACTCTGCCGATCACGACCCAGGGCCGTTTGCAAGGTAAGGGCTAGTTGACTAGCTTAAACCGAACAAGCTAACATCTTGCAAGCTGTGATACTAAAGCAGTTTTGGGCATTTTCCCTTGCCGCTGAACCCAGATGTCCTACTCCAAAGTGCCTTCCAAACTCGTTTGATTTCGCTACATGGACGACAAGAACCTATGACATACGATCCAGGACCTTGTCCATCTGGAAATGAAGATGGCAAGGGTATGCAAGAGTAGCAGCATGCTTGCACGTTGCATACGTCGCACGCAGTACCAGGTTGGCGAACATTCTAAGTGCTGCTTTTGAACCACTCCTTTGTCGCTACCAAATAGAATCACGGTTTCTGGACCAGTGGCTTCCATGGATCTGCTGATGACATCGTTCGCTTTGTGTCCTTGCCAAGCCTAACCTGCGTTGGGGAGTGGAAAGTGTCATATGTACAGTGCTAACGCCATGACAAACGTCCAGCCAACCAGGCGAACAAGTCCCTGCCTGCCTGAAAAGCAAATGCATGATTCTAGCAGCGTGGCTGGGCAAATGGCACAAATGCGGAGTATCCAGAGCAGTTGGCCAAAACCTCTCCACGAGCTGCAAAATTCCCACATGGCAAAGCTGCACTTGTGTTTGCCCATCTGCAACTCGGGTCCCGACCCCAACCTGAGACAGTGCACCATCAAACTGCTCTTGATGTGCAAAAATGCCGTGCCAAGTTAAGC